CATAATGAAAAATTTTATGTACCAAAATATAATTTTCCACTGATATTTTTCATATGAAAAATTAAATTTCAGGTACTAAAATATAAAAGTTAAAAATTATAAGTTCTAAACTGTAATTTGTCAACGATCTATAAACTCAATTAATGAATCCACCTACCACTAATCAAATTGAATTTAGATAAAATGAATTGGATTTAAAAGAATTGTATTAGTTTGATATTTTTAATAATTGAAGGATTGAATTGAGAATTCCCAGGTTCTTACACAAATATTTTTCACATTTACCGCCTTGGTTAATTGATGAGAGCTAGGCTAGTTAGTTTTAACTTTTTCAATTACCGATTTAGCTACAGCAGAGGATCATACACCTTGCTTTGGGTCTCTATTGGGAGTAGATTTATACAAGATTTGTGGGTGCTGCTGACACTGTATCCACTATTAAATATTGCAATTTTGACTTCATCCATTTTATCTAATTTGTTTGAAATTTTTGGGACGGGTTCGAACAGTCCGGCATGGTATTCTTATTGACCCGATATGTTCCATTTTTGTCTAAATTATAGTCAAATTACTTAAAATTTTCCTTTTAAAATCTCATCTTTTATTAACTACATTTATCATATTATGGTTTGTTTCTTGATCTTTTAATGAAAATAACAAATATTTCCAATGTTTTCCACATAAATTACATAGTCATTGGGTCGACCTATCCTTAAGGATGACAGTCGGTCGGTTTTGGTTTAACCGAAAACTGAGATGCGACCAGCCGCTTCCATCAATCGACCGACCCTCCTGCCTCGGTTAGCCGCAGACTGACCGACCGGTTTTTGGTTTCGGCGCGGTTTAACCGGGGCAACCAAAAATTGAAGGTCGGTTCGGTTGGTACCACCTAACCGACCAGAACCGACCAACCAGCAAGGAAAAAAAAAACAAAAATCACCTAAAATTAAAATCTCAAACCTACATTCCAATTCCTTTTGCATAGAATATACATCTAAATTAGCCACTTAATGTCTCACATTCATTAATTCAACAACATAAACTCTACAAATCACAATAGATCCTCAAGATAACAACAAATCAACAACAAATCATCATCTATCATCACTTATCACCAGCCTTAGAAGAACCAACATCTGCATAACCCTGTTCGTGCAATTGGGGCAACAAGTCATGACCATAATCGTCATATCCATCTTTCTCATACTCTTCCTCCTGTACTTCTTCTTCACCCTCCTGCTCATTCTCCACTAGAATGTTGAGGCTTGCATCTGCATTGCCAACATTGCCAGTATTCGTTGCACTTTCCATTCTAGTTTGGAAAGTGGCATTAACTGAGTAAGAAAAAAAAGGGGAAAAAAAGGTGTTAGTACATTCATACATTGAATTGGTGGAAAGAAGGCAAAAAACTGAACAATAAGAGAGTTTCAGAACTCACTACTTTCCAAAGTCAAATTCTCTTCATCATCTTCCTTATCGTCAATCTCCCTGGATCTAGGATACCTTATCCAATCCTCAGCATAAATCAATGCCTCCACCATTAGGCCGCTCAAAGAGGACCTGAATGGACTGAGAATCCGCCCGCCACAGCTGAATTTGCCTCTGAGACAACAGAAGAGATGGGAACGGCTAGGACATCCTTAGCCATCTCAGCAAGAATCAGATATATTCTAGAGTGTCGAGACCACCAATCCAATATGTCAAACATTGCATCATCACTCTCTTCATTGATGCCATCAGTTTGACATTTCAAATAGATGTAAAGCTCAGCAGAGCTACCTCTTGTTTCCAGTAGAAGTGCTTCCCTTTTTCTCTTTCTAAGCCTCTCCTCCAACTTCTTAATCCGATCACCAACACCTTCACTAGAACCACCATCAGCAATTTTATCATCAGTAGTAGGCTGAGATGCAGACTCTGATCCATACTTCCTCTTATAAACCTCAAACATCTGGCCAATCTCCCTTTTAATAGAACTCTTAATTTCTCCTCCTTTGATACGTCCATAAATCATTTCAAACACTTCAGACACCAGATCAAGTCTACTTCTAGGATCAAGCACGCATGCTATATAAATTAAGTGATTCACCTTCGTATTCTCCTCATTCATGATAGGTGTCTCAAACCAATACTTATGTACCTTTTCTTCAACCTTTTCTGCCATCTTTTGAAGCTCTTCATGCGGACCATTCTTCAATTCCTCAATGATGTCATAAACTGGAACAAGTTTATTGAAGAAAAGATGGGTAGTCACATATTTAGTTCCTGTACAATGAGAATAGAATACATGAAATTAGACTTAAACAAACCAAATTGTCAAATGATCAAATTAAAATAAAATAATGCAGTTAAAATTCCACTTACCTGAGACTAGGACGGTAAAGTCATTAAAGACTTTCAGATACTTCATCAACTTCCTAATCAGCTGCCAATCTTGTTTAGTTGGAAGACCACCTCTTGCGTCAACATAATCCCTGAAGGAATGATCGTGTATACTTGAATACAAATTTGTAAACACTCCACCAAACCTTTATGTTGCTTCTAACATGATATAGGTGGAGTTCCACCTAGTCGATACATCCAAACACACCAATTTGGTTGACTCCAACTCCAGGAATTGCATGGCAGTCTTGAACCTTGTCAACCTAACTGGTGATGACCTCACCCACTTCACACAGTCCCGAACTCTATACACAGCTCCTCCGTTCACTTTCAATCCATCCTGCACCACCAGATTAATGATGTGTGCGACACAGCGAAACTGCAGATACTTCCCATCCATCAAATCACACCCCCGCTTCTTTAATTCCGTTCTCATGCAATCACTCACAATATCATTTGTAGATGCATTGTCCATGGTCATGCATAACAGATTCTTCACCTTCCGTTCTTCAAGAATTTTTACAAGCTTCTCTGTAATATCATTTCCTGTATTACTTGTGATGGGAACAAAGGAGAGAACCTTCTTCTGCAACTTCCAATCAACTCCAATAAAGTGAGCAGTCACACACATGTAATTTTTGTTGTTATCAGATGTCCATGTATCTGTGGTGATTGAAACTCTGCCTTTGCTCTTTGATTCAAAAAACTCTATCAAATGCATTTTTTTCTCCAAGAAAATATGAAAGCAATCATCTCTTATACCTCTCCTCCCAGGTATCTTAAACAGTGGCTAAATAACTTGTATAAACTGCTTAAACCCTTCTCTTTCCACAAAGCGAAAAGACAACTCATCCATAATAATCATCATGGCTAAGGCATATCTAGCTTTTGCTTGATCAAACTTCCATAAAGCACTTACTTGACTTTGACTACCATCTATGGCCTGCAAGTTCAGAACAGTCTGATCCCTGGATGCTGCAATCTTAGACAAACATGATTTCCGATGGTTATTCATCCGTTCTTGGATGGATGTGCTTTGATTTTAGTATGACAATGCCTGCACTCTCCCATCGGATATTCATCCACCGCCACCTTCGTTAAATCCTTCCAGCAATCAGTTGTACCCTTTGTCTCCAACCATTTCTCTAGATTGAAGGGATCGTCTTTAACTTTATTTGAAGCCGGATTAACCGTTTCTACTGAAGGAGTCTCAGCAGCAGGTGTACTTCCACTACCGGCATGGGCGGGAGTCGATGCAATTGATGTCGACACCGACGGTTCAGCAGACTGAACAGGCCGACTCCCTGTACGTCCACCACGACCCCGATTCTGAGCAGGAGGGGCTGAGGGACCCGCACCACCACGACCTCGAGGAGCCGGATTTCTCCCACCACGAGAAGCAGTCTCAGCGAAAGGTGAACCTTGTCCGCCACGTCCACCTCGCGGAGCTGGAGGTCTCGCCCTACAACAACTGTTACACAAATTTAAAAATAGATATAAATTTACACAAATTCTAACAAGTAACAACTAACAAGCATCATCAAAATCATCAATCATCATCATTCATCAATCAAAATTATCATTCATCATCACTAAACCTTTATAACTTTTAAGCAGATAAACATCCCATTTCCGTGGTCGTTCATCATCATCACCATTCACCAATCATCGTCATCATTAATCATTCAAAATCATCATCAATCATTCATAAATCAATCATTAAAACTCCAAATTATCATTCTAAATTTCTAAATTCTAATTATCATACATAATAAACTTACATAATATATGTCAGTCGGCGGGGGAGGGAGAACAATGGTTGCCTGGCGGCTGGCGCCGGTGGGGGTCGCTGGTGGAGTTTGACAAGGCGCCGGCGGGGCAGGGAGAAGGCGGCGGAGGGGTCCCAGAGACGGGAGACCTAGCGTCGGCGGGGAAGGAGGACAAGGCGGGGCAGGGAGAACCGAAGAAGGCGGAGGAGTGGGTCTGGCAGGCAGGGGGCCTGTCGCGCGAGGGAGGAAGTTCGAAGGTGTAGGTGGCCCTGCGACTGTGATGTCTCGGCGGAGTCTCGGGAAGGCGGGGTCGGCGGTGGAACGCGGGGATTGGATCGTCACATTGGGAGGGTGGAGGAGGCGGCAGTGTTGGCTGCTACTGTGAGTCGAAGAAGACGAAGGTAGGGTTGGGAGGGTTTTAGAACTGCTGCTGGCAAAATAACGCCGTCTCCTGTCGGTAGGTTGGGTAGGTTAGCCGGGTAACCGAATTCAGTTTATCGGCTAGCCGACGAACCAATAACCTATACTGGCCACTAACCGACGCACTTATTCCTCGGTTTTCGGTTAGCCGCTAATTGGCGATTAACGGTTAGACCGGCCGGTTAGCCGTTAACCGGCAACCAAAATGACAGCCCTACCTACCCCTAGGTGTGAGCATTGGTGTGGTTGAACCGCTCCAAACCGCACCGAATAGATTTTGTGATTGAGCCAAACCGCACCGTAACACTTGCAGTCTGAATTTTTAGCGGCTCGCGATTTGAGGTAGGGTTAATCCGAAATCACGTGATCGCGATTCAAAAGCGCAAATCACAAATAATTTTGATCTCCAGAAAGCCAACTGCTAGCGGCTTGCATTACGCCAACGTTTTAGTCGCACCGTCAAGCGTTTAATTTTTGTGGCACACTCGACGCTGGTGGCGATCTCTTCTAGTTGCCCTGCAATTGCGAGAGCTACGTTCATGGCCTGCAGAGCTCATCTTGGCAGGTTTGAGTTCTCATCTTCTCCTTAAATCCTTACACATGTTTCTCCTCACTACAACAAAACTGTTATTTAGCGACGGTCATACAGACTTTTAGCGACGGTTATGACGGACACCAAACCGTCGCTGACCCAGCAGTCCTTAAAATTTTTAGTGACGGTTTTGGTCGACCGTCACGTTAGCCGTCGGGAAAATGTAGCGACGGCACTGACCGACGCAATCTTCCAAACGACTGTCGTTAAATAAATTTCATAATAAAAAAAGTAAACTACTTAGTGACAGACTCTGACCGTCGCTAAAAGCCAGCGACTGTCGCCAAAACACTCGTTTTAAAGTGTGGCCTGCTCTGCCCTGGCCAGCTGTGATTTGATTTTTTTTTTTCATAGGAAGCCTGCTGTGATTTTCTGAAATGCCAAATCAACAATATACAGATACTTTGATGATCATAAATCCACCTACTTTGAATTACCATATCAGAAACATAAAACATCAATCCTTCAATTCTGGAACAACCAAATCCAATCAAACCACTTACAAAAGTTCAAAACCTACAATCTAAAGTTTACTACTGTCATTCAAACCACTTACAAAGTTCAAAAATCCCACTTACAGTCCCTCTTTGCTCCTTATAATACCACCAAAGACAAAACTCCAGCACTGTGGAGACTGGTATATAAACTTCCTTTCATTAACCAGCAGCTCTGCAGAAACACCCAATTCAAATCACTTAGTTACCAAAGTATAATGCCTAATGTAGTACACAAAATTGGTATTCATTACTTGGAACATCACAAATAGAAGAAAATTGGTACACAAAAGTATAATGCCTAATGTAGTTACAGTGAAAACTATGGATTACATATAGAGAAAGAGACATCAGCGTGCAATATATGTATATAGGTATACATAAAGAGGAAGCAAAATGGCTAGCTTTTGGTTGGTAGAATATATATAAACAGACTTAGCGCCAAACAAGCTAGCTAACTAGGTTAAAATTGGATTAACTACAACAAGCTGCTATGTAGTACTAGTAACCAAAAGGGTGATATTGACCAGTATCTAGTTATGCGTGAGAAGCATTAACATCACTCAATCATGCATGTATACGACCCAAATTCCAAGCATTTGAAACAAAACTACAAACATTGAACGCTCACTTGAGCTGCAGGAACTATAGAATCAACCCAATTGACCATATGATCAGCAATGAAGTCACTCTGTTCAAATAAACTTAACAACCATCCATAGGATTAGGTCCTTAAAGTTTCTAGTGTTCCACTTATATTTATTCTAATACCAGAAGCAAGAAAAACTTAGTTATCCAGAAAAGAAAGGACTTACTAGTTCACTTTTACTTTAGTATCTTCTTCCCAAGATGTAGATGAGACAGGCAACTTTGATTCTACTAGCCTCACCTGTACCATTGCAGCAGTAGCATACATGTGTATAGTTTTATCAGATCGAGTAAATTAATAAAACGGATGCATATGATTCCCACAAACGAGCTAAATGACTAAAAACGAACTTGTACATCTTGAAGACGCTTCAATCCCTTCTCCAACTGAAAGTCTGCTGCAACCATTTCACCCCGCCATGATTTCAAACTGTGTGTGCATGTAGTAGTATGAAACAAAACAAATCCTCAAAACAAAGGAAGATAAAGCAGCATAGTCAAATCCTATATCACAGATCAATTATAATACGACAGGGTAACTGCAGGCTAACCATATACCTCTTAAAAGCATATATATATATATGCAAGCAAGCAGCAGCAGGGTAACTGCAGGCCTTCCAAAAAGAATTGAGCTTTGGCTTGTTGTATAGCATAAGTAGACTTAATCTGTCATCAACATAACCAATGAAAGTAAGACATAGCGACTCGTCTCTTTAAGCATGCATGGTTGTTATTATACCAGCTCAAGTTTGGTATAATAACTTGAATCAGCAGAAAATTACTGATCTGAGACTTTGGAGAGCCTACTCAAAAGCAGTATATCAACTTCTTCTTCAAATGTAAGGACTTCTGAACCTATGGGGCAACTCTGTCCCAGAAGCACTAATGTTGAGTCATTCACTAGAGAGTTCCAGTCATCCCCACAAGTTTAATGAATTATAAATCACCAAAAAGCTATTGTCTAAATGGAAACTTGAGCAAGCCTAATCCTTAGTTATTGTTTCAATAAGAGCTTCTGCTAAGTAAACAGGAACCCAGAAATGAAACCAACGCCCAAACAAAGAATTTGAGAAGGAGTAAAATCAAAATGATTTATTACTTTAAGCCTTTCTAAAGGCTAACAGTGGAGTTGACAAGACTATCAAATTCTTAGTCATTGACCAAGTATACAGAGAGCAGGGGATAAGATAACTTCTTTCTTCATTCCTTCTACATAGCAAATAACTACCCCATGTCTGTAGGCAAGCTCAAATATTGGCAAACAAATGCAATAGAAGCAAGCATGGAAGGTTTCTCTTATTAATTGAAGTTAGATAGTTCTTTGAGAATATTCATCGAATAGCTGGTGGGCAAAATCGTTAGAGTTCCCATAGAGAAGAACATATTTCGCCGAACTCATGGAACACTCTATACAGCTATGAAATTGAAATCAACAAAAGAATTAGAAGCTCTGAAGAATCTCTGCTTACTAGTTGCATGTAGTGTATGCTGGATTACCGAGCTGGGATCTGCCTTGAAGAACTCAACAAGCTTTCCTCCCAACCCTTCTCTGAGAAAGAAGATTTGAAAATTCTGCTCTGCGTCTGTTAATAATAATGAATCGGTGAAAGAGAGTTTCAATGTCGACAGAGTTGCAATGTCGACAACGGAAGCAAGCTAAGAGAAGAGACAACGTAGAAGACTGAGGTACCACCGGCGTTGTGGACGCCGGAAAAGGTCGGGGCGATACGACAAATTGAAAATGAAACTAGGATTAGGAAATAGGAAGCATACCAAATCAAGGTAAGATGAGAGAATAAACGAGGTCGTGGGTACCGGCGGCGACATCAACGATGGCAGGTATTGACGAAGGGTTAGAGAACTGGAAATTGCAATCGAGAACTAGGGTTTCGAAAGTACCATTGAAGAACTCTCTGTTTTCTTTTCTCAAAAATAGAAAATAGCAAGAATCAGGCAGTGGGCTTTCAGAAGAGGAAACTTAAATTTGTAGTGTCTCTATGACTATGTTTATCTTGAACAAGAAATATATAAATTACTAAGCATGACTAAAGAAATTGGCATATCATAGAATGCAATATAACCCATAATTGAAGAAACAAAGAAGGTCCAAGTTAAACAATAATTTATAAATTACTAAGCAGACTCACCTTGTGTTTGTAGATATACGACCTCGCTTACCCACTTCAGAACTGCTCAAACAAAGAAGGTCCAAGTTAAACAATAAACAAAGAAGGAAGAACAAGAGGCTAGCAGGTCACAGATTCCCCATGAGACGAATGAATACCAGCAGCAGCAAATACAGAGAAAAATGAGAGGAATTCACCAATAAGTTGCATTTATTTACAAGCGATGACAAGTTATAGGAAAGTGCAAAAACAAAACAAAAGAGAGAGATTTCATGCAAGACTAACTAAGACTAGTCTAAGACCAGAGAAGCTGAAAGCCATAGCAAATTACCTTCTGGAGAGCAATAGGGATGGCAGGGCATTTGGCTTTAGCAAACCCAACAACACCATGAAAATTCAATAACTCGAGTTATTAACGGAGAATACATTATGTATTCGATGATGTCTCTACCGCCTCATATATGCATGATGTTGACAATGCTACTGCATCCTTCAATCAGGTCTATTGTTACACACAGGTGTAGATACCATCTCTACATTTAAAATTCATCCATAAATTCACAAACAAAAGTTTGTAGCTACTTACCCGCCGATGCACACAATAACTTGTCCCTCGAATCACCGCTCTTACTCTCAGAATTCAGTGTCTTTCAAAACCAACAACAGCCAAGCTCCCGCACACCTTCTATAAATAGGCCTTACTCTCGCCCAAGTCCTAACAAGAACCAACCATCCAACAGTCATTTCAAGAGGGAAAGTTACATCACATAACAATATGAGGAGTCATATTATTCACTCTCATAATCACCAGCCTCCTCGACCTCAAGGTGGAGGCGAAACCTCAAACTTGCTTGCCCATATGCAAGCTCTAAGGAAAAAAAGCCTCTGCCAAAGAAAGTCAATCAGATCACTGGGGCATCGAGTACCCATGCCAGCTGCTGCTGACAAGAATACTGCACATGGACCCAATTGATTGATTAGAACCTTGCATGCACTCCGTAGTATGTGAAATCGCTATTCAATCTACTTCTCCACCATAAGTCATTAAATTGAAAGTCATGTAATACCATAAGCAGAACAGAAGGCATGACTTCAGGAGAAAATCAGGGAATTAAGTTCTCATGGGCATTCCAACAAACATCTGTCAGGCACCAAACAAATATCCTATTTCACCCACCACGATTGTTGAAAGACCAAATTAGACATGATACTAGTTTAGGAAAGGAAAAACATCATGATAAGAATATTGATCAAGGGAAGGAAACAATGAGACTCGATCAAGAAGTTGAAAATTAGGGTTTGTAAAAACTGCCGATTGAGAGAACAAGCTCAATCGAGCCCCTCCAAGAATCTTACCACGTTTCAAAATTGGACAACGCGGGTTGTAGCTTAGATTCCATGGTCGGAAGCGATCACAATGGCCGATGACAATAGATGGTGATCGACAGCGGTAAGCGAGGTTTCAAAATCGCCTCGATTAAAGGTGGAACATGGTGGAGGACAAGCGAAGGGGTCGCCGGGTGAAGCTGCATGATGGTGATCATCGCCGAGCAGAATTAGGGCCGGCAGATTTTTTCAGGAAACGGAGGACGGAGCGTCTGGCAAAATCGCGATAACTCTAGAGAGAAGGCAGAGAAAGGAAAGGAAGAGAGAGAATGGAAGGTTGGAGAGTTGAGAATTGAGATGCCTTAACTTTCTTTCTCGTTAATATCGTCCATGGAAGAAACAAAAGTATTTTCCTTTTCTATTTTCCTATTTTGAAAGTTAAAGAAAATTAAATTAAGACACATTTATACAAACCTGCACCGTGAAACGTGAAAGTAGTTTCTCGACGGGTCCACAGACCGTCAAATATGTCCGTCAAAAAGTACCATATATTGACGGGCGAAGACGCTGTCACTAAATGCCCGTGGTTATTTTGCAGTTTTCTTGTAGTGCCTGTTCGTATTTGACATATCAAAACTCTTCTCTATCTTTTTTTACAGAAAATAAACTTCAATATTTACAGTCCAAACATGTCGTCCTCGAGCAGAAGTATTATATACCTGCAACAACAGTTTTTTAGAGGCTTTTTTTTAATCGTCAACAGTGGTGTTGATATCTCAACTTTGATAATTTGATTCTCTTTGTTTGTTAACCTAACTTTGTGTTGAGTGATATGTAATTGGGCTTCGACCCATTCTCCCATACGTGTGCATGATAGGTTTGGCCGCGTATGGAGAGTAGTTAGAGTTTGTCTAGTCCTATATATACATGTAACCAAAACTATTGTGATTAAGCTGAATAAGATACAACAGTAGTTTCGGTCATGGACTAGTATCGTCATACTGAACGGGAAACAGGGTAACTCTCTGTGTTGATTTCTGTTTTTTATTTCGATAATCCTATACAATTAACATGGTATCAGAGCCTATGTCTTCTGAGTAGATCACCTCTCATCTCAACTTCAAGAATTACGCGGTTTGGGAGTTCCAGTTTCGCACTCTGATCGAAGGGAAGGATCTCCTCAGTTGGCTTGACAGCACCGTAGCTCGACCGATGACTCCTCCTCTGACAGCATAGGAGGTCATGCAATGGACAGTCAATTATGCTAAGGTCAGGACAATGCTTCTGAATTCTGTTGATGGTTCGATAATTCTAGGGCTTCGGACGCTACCTACGGCTGCAGCTATTGGAAGTATCTTGTCGACACGTATCAGACGACGACTTATTCTCGTCAATATGAGATTGAGGTCGAGTTGGTCTCCCTTATCAAGGCATTATGGATGTGATGTCTTATTATAATGCCGCATGCAATCTCTAGACTGAACAAGACCTTGTCATCGCCTCGCTTCTCACTACAGCAGGTTCGACGGAGGTTTGGGCGGAGCGGGGAAGATGCAATTGATGTAGTTCCTTATGTGCCTCAATAAGGACTATGGACCGATTCGAGCTTCCTTGTTGAATCGGGAGAATCTCTGGATTGAGGGTGTTATTGCCTACTTGATTCAGGAGGAAACACGTCTTCGGACGTAGGCTGTCTTGGATGTCCATCCTGGTTCAGGCGAGGGTGCGGCGGTGTTCAATGCCGCTCCCAAGCATCAACTCTCATTGGAGTCAGCAAGTGGTGGTGGGAGTAGGAGAGGCTCCCGTAATGTGGCAGCCTAGCAGGATGACGTCGCGTTTGCTGCGTATCCAGCATTGCTTTAGCGACGTGCTAACCCTACCGATGTTGAATGTTTTCATTATAGGGAAAAGGGTCACACAAAGAAATATTGTAGGAAATGTAATCTATGTTTCTACTGTAAAAATAACTGGCGTATCATTCCCGACAGCCCGACGCTTGAGGGGCACAATCGTAAAGCTGGTGGTCGTGGAGGTAGCTTCCCCGCTTCCCGTCCGGTGTATGCTACACAACCAGCACTGCCACCTGCCGGGTCGTAAAATCTAGTGGTGCTTCTTTCCTGGATACTTGATTCTGTCTATTTTAATCATATGACTGGTGATGCTTCTGCACTTACGGGTCTTCATTTTGTTGATAATTTGTCATTACAAGTTGCTAATGGGGAGAGGTTGCACGTTTCTAGCATGGGTTTTGTTCATGACTTGAATGTTGTTTTGCCAACCACATATCACGTGCCTAAATTGGTTTCGAGTTTGGTTTTTATGGGTCAACTTACTCACCAGGATTATCGTTTTACGTTTGCACCATCTGGTTGTATTTTTCAGGATTAGAACACTGGGAGGGAGATCGGGCAGGGTAGCATCAAGGGATGACTCTTTTATCTCGATCAGCTTCGTCCGCCATCATCATCATTATCGAGTTCCATGTTCCCTGTTTTTCGAGTCTTCTTGATCAAACTTTTAAGTTATGACATGCTCGGTTAGGTCATCCAAACTATAATCGTCTTACGACCATGTTAAACAATAGTTATTTGGCAATAATACATCGACCTAGTTTTCGTCGGATTTTTCATGTACCAGTTGCATTGAAGCTAAGACTACACATATTTCTTTTCCGTCTAGTCTTACTGTGATTTGTGAGTTATTTCATCTGATACATACAGATATTTGGGGCCTAGCTCTGCCACTTCATGGATGGGCTACAAGTATTTTGCCTTGTTCATAGATCATGCTACGAGGTACACCTGGGTTTACTTCCTTCGACTAAAGTCTGACATGTTATCTGTTGCCACCGAATTTCTTGTCATGATCAAAACACAGTTTGATAGGATAGTTCGTGTAGTCCGCTCTGATCCTAGGGGTGAGTTTAGCTCTGGTCCCTTGTTAAGTCTCTATAAGTCCCTTGGCATTCTATCACAAAAATCTTGTCCTGACGTCTCTCACCAAAATGGTTTGGTAGAGCGGAAAAATTGTCATGTTTTGGAGGTTACTCGAGCCCTTTTACTTTCCTCTTGTGTTCCTTCTTCGTTCTGGCCCAAAACTGTTGCTATTGCTGCAAATTACTTGTGTCCTTGGTCAAACTAGCCCCTATTCCAATCTTTTCCATAAACCTCCACCATATTCCCGTCTTCGTGTCTTCGGTTGTATCTGTTTTGTCCTCCTCTCTCATTCTGAGTGTACTAAGTTGACCTCGAAAACTGCTCGGTGTTCTTTTCTTGGGTTATAGTGACATTCACAATGGCTATCTATGTTATGATCCTAAGCTTTGTCGTGTTCGCATTGCATGTCATGTAGTCTTCCTTGAAAATTTGATGTTCCATTCGTCTCCTTTCGTGTAAGATCCACCTCTCTTTGATATGTCACTTGCCCCTCCTACCTTTGCCAAAGATGATGATGATGGCTTCCTAGAACCTCTGGATAACTTGTTACTACCAGACTCTCCTCCTGCAACTCACGAATTATCCGGTTCTTCATCCTCTTCAGATGAGTCCCCGTCACCCTCTCCTCCAACAGTGGTTCCGCGTCATTCTCTTCGTGCTACCCGCGACTTCCCTCTAGTTTGCCATCAATACTACTTAGTCTACAATGTGGATCTGATTCCCATACCCACCCTGATTCTCACAGGCGAAGGGGAATCCATATTGGGATCGTGCTATGGACGAGGAATTTAACGACTTCATGCGAATGAGACTTGAGATTTGGTACCTCGGCTGCAAGCTATGGTCCCAGTGATAGGGTCCCACTGGGTTAATAATATAAAGTTTCTCCTGGATGGTTCTCTCAAGCGCTATAAGGCTCGCGTTGTCGCCTATGGATTATTTCAGGATTATGGTATTGATTTTGAAGAAACTTTTGACCCCATGGCAAAAATGGTTACTGTTTGATCTCCATTGGTGGTGGCTTCCATTCGACGTTGGCCCTTTTTCAATTCGGCGTCAAGAATGACTTCTTGTATGGCAAGTAGAAAAAGACTGTTTACATGGAGCGTCCACCTAGCTACACTAGAGGTACTCCTGATCAGGTTTGTTTACTCCATCGATGTCTATATGGTTTGAAGCAAGATCCTCATGCATGGTTCGACAAGTTTCATTCCACGATTTTGGCTCTCGGCTTTCAGCAGAGTCTTAACGACCTATCCTTATTCACTCGTTGCACTGCTTCCAGGATGGTCATGCTGCTCTTATATGTTGACGACATGATCGAAACGGGAGATGACTCCGAGGGGATACAGGCCCTCACGGCAGCCCTTCATACTTCGTTCAACTTGAAGGAGCTTGGACATGTTTCTTATTTCTTGGGAATAAAGGTTCGACAGTTTCCAAATGGTATCTTGCTTAGTCAAAGTAAATACATTGATGATCTTTTGGAGACAGTCCAGTTTGAAGATTGTCATCTTGTTTCTACACCAATGGAGCTTCATCTCAAGCTCGGCAGGGAGGCCGGTGAGTTGTTAACCGACAGTAGTAAGCATTAGAAGAGTGTTTTGGGAGCCTGAGCTACTTGACTTCTACTCGTCCGGATATTGGATATGTTGTTGAGATCATCAGCTAGTTTATGTATGCACCACGTACATATCATTTTGCCATAGTTCGTTGAATTTTGCGATACGTGCAGGGTACGAAGGGGGTCGGCGTGTTCCTCCCTAGCTTCATCTTGCTCCTTAGAGCTTCAGGATTTTTCCGACTCCGATATGCTAGTTGTGTTGAATTGTTGATACCCGGCGTTCTACGACAGGGTGGTGTGTTTGCCTTGGGAATTGTTTTATTTCCTAGCGTTGTAAGAAGCAAGATTGGGTGTCGAACTCTTCCACACAATCTGAGTATAGGGCCATGTCTGATATCTCATCGGAGCTTGTCTGGTTGCGATGACTACTTGGCAATCTTGGGGTTGATTGTGACATCCCTTTCCAACTCTATGTTTATACCACGAGTGTTATACAGATCACGACGAACCCGGTGCTTCATGATCGTCTGAAGCATATTGAGGTCCATCTTCATTACATACGAGACTTGGTTCGGGATGGGATCCTTCGCCTATTCCATGTTACTTCTGAGGACCAAATTGATGATTTATTGACCAAGTCCTTAACGGCCAGTTGTCATTACTATTTATCTCGCAAATTGGTGATGAGGGATCCTAATCAATTTGGGGGAGGTTGTTGAGTTATATGTCATTGGGCTTCTGCCCATTGTCCAAAATGTGTGCATGATAGGGTTGGTCGTGTATGGAGAGTAGCCAGGGTTCGTCTCGTCCTATATATATACATGTAACCAAAACTATTGCGATTAAGCTGAATAAGATACAACAATAGGTTTGGCCGTGGACTAGTCTCGTTCATACTGAACGGGGAAACCACGTAACTCCCTGTGTTGATTTACATTTTTGTTTTGATAATCCGTTACGATTAACACTTTGTGCACCACTTAATTAAATATTTTCCTATAGAATTGTTTTGTTTTAATAATATCGAGTGGTTAAAGTCATTAGAGATATAACTAACATGATGCATATAAGTATGATCTTAAATATTCATGTCTGTTATAATTACGAATAATGAGTATAGAAAGTGAATCCAAACCTGTTAATTGAATTATGCATAGTCCATATTACATTGCGTTGTCGAATATGTGACGCGGTTTGGACCGCACCAAATCGGTTATCTAAGCAGTTCAGTTTGACCGCACCGACTATATTGCGGTCTCTTATGAGGTGCGGTCTAACTATCATGAGGTGCGGTGCGGTTTGTGTCAATGTGGTGTGGTACAATTCGAACCGCACCAACGCACACCTCTACCTGCCCTGGCCCGCGCCACTTGATAAATTATCCAACCTGCTGCGGAGCGGGTTTGGGTATTGTGATAACCAACTTGCCTAGGGGTCGACATCCGGTTCGGTTTCGACTCTCCGAACCGACCCAAACCGAATTTGCTACTATTCGGATCAGAATTCGGATATAAAAATATCTTAATTCGGAATACAGGACTGTGTCAACCGAAATCAAATTCCGAGTTCCGAACCAAAAAAACCAAAAATTGAAACACACCCTAATTAATTCCACCCCTACCCTGACCCAATGAAATAGTAAAGGCTTAAACTGCTGGGTGGGCCAAGCCCAAACATTTGCTGTTGTTTTCCCAAAGAAAGACCCAACAAAATAAAACCCTAAATTGCAATAATCCATAACCTTCTGTCCGCCGCTCTCTCACTCAAATAAAACAAACATAACACTCTCTTATGCCGCTCTCTCTCACCTCATCGATCGGCTCTCTCGGCGGAACTCAAACCCTCTCCCTCCCTCCCCTCATCCCTCACGTCGTCACCCTCCCATGACCCATAACTGATCACCATCACTCGATCGCTCTCTCCCACATGCATGTCGAAAAGAGCTTCCCGATTCTAGATCCAATCTCCCTCTTCATCGTCCCCGTCCTGCCGCCGGCTATGTCCGCCCCGTCTCCACACGCCGAGAGATCTCAATGACTGGTGGAGTCAGAGAAGAACAGATTTGGGGCGAGAGAGTAGGTATAGAAGAAGCGTTGTTCTAGATGGGCGAGCTGGCGACGGAAGGAATGGAGCGCGAACTCCAGAGGAGCCGTCAATGGCTGATTGAACCAGATCTCTAGTGTTATGGCGGGAGAGGGGAGAAGGAAGATGAGGAAGTGGGAGAGGTGAGAGCAGCGTCGGTGATAACGATGTATTTGCACATGTTTGCACCCTTAGTTCTTATCCGTTTGCGGCTCGTAGTCATGTATTTTTGGCCCATTTTACGCTGGGTTGTGCTACTTTGTCATATTTCAGGTCCCAGACGTCGAAGGAAAGGCTAAGCACGAGATTCGGGGCGTTTGGAGGTCATTCGGTTGAGCTGGGGGCAAAACACGGGCAGGAGGCCTGAAGAACACGGCCGTGTACACGAACGAGCACGCCAATGTTTTTTAGTGCGAGAGCTGAACTGATGAAGAAACAAAACACGGGGTGGCCTAAAGAAAAACACGGCCGTGTTTCAGACCGTGTTATTTATGCCGAGGGTTGATTTTTGGGAGCTGCTGCGAAGTCCAAAACACGGGCGGAAGTGAAGCAAAACACGCCCGTGTCATTCTTTAGGCACGACCGTGTTTTGGCCGACGCGGGCGTGTTTTTAACAAGTGACGAGGGCACGAACGGGCAAAAGAAAAACACGGCCGTGCCCTCGATCGTGTTTTGCCAATAATTGGGTTTTTGAGGCAGTTTCAAGTCAAAGGAATGGGAATCGAGTTTTTGAGCGAAAAACAGAGCCCTAGAGAAAGAAAGTGCGAAGAACACATCCTAGAGGTGATTTTGGAGTTGGGTTTCATCAATCGAGCTTGGAGATCATCATAGGAGTGAAGATCATCATCCCAGAGCAGATTTTCCTCATCTTTATGAGTATGACTACTCTGATTTCTGTTTTCCTCTCTCTATGGAGTAGAACCCTCTCTCACTTGGGTATGAAGAACCCTAGTTCCATGTGCTAGGGATCTTGATTGTAATGACTAGGTATTGTTATACTGATTGATTTTAATCGATTGATGCATGATTCATTGAGTCAATTGAAGGTTGATCATCTTTTCTTGATTTCTGCTACACCTGAGATAGATAGAATCTGATTAGGTTGTTAGAGCTTCATCAATCGGTAGTGGTAGATTGATTATACGAGAGTTAATCGATTTACTGCTTTGTACTGGAATCCAATTCCAGTAGTGGAGTTCTGTGTTCATAGCCTCAGCTTTCTATCCCGGTGAAGACTAGTCGTCTGCCGAGTAGTTGGACTGAGAGGGCTTGGTCAGGTTAAAAGATTCCAAACTACTGTCGGATCTTCCGCAGGAACAGTTAATCAACCCAGGATAATTACAACTGTGACCTAACTAAGAAGCTAGGGGGACTCATTCCCGAGTGACTCTCCCCTTGCTAGGGGAACTCATTCCCGACCGAATGCCCACCCAAACCTGCCCATTGCCATTCCTGCCCATGATTCAGAAGGTTCACATGGCAAAGAAAATGTTAACGAGACCAATAGCAGAGTGAAGTAAATTTTCTTACATATATTAGTAGGGCAGGCATTCTGCGCTGGCTCTTTGTTGAGATGTCTGCTGAAGCTTTCCACCTGCAAAATAGATGCATAGCTAGCTAGCTTTCTCATCACTGTGATAGCAAAACAGAAATTGCTCTCCGCCCATTGATGAAGCAGGCACAGCATGCAGTTAAGGTTCGCAACTAAAAGATATCTGGATCAGAAATATAAAACTGCTACTGCCTGCATCGAACGCACCTCTACAAATTTAACCTCCAATGCTGCTCAATCTCCATGAATTTGGCTCATTAATATACCTGTCGTACTGAACTGGCTCTTACTGCCAACCCACGATCCAGTAGTATACGATTGGACATAGGAATTATTTACGTTTATATAGTCTTCATGATTCATTCTGTTTTATTTAGCTTTTACATTTACCGCCTCTACAAATTAAAGTAGTTACCAGTGCGTACTTTTTTTTCAAATAATTTAGATTTGTTAATCTCGTGTTTTTCTTCTTCTTATTATTAGAAAAAATATTTTAATTCATATAGAATCAATATGCCCGCTACATTCTTCTTCAAATTATTTAAAAAAGCGAAATGACTTGTTCTAATCATGTCAAAAACAAATTTTAGGGGACATAAGTAGCAAGCAAATATAAATTACTCACTTCACTTCACCTTACCTCATTGTCATTACTAAAGTATTCATGTGTTTGCCACTTCATTGAACATTAAGTTATAGTCTTCTAGACTTCCAATTCATGGGTGAACCCAATAGTGCGACCAATTTCTCATATGTAATTTGACCTCGTAAACGTTGTTTTCGTTTTGAAATTTCGGATGACATTTTAGTTCAAAAAAATTTATATTCTATGTAGTCATAACAGACAGAATGATAGAGATGCAAAATTACCGATACTAAAATTACTATATAACACAAAAATTGAAGAATCCAACTTCTTCCAACTAAAGTCAACTCCCCGCCATCTTGACATTTACATTTCACAAAAAGTTGGCCTGATCCTCAAGCCATCACCAATTTTCAGCACCTCGCACGAACTAATAAGGGAGCAAAGTATAGAAACACACAAAACCCTATTGTGAAATCTAGAAGGAAAAAAAAAAGAGAAAATCAAACTTTATTGGGAAAATCTAAGAACATCCCCAATATCTAATAATTTACCTAACGACATGAACGGCGAGCGGCACCAGCTCCGACAACGGAGAAGCCACCGGGGTCGGACCTGGGGACGGGGCGGGAGATGTCCGGCATAGAGGACACGTGGCGGTCATCCGGAGCCACTCGTCAACGCAGCGAGCGTGGAAGCAGTGGTTGCACTCCGGAATGCACCGCAGCGTATCCTTGGGCCGGTAATCGGACAAGCAGATGGAGCATGGGCCGCCGCTGTTGGGCCTGGGCAGCCGCTTGCTCTCCCCCAACAGAATCTTGGGCAGGGACTCGATCGACTTCGGATCCAGCCCGACCACGAACTCAACCGCCGCCTCCGACGAGGAGTTGTCGCGGCGGAGATGGTGGTGGAGCTGGTACCGGTAATCGCTGACGGCGGCGTCGTCGTCGTTGTGGTCTCTAGAACTTCGGCCGCCGCCGCTGCTGGTCTTGAGCCTGACGCAAATGTAGGAAGCGAGCATAATGGTGGAGATGAGGACGAGGAAGCTGACGGCGATGGCGATGCCGTAGCCGAGGCCGACGCCGGCGGCCGAGACCGGCGGATCGGCGGGGGACATGGTAGAGAAAGGGAGAGGGTGCTGAGGAGAGTGGAGTGATGTGAATTATAAATTGAATGAGACGCGGGATGGGATCAAGAGACTGCAGTGGCCAGTGGAGATGGAGCTTTGGGATTGATGTTCAACGCTTTGAGAATGATAGAGATTCAGATACAGTTGTAATAAAATTGCATTAATAAGGGAGACTGAGAAGGATGGTTATTAAATGGTCGGAAAAGTGGTAGGCGAGAATCCATTTATGATATGGGGCCGGACTTTCATGTTCATTGTTTCAGGAAGGCGTTTCGTACCGTTTGGTATCAAATGAATCTAGAATTCAATTCGTTTTAAAATGAATTCATGTGTTTGGTATATGCTATTAGTGTTACAGTCAAATTCTTGTCGACGTTCCTCATACTGCATGAATCGGCGCCAAATAATATATGCAGAAGTAATTTTTGTTAATAAATGAGAATAATTATGTCATTTTATCATAATTGGTAAATACTTGTGGAATTCATTTGAAAATTTCATCTCAATTTCTCGGAATTGTTATAACTAGCTCCAATCCCGTAGAATTCAAAATTTAGAATTGAAAATGAATTCTTTTAAATACCAAACACAAAAATATTTCATTTCAAAATGAATTTCTAAAAACTTATGAAATTCATTTATACCAAACGGTATGTTAAAACGAATTGAATTCTAGATTCATTTGGTACCAAACGATCTGTTAGTGTGATGATGATGATTTGTAAATCAAGTGTGTTCAAATACTTCAATAATTTATCATGCATGCCCATCTCATAAATAAATATTAATGAAACAAAGAATGTACAAAAGTCAAATATTATCATGAAATTCAAAGAGAGTATAAAATGAGTATCAGTTATTCCGTATGTTAAAAAGTTTGCCTTATGAAAATTATCATAGTTGGAATCTTCCAATACCTAGTCTAGAGCTCTCAAACAGCAAGACCGAGGTTTGCATGTTGGTGATCAATTGGAGGGTCCAGAGAAATGAGGTGGATAATCATGGTTGAGCCGAGCTCGAGCTCAACTTTCCTGTATGTAACATGTATCCCATGCAAGTTGAAGACCAATGAGCGCATCCACAGTTGTACACTTTCTTGAGTTTGTTGAGTAAGCCCCTAATAAGTAACTATGATCATCTCTACTAGTGTTAAGGTAGAATAAAATGAGAAAAAGGAAAAAGATAGATTTTGATAGGTGTGAAGATAGAGACCATATATTATAACTTTAGAATTAAAAATTAATTATTTGATGGGTTAATTTTTTCCCCCTCCCGTATATGGAGTGAGAATGAGATTCACAATTTGTAGTCATCTAAAACGGTGATTGATTGAGTACATTAGTTACAACAAAGTTTGGTGTGTTTGATATGAAAACAAAAGCATTGATGATGTACTCAAATACAGTCATAATAGAGTAGGTTTGATTACACTTCGTTTCTTAAAATTTTGAGCTCGTAAATTTCGTTTCGAAACTATGTTACATAAATCTTTTTTTATGGGATCTCTTTTTGGTTCATGAATCAAACACCAACAACAACCAACTCCATGACATCTTCCAAGTTATTGTCATCCTACGATCCTCAATCTCCTTATCTCGAGTAGCAATTCGATTCCTCCAACGGTCCAACCTCATCCTCAATATCTCCCTCTTGAACGAGCACCCAGATGTGATTTTCCTCCACATTAACCAATTTAGATGGATCAGTTCTCAATTTTTTGGGTAGCTCCATTGGCCGACTTCCATAATCAATATGGTTACCAACAAATTCATAGTGAAACGTTGATTTGGAGGTGGTAGGGTCGAGAACTACGTAAATGAGCCAAACCGGTAATCTAATCCTTATTGCAGCCAATCAGTGAAAGAGCCACGTTATTGGTTGGTAAGAAGGGATGTAGTACTTTTAGAATTAAGTAAATTACTACATGTAAATTTTGTAACACATTTCGAAAAAAGAGCAGGGTGGTAAGACTTTAGCACCCCGCTCTCCTCCTCTCTCTATGGTTCAAATTCCTTAAAGGTAAATTATTAACCCTTTCTCGTTCAGATTTCTGGTTCCGCCACTACAATCAATAATCAATAGAAGTGTGGAAAGCTCCAACTCGCAAAGAATTTGGGTTATGACAGTGGGGTATCCTCCTAGTCCTAACTCCTAAGGCCCAAGACGTATCCATGGTTCCAACTTACAACTCCTTAGGACGTGACACGTAAGCCACTTGCTCCGTTTCCATTCCACCACACAAAATTCCTACTTCAATCCGAAAACTGGCAAGAACCTTTGCCTCTCTCCCGTCGTCTCAATTCCAATCGAACACGATTCTCTGAAAATTTACTTCAGATTCTCATCAGCCTTATTTGCTCAATTGGGTTCGATTTCCTCCTCCATTTCAGGCAATCCGGCTTTCGAACCAACTGCTCTCTGTGTGGAGGTAAATTCTAGGACGCAGATAAAGAGCGAGAGAGGGGAGAAAGGTCATGGCTTTAGCATGCGCTTCTTCTTCGCAGGCAATCATATCATCAGCCAACGCCTGCTCATTCACAGCTTCAAACAGGAGATGGCCTAGTTTCCAGAGCGGCAGGCGGCCAAGTTTGAAGCATTTCACCGTCAGAGCTTCTTCGTCCGAGGTCGATTCCGATTGCAACACCGAGGAATGTGCTCCTGAGAAGGAGGTGAGAGTTGGGCTCTACCAAAAATCGAAAATTTCTCGCTTATTTTCTAAAAAATTCTACAACTTTTTTGTGCTCCTTCACAGCGTGTAAGGTGTTTGTTATTATGTCTGTGACCCGAAATGTTAGTGCCCGATGCGATTACTGGTTGTGGTCTGTGGGTTTGGGATTAATCAGGTCGGAAAGATAAGCATGGATTGGGTAGCCGAGGAGAAAACCAAAGTGGTGGGAACGTTCCCACCTCGCACTCGTGGCCGTCCGTACACCGGCTACGTCGAGAAAGATACCGCCGGGCAGACCAATATCTACTCCGTCGAGGTATTCTCGTGAATTCATGCTTTCACCTATTGTCCCTATGGATAATAATAATAATAATCAATCCAAACCCTTATTGGGTTTTTGTTTTTTTTTTGTGTTCCAGCCGACGGTTTATGTAGCCGAGAGTGCTATAAGTTCAGGCGCTGCTGGTTCTTCATCCAGCGGAGCTGAAAACACAGCTGCAATCTCCGGCGGCCTTGCCCTGATTGCCATCGCAGCTGCTTCGTCGATTCTGCTTCAAGTCAACAAGAACGCACCGCCGCCTCAGGTGCAGACGGCTGCATACAACGGCCCATCTTTGACCTACTACATCAACAAGTTCAAGCCACCGGAGGTCGTCCAAGCTGCAGCACCGACTGAACCGGAGTCTGTTGCGCCACCTGTGCAGACAGAATCTGCCGTGACAGAAACAGAGTCCGCTGCATCAGAAGCTCTCCAGGTAGAGGCTCAATCAGAGGTCCAGCCAGAATCTCCACCTGTAACCGAGAACTCTGCTGCGTCCTAAAGCTAAACAAGTTTTGCTCGATCTGCCAAAATTTTATAGTACCTGTACTTCCGCTAATGTATAGATACTTTATCATTGTATTGTATCTTTGTTATCAGAGGTTATCGTGATCCTCTTGCTCTTCATTCGTTTTTAGTTCCCTTGAGCAAGGGTTCGGTTCATATAAGTTACAATACAATGCAAATGGCCATTTCTGGGACCTAATCATCATATCCTAGAAGCACCCAGTGGCCAGTTCAAGAAAGAGCTGATACAATGGGCGTCTTGCCCAACAAAAACACACAGATACATACATCAATTATCATAAGCAAAATGGATGGCAGTAAAGAGGGAATGCAGACCTCGCATTCCATTGCAGAAGTATTAAGGTAGTAGCAGCTGACCCAGATGGCGGCTTGGAAAATAAGTGTACAAAATCTATTTGGACCAGTGGTTCTCGAAGTTAGCAGGGTTTCATGCACTTCCATGAGCTAAGGAGGGAGATACCTAATGCTGTATGCATCAGCAGTTTTGCCATCAGATTCAGTCACCAAATTATGGTCTCTCGCGCATTTTAGCTCTGGCGAAAAATACTCCAGCCAACAAACCTGAAGAGAAAGGGGGAAATACGTTGTTTAGAAGTGACATGCTGCATAAGCAGAGAGAGCGTGTGTGTGTGTGTGTAAGACTACATACCGAAGAGGATGCTAGCAGAGTTCTCCAAGCTTGTAGGTACTTTGAACAACAGGATGCCAGCAAGAGATAAAGGAATCTTATTCAATGATCCAACTAGGCTGCGAGATTTTCAACACAAAGAGAGAAAACCGATGAGGAAACATGAAACCTTAGTTTGATTGAGTAGATATCCACATCAACTATTTGTTAGTTACCTGTATGTGGTAGCCCCTGTCTGGTGAAGAAACCACATAGACGTGAAGCTGATAGCGAGGCCCAAGAACCCGCTCAACGTCATTACTAGCCAGAAAACTGGTAATCTCAAAAGGGGGCTGTTGATTTGAATTCGAAAAATTAGTCAGACAATGCAAAGGCTCCACTGAAGAACATGAAACAACTACGTGAATAGAGAAAGGCAAGCTTCGGATGGAACAAAATTTCTAAGATCAACAATCGAAACCAATATTGATACCAAATAATTTGGTTTTCAACATGGAAATTGGTTTCGGATTTGATTAAACCTACCACAAATTTCTCCCTGCTTTAATAAAAAAGTGGGCTTGAAATAACTTATGAGCAGTGACGTTGGAGAGGAAGAAAAAGGAAACTCACGTGGTTGTGAGGTAGTCCACCTCATTGAATACAAATATGAGAACAAGGCCCAAAGGAAGAGAAAGAGTGTTGTTGAGCATGACCATTGAGAACTCGTTTAGGTTCCCAGATCTAGTAACTTGCTTTGCTGTGTCCATCACCCGACGTAGAGTGAGCTGCAGCAACAGTAGAGAAAGAGGATCACAAAGAGAACAATGACAAGCCTTCCAACCAATCATCACTAATTTCACCCTTTGCAGGAGTTAAGAGGTTCAAGTTTTCACTGCAGATGATGTAGGACATGTATGATTCTCGTAGCTAAGTTTATCACCAAAGCCTTCGACTTTCTGTACTCACCGAATATGATGCAGTCAAAAAACAGTTAATGATTTGCCATGTGTAGCCAACAGCATGAAAAGAGAGATCGGTGAGGCCTCCGGAAATGGCTGAAACAATCTGCCATCAACAAAAAAAAAGGGTTCCAGTGTTACTTGAAAAACCTTCAGCAGAGCCATAAATGAGATGCGACTAAGTCTAAGAAGGTCATCAAGAAGTCTATATAATCTGTGGTCTACCCCATATTGAAAAAAGAAAGATAACGGATTATGAGGCCTAAGTTTAAGGGGGACATTTTTAATAATTATCACGCACTCTTGACTTAATCACTTTCTTCAATATCCCCTTTTCATCCCAAAAAATGCATCTACAGACAGAACATACCATCAAGAATAAAGCCACCCACACTCTATTATCATGGTGCTTCTGGAATAGATACATCTCGCCAACTGCAGTGATAACATTAGTCACGTTCTTCAAAACTGTGACCATGGCAACATTGATATACTTCAAACTGCAACACAACAAAAATTAATTCAGTAAAAATATCCAAAACAAACCAACTTTTCTGGAAAAGAGAAGGGGAAAAAACTAATTCGCATGATGAAGAAAAACCATACCTAAACATGCTTGTGATGAGCATTCCAACAAATATGACATTAACAGGCAACCAGACTTTGATCAATCTCCATGTTAGTGGTTCTGTTGAGATTACCCCCAGGAGGCTCAATGATGTTACGATAATTACTGAAATAAAGTTCTGCATCAGCCGAGAAAGGTGCCGTGAGTTGGTCAGAAGTACACATTTTCTGTCTAGAAGAGACAAGTACTCCAAGTTTTGGATTGATGTAGTTTCAGAACTTTACCTGGTACAACATCAAAGATATACCAGCATTGAAGTTGTAGCTGGAAAGCACAAATTTGTTGACCAGTATCATGCTGCACGAAGAAATACAATATGCTAGGCCAGCTAATAAGGCCTGATTATGCACGATTACTTTGTTACTGCGCATAAGTTTATCTACAGGCTTTTCCAACTTTCCATCTTCCAAATCAATTTCTCCATTTTCATGTGTCTTCATTGCAAATGCTGACCTGTCCCCATAGAAAATAAAACAACAGACTCGAACTGATTATTGCAAATCAAGTATTACAGTACCAACGAGCAAAGAGAAAAAAAAATCGTATACAAATGAAACTGAGAATCCCATTCTTTCACAAGTATATAGTATATGTTCAAATTGTGAGTACTAAGAACATTACTGCGCATAAAATCTGAGTTATTCTGTTGACCTTCACATCAAATAACATTGTATTAATCATCCAATCTAAGCAAAAACTGATAAAGTTAAACATTCCACACAAAATATGAGTACCTGTTGACTGCTTCTCTTCTCAATGGACTTGACCTCTGCTCTACAACCAAACTGGAGTCATGGTTTTTGAAACTCCCTCCACCTCGGCTAACTTTACCTGCTCCTTCTACCAGATCTCTCTCATAAAGAGAATCCGGAGTATCTATGGAGAGAGACCTACAACAAATAATACACACCCACATCAGTCACACTGCCAATGATGTACTTAATAACTCAAACACGGTGGGAAAGTAACAATCTTGAAAGGAATTTCAAGACACTACAGACTTGATCCAAGCACAGTAATCATTCAAGGTCAAGGATTGTTTTGCTGATGAGAATGCTTTGGTTAAAAGCAGACCAACCAAGAGACTGGATGAATAAGGGTAAGCACGAGATAACGTGAAATCAAATGAGTCCCAGTGAAACAAAGGCTAAAGAAATCCAGAAAATTGCACTTCAACAAAAGGACCATATTAAATAATGAGGTTCAGGAACTCAAACTATCATTAATAGTAAAAAGTGAATAAGGGTTGCTCATCAAGAAACAGCTAATCATCAGGATACATTTTTTATCGACTTGTGCATTCCTATACCAAACCATATGGGGAAGCTACACAAGAACATAACCAATGATATCCAACTACACAACTTTACATTAGAGTATCAATAGAAAGATTCTGAGCTACCAAACCACGACCCATTTCCACATTCATGGAGACTCCATTATTTCCTGCTCAAGAACCGTTACATTAGGGAAAACAGTTTTAACTAAAGAACAACTTCAACGAATCCAATACGAGCTGGGATTCAATCTGAAAGCAATGATAGAAGCAGTTTCCTCGAACAATATGTAAGCATGATTATACGATCACTGATGTCATTCAAGCAAGCAACTTTCAGCGTGAACAAGAACTATCTACTATCAGTCAAAGGAGCAGACCGAAAAACTATTGGGGATTCGTGCTTTTGATTGATACGAGGAAGAACCAAAAAGTGCAAAATGCTACAAGCCCAGAAACAGAAGACAAATGAAATTACCTTGTACCCATTAAAATTCAATAGTTGAACATCTCAAGCTCCAGAAGAAGTAGCTGGTGGACAACAAAGCTTCGATTGGTCAAAATCTCCGGCCAACCCAGTAGAACTCAGCAGAAGCCAATGAGTAAGAAGAAAGAAATCAGGGAAATTTCAAGGTGCTAATCAAAAGAGACCCTTGTCCTCTTTTGAGCAGCAAATCAATAAAACTTGGTGATCTTATGGTTCAGTGGGTGGGGAGTCGGAATTGGGCACAGAGGCGTTTCAGCACGGAACGAGTTGAAGCTGACCCAAGAGGAACTCCACTACGCAAAGATGAGAGCGCAGAAATTTGTCTCCTTCACCTTGTGACTTGTGTTGCTGCTCTGTCTTTCTGTCCGTCCGTCTCTCTCTTTCTTTGCTGCTTCCGCAGCTCTTCCGCCTTTTTTAAGTAGATTATTCAATCTCTCCTCCTCGGTTTGAAATGGCTAACATAATTAATTTGATTCGGTTTAGTTTCCCTTGTTAAGACGTTTGCCTTTGATTGGGCAACTTTGATGCGTGGAAGAGTCGTTGCTAAATTACACCTAGGGGGTGAATAAACACACCCGCAAATCGATCCACCCGTCCAACCCGACCCAATCTAACTGTATTTATCGCTAAATCGAAGGTTTTGGGTTGGGTGAGGGTTTTCTTTTGTACAACCCGCCTCTTTTGGGTTGTGTTTGGATTTTGGATTACACAACCCGTAGAACCTGACCCAACCCGTGTTCCAATTATTAGTATGAGTTCGTATCCAAAAAAATATTTATGTCGTATATAGGGGAGGAGTTACGGTGCTAATTGTACAATAGTTACCACCGTCCTAACCAAGTGAAAAACTACTACTAGTTTGAATTAGTAGTGATTTAGCTTAGATGTTGTATTGATTTTATAATAATCCGTAGTGATTTCGTTATTTTTAGTAGCGTTTTTGCTAGTTATCACGGTGCTAACCTCTATAAGGGTTAGCACCTAATCCCATCCCCGTATATAGTCATGCTTATGAGAAAATTAAGATATTTCGCCATGTTTTTCTCTTAAAGTCTCACTAATCTAATGCATTCTTCGACTTAAAGTTTAGACATATATTTAATATAGCTATGATTCACGTATTTTTTTTTCTTGTGTACAATTTTAAAAGAATATCATATTATGGATGCGTTCATTTGTAACCTTTTTAATCTATTTCAACAAATATCGTGAAAAAAACTAGACATAAGTTGAAGTAAATTAAGTTTTATTAAAATTCAAACAATATTTGTGAATTTTGATACCTTTCACCTCGGTTTATTCGTTTGAATTTTTAATTTGTTATAAAATATTTTTATGATTTAGAATAATTACATATTTTGTGTTGGGTTGGGTTTTTACTTAAAAATATCGCCAACCCGACCCAACCCAATTATAAACAAATCGTAGGGTTTAGATTTTTTTGGGTGGGTTTGGGTTTAATATTTCCCAAACCGTAGTGCATGGGTCGGGTGATTAAAATGCCTAAACCCGGACCACCCGACCCATGTACACCCCTAATTACACCGTTCCATTGGCCCAATTTTAACAGTCATGGACTTGGAATTGGTCAACGTGTCAATCTGCACAAATCAGCTCTCTTATTTAGTCGCGATACGATCATAGATCAAGTCTTGGAACTAGGTTCTCAACTAGCTGCGGCCAGCATAAGTGAACAAGATTGTTATCTGGGCTCCCCCCTCATCATCTCTAGACCAAAGAAGGAATTATTTCATTCATGGAAGAGAAGCCCATCAAGGTTGAAACAACGAACCTTGTATGAAGTTAGTAAAAATACTTTAATTAGAATGTCTTGTACTAATCTGTCAGTTCATGGCATGCCTTGCTTTAAGATCCCGAAGGAAAATTGTCGGCATCTAAATAGTCATGTGGCCAGATTCTGGTAGGGCTCGGCGAAGAATTTTGATCACCCCATACATAAGAATTTTGATCACCCGATACTAATCTGTCATTACCTCGGCCGCAATTGTGAATTTCTCTCTGGTGGCGACATGCTTTACTTTCTGAACACCCATCAACCCATATTCTCCAAAGCGTATGCATGTTGTGGAGGATCTGTAAGTCTCGTAATAAGGTCATCTTTGAGCATTATCAACCACATGCCCCTTCTCTAGCCCGTCAATGTTTTTTCGAGTCCTTGAAGTGTCTTCTTTGCTCCATTTCACTTGTGGTTTACAAGTCCCTACCTCGCTTCATCATGGAAGGTGATTCTGAAGTGATAGTCCATAAGCTTTGTTAGGGTGTATCTTCATATTCTCTCGAAGGACTTGTGCTTCGTGATTTGATTGCTTGTATTGATCTGGTACGAGGTAATACCTACAAAGAAAACAGTGTGAATGAATTTAGGTGTTCCTCTCATGGTTGTCAAACCACTGATACGACAACCAGTACAAATGATATTGGATAAAAATTTGCTTGAAGACTAGCGATATGAAGTTATAGTCAAAACTCAAAACTGGTAAAAGCATGTTGATATAATATTTTAAGATATATTATATAAATGCTCTATGACGGAAGGAAATAGTTGAACTCCAAAGCATTAGTCTCAATAGCATACTGATATGTGCATATTTATACATATTTTGTCCCTTATAACTTGATCGTTTATTGGTCATTTGGGTTGTAAATACCCTTTTATAAATCAATTTTACGCTAGGTGTTGTGGATATGTCAAATCTCTGGTCCTAGTGCACGGGTGAGGCTTGGGGATGAGTTTCAGGATGATAAGATGTCAAAATGATACAAAATTGAATCCAGAGCAAATGTCAGACCAAGAGAGAAATATCATAGTTACGCCGTGATATTCGTGACCCAGGAGGCGGTTTACTGGAAGCAAAAATTATGAGTACATCCCATCCAAGACAGATGCTAATACTCATTTTTTCAACCTTGCTCCATTACACCTTCGTCGAAGCAACACCATTCATATGGTCCGTGTTGAGCAGGTGGTTATACATACATAAGAAGAATCCAAGACAACAATCTCAATATCATATGTCCAAAACCTACTCTCCTCCAATGAGGTCAAACCCTCAAGGTTCCTTGGATCACTTATCGCTCAATTGAGTTATTTCGGAGGATATGAACAATTCATTGATCATGCTTCTCTCTAAGGAGAAAATAAAATGAGATGTCTTTAGCATTGGGGCTTCCCAAACTCATGGTTTCACAGGATTACCGTTGTTTTCTGTCATATATTTTGGGTGTCATTGGTCCTAATGTGTGTCTGGTTGTGTTATATTTCCTTCAAACATACCACTTACTTCAATAGCATTAACCACATTTGGATCTCCGTCATACCTAAGATGCTAGATGCGGAGACTATGAAGCAGATGCAACCTATCAAGTTTTATATAAAATTATGGGTAATATCTAATTTTTATCCAAACATTTTTCAAAATTTTTAATATTATTCAAACCTATTAAAATGCTATTAATTAGCCAAATCTTTCGTAATTCATAAAAATTATTTTGTGGTCATTACCCTAAAATTACCCTAAAATTATTTCCAAAATCCTTGTGTGTCGCCTAAGTGATTTTTTTATGTTTGTGGTCAGTCATTTTCAGAATGATTTTATCAGAGGTCGCTCCATTCAGATAACATTTTATCGAGCATGAGGTTATGCAATTCCTTAAGACCAAAGTGAATGGTAGAGATAAGTGGATGACCCTCAAGCTATATATGGAGAAGTCTTATGACAGGGTCGAAATAAAGTTTCTTTTCGCGATCTTCACAACTATTGTCTTTCGTGACATGTGGTTAGGTTGGATCAAAGCTTGTGTCAATATAGTTCACTTCTCGGTTTTGATGAATGGAGCTGAATATAGATACTTCCAACCACAATGCGAAATTCGACAAGGTGATCCTCTCTCACCTTTCCTTTTGTCCTTTTCACCGAGAGGTTGTCTGCCAAAATAGAAGCTAAGAGTGCCTTTTCCTCCCTCCATGGTCTCTGAGTGCTTAGGTTTCCCCACTCACATTCCATTTATTCCTGACTGTAGTGTTCAATGGATATGGTGCTATGAGTGGTCAGTGGGTGAACTTACACATATCTATGGTGTGTGAGTGCTAATGTGTCGGACCGAGAGTTTGAGGCGATTAGCTCCTTCCTATGTGTATCCATTATGGACATGGAGATAAGATACCTTGGGTAGCCAGCTCAAGTTCAGAGTTCAAAAGTTCTTACCTTAAGATTTATCGAAGAGGCCTTGGCAGCCCAGACATGGAATCGGAAGTCGAAGGAAGTGTGACGTGTCATTGGATGTCAAGGAAGTTGTTATTAATTAAGGCCATAGGGTCTGCGACTCCTATTTACACTATGTCCTCTTTTTGATTACCTTCCGAGTTCCGACTCTTAGCGCATGTGTAATAGCCAACATGCGCACTTATGGTGGGTGGATCATGACCAGGTCAAGGGAAATCATTGGATCTCATGGGTGGGTTGAGATTATGCAATTTCATTCTTTTCAACGTTGCATTACTAGCTAAACAAGCATGTAGACTCATTCTTAATTCGAGCATCTCTCTGGCATGCATGTATAAAGCGTGATATCACCCGCATCAGCACTTCCTCTCAATGATCTTACTAGTTTGTGTCCTTCCTGAGCATGTCAGGGTATACTTCAAGGGAGAGACTTAATGTCAGGAGGCCTCCAATGGCGCATGGGTTCTGGTACCGCAGCCAAGATTCTTAAGGATCATTGGTTGCCTACGTCTTCTTCATCCGCATTTTCTCTTAATACATGTGTATCCCTTCCTTTCTATTTTAATTATGATCTTATTTGTTCCTTAACACGTTCTTGGAAGGGTAGCATAATTCGATCTATTTTTGCACTTGATTCGCTCACCCATATCATGTCCATTCCTCTATCTTTGCAACCTATTGAGGATCTACAAATATGTCATTATGTGTCTTCAGGATTATACACAGTTAAGAAGGGATACCATCTTCTAATGAATGAATATAATCATCGGAATCCCTTTCCTTTTCTATTTGATTACAGGTTCTGCAAAATATCGTGGAATCTCACAGTTCCTACGAAGCTTAAGCACTTTTTTGGAGATTAGTGTGTTGGTTCCTCCTCTCCAGATGGTGCTTCATAGCAAGACCTTGGTTGCAAATGGCATGTGCCGCATATGCTTGGCAACTAATGAGACGTTTGATCATGCTTTCTTTCAATGCAAAATAGCTGCAAGTTCATGGCAAATAGTTGGTCTAGAGTCCATCAACATCCTTCATCTTTATTGTCTAAATCAATTGTTATGTGGTGTTTTTGTGATAAACATTTTAAAAAGGAAGCTGTTTTTTCTTCTTCTTTATACAATATCTTTCTCCAGCTCTTTTGCGACTAGTTAATGTGGGTTCAAAAGTGGCAGGTTGCTTCTACTCGACCAACTACATCTACTTGATAGCAGCTCTATGTTGCTGGAGTCAGTATACCCCTGCCAGCTACGACTCCCACCTGTCCTTCAAGGGACACTCTGGTGAGGTACGATGACTCACTAAAGCCCAACGTCAGGGGCTATACCAGGTTTTTGGCTTTTGATGGCTCAAGTAAGGTTATTTTTTCTTTTGGACAATATAACGTCGGCATTCAAGACCTAATTTTTTTATCAAACTTTTAGCTCTTCGTGATGCCTTACATTGGTACTTAACTCATGGATTCTCAATTGTTTATTTTATCGATGACACTCAATTGTTGGTGTGATAGGTTTTGGCAGATGATGTTGCTCATAATTTGGGAGGAGTTGTCATGGAAGATGTTTGATGATTCTCCCGCAACTCCACTAGATTATTTTGTTCCTACGCTCCTCGTCAGTACAATAGTGCCCATTTTGCGATACTAAATGCCCTTTCATCGATAATTCGACTATTCTAGAATTTGGCTACTTACCATATTATGAATCTTTGATTTGGACTTTATGGATGTCTATATTAAAAAAATATACATTGTGTTTGGAATTAGGATGGGACGAGATACGGTGACAACCCCTAAGGGGGTTGTCAGATTCACAACCCACTTCATAGCCCTTGGATACGCTCTCTCTCTTGTCTCTTTCTTTTTTTTTTAAATTAAGGGTTAAGATTAAATGAAGGATATTTTGGGAAGGGTAAAAATTTACCACACCCAATCATTAACCCTACCATATAAAAAGAACAAAAACCCTAACTCCTTCATCCTCCCTCTCTCTCTCCTCCCTCTCTCCCGTAAACATCACCGTCCGCCGACACCCTCCCTCCCTCCACCTTCACCGCCGGCCAAGCTCCCTTTCTCCTCCACCCCCGGCACCCCACCCACCACCAATCCCTCAATCCCCTTCCTCAAAGCCCTCCCCTTCCTCCTCCCATCGCCACCCCTTCCTCAAAGCCCCTTCCTCCTCCCACCGCCAACCACCACATCTCCTCATTGATCCTCCCTCAATCCCCTTCCTCAAGGAGAAGCGGCTGTACCCCCCCCCCCCCCCCCCCCCCCCCGGGCGCCGACAAGGAAACGGCCGCGCCGCTGTCCTCCCCTGCCGCCACCATTTTTATGTCGCCGCCTATTTTTTTTCCAGATCTGATAGTCTCTACCGGTACCAATACCACTGGTAGCACTATTGGTACCAATACCACTGGTAGCGCTATTGGTACGCTACCACTACTCACTGGTACCAATACCAGTGGCTCCCCTATCATCTGGTACCACTATCATCTGTTTTTTTTTTTTTTTTGTTATTCGCTACTGGTACCGCTACCAATGCTAGTGGTATCGCTACCAGTGCTAGTAGCGTTGTGTTATTCTCTACTGGTAGCGTTGTACTGGTAGCGTACCACTAGTATTAGTACATTTTTTACTGGTACCGCTAGTACTGGTACATTTTTTAACGTACTGGTAGCGTACCAATAGCACTGGTATATTAATTACCAGTAGACTAATAGATTGGTACACTTTTTAACGCATTGGTACATTTTTTCAGGTTGCCGGAGGGAGTCTGCCGGAGAGAATTCGCCGGAGAAAAAGTTTGTCGGTCGATGCGGAGTGGCTGCTGGAGAAAGGAAGAGAGAGAGATAGATAGATAGAGATATTAATGTATAGGATTTAATTTTCAGAAAAATATTGTATTTAATATGGGTTTTTAATTCCCAATATAATTAATACAAAAAGGTAATTAATACAAAAAGGTAATTAATATATTCCTTTTTTTCATACCCAAAATGCCCTTGGTTGTGAATCTGACAACCCCCAAGGGGGTTGTCACCGTATCCCGTCCCAATTAGGATTTGTTCCGTCCACCAATTTAACAGATATTGCATACCGACTCCCACTTGTCAACCATTATTCTCGTTGATCAGCAATGGAGGATGTCGATATTAACTCTATTATATTCATTTTACCATCCTTAGTTTGACAAAGTGGTTTATTCTCCTTTATTTGCATTCAATCCAGCTGGCAACAACGTTTTCTCCAAATCATTGAAGCCGTAGGGAAGAATGGTTGGTTATGGTTCTAACTTCTAAGGGATCTTCACTAGGTGCTCGTTAGATTGGAATAGGAGAGTTATTTTGAGAGAAAGTCCACTTTTCAATTAATTCGATCACAGTTTTGTTGCAATTTGTTGGGGGGCATATAAGGGCCCAGGAAAGGAGCCTAGAAGGCCGGATTGGGCTTGAAATGCAGGCCTGGCGAAGGGAAAGCCCAGCCCAAAAGGGGCCTGAGGCTATAACCTAGGCGGTGGGACCAGGCCTGACGTAGGGCGCATGACGACAAAAGTGGCAACGTGAGGAGCGTACGGAGGGACAGGAAGTGGGGCCATGCGCCATAGGACCGAAGGCATGTGTCAGAGTGTCGGGGCTCCTGGCAGGGGTAGTGTACAGTGCATTTAATGGTGTGATGACGTGGGGCGGATTTGGGGGGTAGTGGTCGACCCTACCCTGGGTATAAATCGTGAAGTTGGTGGAGCTCATTTACTCAGGTTAGAACTTCTCTCTAGAAATTACACTTCACTTCTCTTTCTAAAACAATTGTTCTAACTTAGGCGTCGGAGGGCTAACGAGCCCTAAAGAAGGGGCTCGGTGGGCGCCTTCGTGTGCAGGGGCAAGGCGCGCAGTTGGAGCTAGACAGGAGAAAAGGAGGCGCATTGACCGTCTGGGGCGCAGAGTTATGTGGCACAAACTCAACTATAACACAATTTGTACTATATCAAGATCAAAATATTGAAATGAGACAGACAAATTTATCGATTTAGGTGGTTGTTTGTGGAGTGTGCTCGATCCCCTCCAAATCTTTGAATTCGATCGAAGGAGATGAGTTCGACATTCTAACCACTTGAAGTGCAATGTCTTTTTTTTTTTTTTTACGGTAATGTGTAGTAAGATTTGATATCCTGTTTCTGTTAAATGTAAAACTTCAAACTTCAAACAAAGAAAAAAATTATATATACATAATGTCAACACAATAGGAAATAATAGTATGCAAAAGTGCTACAAAGACAGAGGAAAGCAGAAGTAGAGAACTACTAGCTAGCAGTACTCTCCTCTGTCCTTTCTTCCTCCCATGGAATACAAGAAAGAGTGTTGTAAGTAAATATATTATGAATCATCATGTTGGTTTTCCAGAAACAGCAGCAGCATTGTCAGCAGGAGCAGGAGCAGAGGAGGCATCTTGTTGTTCTTGTGGAGGAATGTGATCAATTGATTTAGAGTGGGAGTGAGAGTGGCTGTGCCTCTTGAACACATTGGTGAAGCCCAGATACCTCTTGAACCTCCTGAACACACCCTGCTGTTGCTGCTGTTTCCCTCTCCCGTTTGGATCCTTATCATCTTCTCCATCTTCCCCTGCTTTCGGTGAATCCGTCCGTTCTTCCTCTTGTGCTGCTGCTGCTGCTGCTGCTGCTTTTTCACTTGGAGATGACTCTTTCCCTTGCTCTTCCTTTCTCCCACCTATTTTGGGAAACGCCAATTAGTAAACAATGATGGGGGTATGATTTCTGAATAAGCAAAGTAACTGTTAGCTTGTACTAAGCAATAGCCATGGCAATGAACCGATTCATTTGGTAATTTTACTCAATTAACACGACTCATATGGGTATTGAGTCATACCTAGATGGACTCACATGTACCTTTTAGTACTGGTTTTGGATTTGTGTCAATTCATTTGAGTTAGAACCAAATGAACCTAATTGGGATATAGATGATCATATACACAAAACAAGAATATAAATAATTTCATTAACGACTTTCAACTCAATTATACATCATTAATGTAGCTATTTCCACCATTCTATTTACTTCATGACCAAAAATAAGATGAAAATTGCATTATAATATGATATTCATTGTATTTTAGACTTCATACTATGAGTTCACTTTGGACCCAAAATAAATTTTGATATAAAAGTGCTCCAAAAATAAAATCACCTAAATTTGATTTGACCCATAATAAGTTAAATTAAACCCAATATCCAAATATTGAGTCTTTTTTTTGTCATCGGACTATTCAAGTCTTACCAGATAATTAATAGCATTAGTATCACACCAAAAATTAGTTGTCTCTTATGCAATTTTATAAGAATAATTATTATAAAAATAAAATGAAAGTAAATAGTTATTTCTCCTTTCTTGATAGTTTTAAATTGGGGAACAATGATAGAACAGAAAACACATACCATAAAACTAATTTAAGGTTAGAGAGGCAACACAATTCTTATTTTAGGGTCCACATTATTGTCAACTTCTCTGAGCTGCGAACTTTTCCAAATGCATGTATTAGCTACTGAATGTCTTATTGGGTGAACATGAGTATATCATTCTCTATCTATTGTTTTTCATTTTGCTTGAATAGCTTATTCTATGTTGTATCATTGGATTATGTATGAAAAGAATGCTATTTGCATCTATCTATGAAATAACAAGGACTTCCCCATAGGCCATAAGAGATGGCTGGTGCTGCAGACAGGTGGAGATGGTGACAAATCGTCCACCCAACCGCCAAATTCACATCACTCATCAGACCAAATCGATACTTGGACCGAACCATACCAAACCTAATAATATAGAATGGTTCGGTCCTTAGTTTTCCGAATTTTATAAATACCAATAAAAAATGGAGAGACCAAATCAGTTCTTGGTTCTAAGATTACTTTCACCATTGGATCTCAATTTTCATACGTTTGATCCGATCATGCACGTCCTAATTTACTCTATGGCGTACACTAACTAGTTACCATTATACCTCTGGGCTGGGCCAGAGGCCATGATAATGGATTTGGCCCAAAAAGAAATGAAGCATGGGTGCTAGACCCTTCGGCATTTTCAGTCCCAAATTCATACCCGTCCTCCCTACCTATTCCGGTTAGAAAATTTGCAAATACCGGCCAGCAATTTTTCAAACCGTAACTCAATGCCAGCAATTAATTTATCCCGCATCCTCTTGTTCAGGTTCGAAAGACAACTGAACCCAAATCATATTCAACCTGACTCAATATGGTCAAAGCGAGTAAATCTCGTGTTGACGGATTTTGAATTAGGTGTTGGTTTTATTGCTTTTGAAATTGGTGGAATGAAATAAATCCAAACGGCACACTAAAGCAAATGAAGTCAATTTGCATCTAATAGGTACAATATGAAAGTATAAATGTCATTAGTCTTTCTGACAATATAAATATAATATTATATATAATTTATAAATGTTAGTAGTCTTAATGAAAATATATTTGTCAAAAACATTTCATAAATATTACAATATCAATGTTAGAATGTATGATTATGTTTATTAACCCATGAGCACCCATGCACCTGTGGGTACTGTTACGCAGAAGATTTACGATTGGATTGGATTGGATATTCAGTTCTAAACCTAATAGGTGTTTATCGAATTTTTTAATGAATAAATCCGCTAAGTTAGGTTTGAGTTTATAGAAACCCCACCTAACCTGACCCATTATCATCCCTAGTTCCAGCCCTAAACTAATTACTAACTATTGCATGCAAAACAACAAATCAACCGTAAAATGCACATACCTAAGTCCATAATAAACTAACCACAAAATAAATGGATGACAATTTCACCCAAATTCATGGGTAGTTCCTTATGGGTACAAAACACAAAGACAAGATAAATGGGTAGAGTTTAATAAGTATATACCCTTACTCATTTATATGGGTTATGTTTAGTTTTTTCATAGTTTGAGTTTGTATTACGCAAATTATAGTTTGTTACTTAAATTGAATAGATCTTTAGAAATATCGAAACACATATATATTTTACCCAGAGTTTACTTGGGTGTTGATAAAATTACCCTCCAAGGTTAGCAACCGGTAGCCAACAACTGGGGATTGACTTGGGTATTTTGTAGTCACTAATAAGCCAAAAAAATCAACTCAAGGACTTCCCCAACAAAGTAGTTTGGAGGGGATTTACTTGGGCAGTGTCATCCATAACATATATAACGGAATTGGAACCTACTCTTTCCCATAAGCAATCCATATACGAATAGTAAAAATAATGCAAAAAATTGCATGCAATGGCAGTTTCAAATGAACTGAACCAAAGAAGCAAACGCATCCTCAAGCTTTTCTAAAATATTTGACAAACCAAGTGAATATCTTGGACGCGAATATTGAAGGAGATGACTATTAACTGTTAGTTTTGAAGGTAGCTATGTTTGTTTCATCGGGAATCTTTCTATCTTCTCGCTAGTATTTAGCACTTTCCGAGTTAAGATCAAAGCTGTAAGGCACAGAAACAGAGTGAGGCGATGAAAGAAGGACCAAGGTCGAAATCCTAACCCAGGAAACAGGCTAATGTTGCTAAGGTGCGGTTCAATCCAAACTGAAGCCTCCTAGAACTAGTCGGTTTATCTACATGATTGCACATATCCACAGAATGCAGCAACGTAGTCATATAACAATCTATCTAGCACTCAATTACCATCAGTTGCACCATCAGCGGTGACAGCGGTAGTGGTAGTGGTGGTGGCAGCCGTAGGAGGATCCGCACTGGCAGCTGCAGTGGTGGTGGTGGCGGCGGAAGTGGGAGCGCCAGCAGCATTTGCAGTAGTGGATCCTTCTGATGAACCCAACAGGGTTGGCTTTCTTAGCCAGTACTGTTCAAATCGCTGCCTTGAATATTCCAAGTAATCAAAATCGATTTTGTTGACGTGTTCCTGTGTTAAAAGGGAAGCCCAAAAACAAAAGGTAACAGGACAACACAACATTTAGAGGTGAATGTACTTAGAATAAGTTAACAGCATTTTTATATTCCATGTATATCATCGCCACCCGTCGAGGTGGAAAAAAAAAAAATTTAGTTGCAATTGATGGAGAAATTACCGATATTATGCCCCACAAGCCCCAGAACAGATGGCTTCCAAGTGTAAATTTTTCGACATCGTTAAGGAACTGCTCCACCTCTTTGTCACCAGGTTTATCCGCTGCGCACAGATCACAATTTCAGAAGTTAATTATAGTAGAACTGGAGCAGAAAATTCTAATATATTTCTTTATCAGAGAGAGTTATCATCATTGAAGTGAAGAATCCTTATGGAATCCCAAAACTCCAATTTCATAAGAAAAATGACGAGGTTCAGCATCATACTGATTCTAGAACCATATGATACCACTCCAAATATATCAAAACTAAAAGAGCTAAACCAATCACAGTGATTATTATTCATTGGGATCCAGAAAGATAAAATTACTACCTGAAGAAATCAGATAAGCTTGCACAAACCGTTGGCGCTCCTCCAGACCTGTTAAGCTTTCAGGTCAACAGATAACAAGGACAGTAAAAATGAAAGGAATGATTAACTAAACTACTAAAGTGATGTGTACCAGGGTATTTAGTGTAGTCCACTACATGGGGTGTGTCCGAATGGTAGTCAGCAGTCATCTCACAAAAATGATTTGCTAAATCGAAGGCAACAGGATTGTAACTTGCATACTCATAATCCTGTTAAGTGTATAAACCGAATTACCGAGTATCATTGGTACAATATCCGAGATAAAATCGTGGAAACAATAAGTGGAGCAATTGAAAATCAGAATAAGAATGACAGGAAATGCCATCCAGTATCTCAGTACAATATCATCTTTCAACTACTATTTGCCATAACTAGTCAAGCATTTAAGCAATGCGTGCAGGCTCATGACAATTCCAGTTGCAGCCTTCAAGGAAACTTATCCACCAAAGAAGTGAAAAGGAACAGAAAATAGACGCACAACATAACATCTTATCAAAAAGAGGAGAAAATATAACGCACAACATCTTATAAAAACAGGAGAAAATGTAACGCACAACATTCATGGTATCAGATATTCTTGAAGCAAAAGAGAAAATGACGTCAGAACTCAGAATCAAAGAGAAGTCAAATCTGAGCAAGCCGGTTTAGATACATTCACCAGCTCAGGCTTGTACGTTGAGCACCTTAATAGCAATGTATACAGTAGAAGTCTAAGGCAATCCGACCAAAGCAGGATGGGAGAAACACCAAGGCATTACGTACATAACAGGAGGGTAAGAAGAAAACTTTGAAAACTTACAATTATGGTGATTGCTTTGGTTTCTTCATCAATCATTATATTACCATACTGTAGATCATTATGGCAAAATCCAATTCGTTGATCAACAGAGAGATTCTTCTCGAGTAATGTGATTTCCTCGTCAATATCATTCAAGCGGAAGGCTTTAGCTTCATCTGGAGAACACATATCCTTTGCCACTTTGAGCCAATTTCTGAATCATCCACAAATTTTGAGTAAATTATGCAACTATATTCAAAACCATAGTTATAGGGGTAACAACAGTAAGCAAGATACTTATAACAGCATACTTAAAACATCAAAGAAGAGTAAAACTGTAATACACACCTCAGTCTATCCCAAAGGTAGACAATCTTTTCACCAGGCATATCAAGAACATGAAACTCCCTCATTTTGGCCGCTATAAGTACTGAAATCTCTGGATCACGCAGATCATGAGCCGATAGTGTCTGAATACCACATGTGAAGAATACAGGGTTATATGTGTCTGTGCCAATCAGTGTAATAATTGTACGAGCAGCTAATCGATTAAGTGCTATACAATGTTGGATGAGAGATTTCTCATACTCAATTAGAGACTATTTGGCCACTACACCCCTTTCTTTGAAGAAAAAGCAGTTGGAACAATTCCATAATCTTATGACCTGCAAAACTTGTACCTAGTTCAAGAATGGGATAAAAAAAGCTAACACCCGCAATGGAGACATCTTATGAAATGGTGAAGAGTACTCATTCTATGACACCCATTGCACTGGTGTAGTATTTTTTGCATTTACAGGGCTCTAAAGCAAGAAACAAATTATTCAAGAAGGGTAAAGATTAATTACCCGAGCATGGATGAACTCTTCAATTCGTCCTTTGGAAAACCGTCCAAGCAGACGAGGTCCATACCCCTGTTTGGACATGAACTCAAACGTGTGGATCTCATTATCCCTGTCAAAGAAAACCTCCACACCCACACCGTAAATCCTGACCACAACCTTGCGCGAGAGCTCTCCAATCTTCGTTGGCCATTTTATTTGGAAGACCTCATTGGTCATTGCACCTTTGAGAGGGATCACCTGCAATGCATTTGCATCAGTCACATCTTCCCACTTGGATGCCAATGATTTCAGCATCTCCTTTGCTTCTCCCGGTACACGCTCTTCTGGCATTCGTTCATCCTTTTTGTTAACACCCATATCAAATTCAGCAACCCCTAGAATCCCCCCGAGTTTCGAATTGCAACCGAGATGGACAGTGTCTCAACCAATGTTTGATCTGAAACACAAGAGGGGGCAAAACATCAGAAAGACACCCTTCGTCAAGGGAATTCAACGAAGCAATGAGCAAAAACGATTCAGGAAAAAGGAGACGAGCGAGCTCAGCAATTAAATAATCAAAATTCTGCATGCGATCCCACAGGAACAACTGGAAATTCTTGCATGCGTAAGGAATATTACCTAGCCAAATTCCACTTGTTCGATCCCGAAGATAACAAAACAGACGGAGAAAGAGATTAGAAAAAGTTCAACCAACCACGACGCCGCCGGCGAGAATTACAGGAGAAATCCCCCACTACCTAAGGCGGTTAGGACAGCGAGTTTTTATTTATTTATTTCGATGGTAGAAACGGTGGAATGGAGAGCGAGAGAGAGAGCAGGCGAAAGAGAAGGAGGGCTCTGTTCTTTAAAAATGGTTTTGAGGAAACAACCAGTAGTGGTCAAGGAGAGGGGGATCGATGCAGAGGTCGGAGACGCTACGATGACATGACGCGCGCAAAATGGGTATATTTCGGCAAGGGAGCGGAGGAAGATTCGGGTTCCCTTTTCTAAAATCAATGTGTAACTGTAACTACGGGCATGTGGGTGGCTAATCCGCGGCGGATTGATATCGATCCATTCGCAAATAATTCGATCCGCATGCATGGGTGATTGATGTGGGTGGATTGCGAATTGTTAAACCTCCCACTCGCACTTATCTGGGTGGATGGCGGGTGAATTGCAGGTCACCCGTATGACCCACATTCTATTTTTTACATGAAAAAATGTTGTTTCTTATAGTATCCAATATTCATTATATTTTCAAAATGCACTACAGTCTGTCCATATACCGCAAAAGGTGGAGAATAAAGAATAATTTTGACTACTATTATTGGTTATTGTGTTGAGCAATATCCATTTGCAATGGATATTGGTATGCAAATTATTGTTAATATCCATTAAATATTGGGATACAAACTATAAATTATTAATTGTATCGAAATCACAAATTATTGATACAATCTTACTAATGTGATATGAACATATTATAAATGTTAGTCAATTTTCTTAATGGATAGTTGGAGAATTGTTTTTGCGGGTTAACCCGCGACCCAACCGCACCCATCCGCCACCCACCCAACCCAACCCAACCCACATAAGTAAGCGGGTGGGTCAATTTTAAATCAAAATCCATCCAACCCGCCCATTGCCCACCCCTAATCGGTAACCGAGAGGAATAGAGAGATAAAAATGTACTGTTCCAGGTGATGGGCTATAGTTTTGGGTTTGGGCCCACGTTTGGAAGCCCATCTTATTCCGGTTACCGGATGCCCGCTGCCGTACTCGGCGGAAACGGGCAGGCAAAGGCCAAGGAGGGTTTAAAAGAACAACCGGCGGGGTTTTAAGGAAAAGAACCTACCAGTCAGTCAGTCGGTCCTCCCGCGCCCCTCGTAATCAGTTTCCTTTCGGCTCCTCAGTTTAATTTTCTCCTACTGGTCTCAACTCTCCGATAAGCGTCCATGGGCGCCGAGTCGCTAGCAGGCGGAGAGTAAGTGGCGCTGCTTCATTCCTTTATCCTTCCGATTACTCTTGTTGTTGTTGGTAGTTCGAATGCTGTTTGATCTTTCTGGTTTCTGAAGTCGTTTTATTGTTATTGTTATTGTTATTAATAAGGCCGAGCACTGTGGAGCAATTGATCGACAGGCAGAAGCTTGCGGCCCCAATCAAAACTGCAGTGGACAAGTTCCAGCTTGTTCCCGAGTTCTTGAAGGTAGGAAGGAAGGAGGTCTTGGCAACTTTCGTTTTCTTCTCTCTTTTGCTTCATTTGAAATGGTTGCTGCTGCGTTCCAGTGCGGTTGTTGATATATGATTGTTTGTTTGATTGTGGATAAAGGTGAGAGGATTGGTGAAGCAGCACTTGGATTCATTCAATTACTTTGTGAATATTGGTATAAAGAAGATTGTGCGAGCCAATGATCGCATTGCATCCACGGTTGATCCCAGCATCTACATCAGGTATGCCATTTTTTTCCTCGTGTCCTCTTGGTTTTTGCTCTTCTGCTCAATTGTACTTTGATTCAAGTCTGCTTCATTGTCTGGCCAGTATTTGGCTTCAGCTTTTTTTATCAGTTTCTGGTGGGTGATTCTCGGTTCACTTGTCTCACTTTGATATCTCCAGGTTTAAAGATGTGAGAATTGGCACCCCTACTGTGGTAGTGGATGGTGTTAGTGACAAACTTGCTCCCCACACATGCCGGTTATCTGACATGACGTATGTTCCTCCTGCTCATTCTGCCTTTCATCTGTTATTTTTAGCCTTTTATTGTTGATCTAACATTGGGTGTTAGGGTGAGGAAGTAAGTATTTTTGACGTTTTCGCAAGTTCTTACATCATACTTAAGTAGTCAGGCAATGACTTAATAAGCAATTCATTGCATCCCTGGGACCTCTCTTGCTCTGTTGGATTTTGAATGTGTCATTCACTCATTCTTCATGCCCTGCGCTGCATTCTTCATGCCCTGCGCTGCATTCTTCATGTCGCTGCTTCTTTTCTGAACTCTTGCTGACTCTTCTTTCCTGCTCTATTTCTTTTCTTGGGTAATGCTCCATGACATGCATAGTTATGTGGCGTTCTTCTTCCAATGATAATCGTCGCATCATGTTTTTAAACGAGGTGATCTTGTTCTTTTGTCCATTTGTCACTTCCAACCTATTTTTGTTGTGATAATTCTATGCATTTATCTTGGTATCGAAACAGATGCAATAGATGTTCAGTCTTGTGGAGGCCGTAAAAGAGTTGAAGTGACAACTAATTTGCATCTCATGGTTTAGTATAATTAACCTTTGTCACTCTGCTTTATCTTTATGACTTTCGGCTGCTTCGGTTTTGCAGGTACACTGCACCAATATTGGTGGATATAGAGTATATTCAAGGAAGTAATGATCAGAAGTACAGAAGAGAAAAGGTAATCAATGAGCACTGACTCTCTGTTGTGTCAGCTTTATCTGGGCCGTTTTAACCTATATGGTTTGTTCCTGCAGCGGGATATTTCTATTGGAAGAATGCCTGTCATGTTACGGAGTCAATGCTGTGTATTATATGGAAAGGATGAAGCTGAACTTGCCAAACTTGGTTTGTCTGCAGTTCTACTGATATATGGCTGTCTGATGTGTCTTGTTTTCTCTCAAACACAGATGGGGAAAAGGATTCATAAATTTGATGATCACACATTTATTTATTTGTTGAGTTCAGGTGAATGCCCTCTTGATCCTGGAGGTTATTTTGTCGTCAAAGGAACAGAGAAGGTGATATTCTCTGTCTTATGATTATCAATTTTGTTGAGGTGGTGATTGTTTGCATTACATATACAAGGCTTATATTTAATTTTCATGAGCTTATTTGTTTTATTTTTTATTCAGGTGATCTTAATACAGGAGCAGCTATCAAAGAACAGAATCATTATTGACACTGACAAGAAGGGGAAGTGAGTCCCTCACTTTTTGTTCATTATTTATTATTTCTTATTCTCTCTTCTTGTTATTTCATTAAGTTAAATTGTGTAACCTGTATGCATGGTAAAATAATAGGGATAATGACGTAAGACAATTTTTGTCTGAACATTCGAGTAAGATAGTTTTATCAGAGTCTTGGAAAAAATGGACAAATTTGACCCGAACTTTAGGTTGACCATTAAAGTTGACGGAGAAAATTGGACCTGAAATTTAAGCCTCTCTATTAATGGTTAACCTAAATTTCTGGCCAAAACTTTCCATTTCTCCAAATTTCGGACAAAACTGTCTTATTTGAAATTTCGGGCCAAATTTGTCTTTTACGTCAAAGTTTAGGCCAGAAAAGGGTATTCCTATGACGTGGAAGCCACGTCGCAAACACATCACATTGTATGTTGAGTCATAGACGGAAGAAATGTTTGACCGTCGATATTAACGGTCAACCCAAATTTCGGGCCAAATTTGTCCATTTTTTTTTAATTTGGAAAAATATGTCTTATTTGAAAGTTCATGCGAAAATTGTCATTTATGTAAAAGTTTAGGCCAAAACTGGGTATTATCTGTAAAAAATAATACAACCATTTTGATGATGATGAGACCAAAATATTCATTTCCTTTTCTATCTCTGCTACCATTGTCATCATCTTTATTCTGATCTATAAATGATAATATTTGACAAAAAGAAAAAGTTCTATGATGATTCGTTGGTTTCTTTGTACTCCATTTATTGCCTCATTCTTCTCACTTTATTACACGGCATCACGTCCATGGTAACCACTTACTATTATTATTATTATTATGTATATTACAAGATATCTGTATTGGGCACAGAAACAATTTTTCCATGATATTTGTGGTTCTCCTAGTGGTGTTTCTTCCGTCTAAACTTTCTGTTTGTTCTCTTGCCAGCCTGACAGCATCTGTTATGAGTAGTACAGAGGCAACAAAGAGTAAAACAGTTATCGTGATGGAAAAGGGGAAGATGTATTTGTCCCTTAACCAATTTACAACAAAGGTGTTGTGTTCTACTTATTTACTTCTCTACCCAAGAGAATTTATGTCTCTTTTCTTCTTGATGGTGGTCTAATGAGTTCGGCATGATTAATGCATGTAACAGATACCTATAATGGTGGTCATGAAGGCTATGGGAATTGAAAGTGATCAAGAGGTTGTTCAAATGCTAGGAAGAGATCCTCGATATAGTGCACTACTCCTTCCATCTCTTGAGGTATTATCTCCGATAAAAAATTTCATTGACAATTAGAAGACTAAGTGGACCTCCAGGACACACTGACACAGTAACTGAGAATATGGAACTTTCTGTGCTTTCTGCACTGTGACGCGCAGAAGTAAAATTGAACTGCTAAGTCATTGCTCCTCAATTTTGTATCTTGACTTGCGTTTTCTGCTTGCTGTGATGTAAATGCTCAAGGTGTGATGATATTTCCCATGGCTAATATTTCATTTTGCTTGTTCCTCTGTAGAGTGAAGTGAGAGTTATAACTTGCAAATATGGTGCTTCTCTTTTTAGTAAAAATAGAGGAAATTGGTGCCTATGACTTCCATGTCGAAGAAAGTTACTTTTCTGACTTCTATCTTGACTCGTGACATTATCCTGTTCTTCTACGTTCAGGAATGCGCAAGTCTTGATATCTTTACACAAGAAAAAGCATTGAAATACCTCGACAATAAGGTAGGTTCTTTTTGACTCTGTCACATAATAGCATCTGATTCTGGACTCTCTTGCCTTGGAGGAATGAAAGAGAGGGACGGAAAGTTGGAAAAACAAAATTACTTTATGTTTGTGCAAGACAGAAAAATAAGGATGAAATGAATTTCCAGTAGTCTGGCAAATTACTCTACTTTGCGTACAATTGGCTCCCACCCTCCATTTTCTGTCTGAAGATCTGGCACAACTCTTACTTCCCTCTGATGACAATACTGTCTGAGTGCACACTGTGCACTATCCCTAGTTTCCTCTGTTTATCCTCTATGGCAGTAGGTGTTTGATGCTAGCTCGTTTATTTTATTTCTTTCATTGCTAGAGACTTACTCTTGATTGCATGATAATTTACATTGTATATTGTCTAACATAGAATCTTATGATTTTCAGAAAGACGGGAGGGCTTTGTCTATCCTTAGGGACATATTTCTTGCTAATGTTCCAGTAAGATTTTTATTCCAGCTTAATTGCCATCTCTTACCGGTTACTTGCTTGCTCACAATCTTGACTTCTCCCTCAGGTTCACAACAATAATCTCCGCCCAAAATGCATTTATGTTGCTGTAATGCTCAGAAGAATGATGGAGGCTATTTTAAACAAGGATGCAATGGATGACAAGGTAAATAAAGCTGATTTTATAGGTAGTTGATGGGCTAAATGTTTAGTGGTTTGTCTATGTTCCCCATAATGTAGAGGTCGTTTAATCCAGTGCATTTTAGTTGTATAATTTGAAATAGCATGATATTATCTTAGTGGTGACAATGGGACATATAAGACCCCTTTAAGGAAGCACTGGACCAGATGACCTCATAATGGATATTTGCTTGACTGGTGCATTTCCTGTTTTCCCTTTCTTGCCTTTTGTAGGATTATGTGGGAAACAAAAGGTTGGAGCTGTCAGGGCAGTTGATATCCTTGCTCTTTGAGGTATTTTTGTTCCAGTTTGTACTTCGGTTCACATGTATCTACCCTCTAACGTTGGTTGTAACATGTAATCTGAATTTTGACATGTAGGACTTGTTTAAGACAATGATCACGGAGGTTGAGAGGCAAATTGATTATGGTCTCACCAAGAAAGTTCGATCAAGCCAGAGTGATCCTTCTCAGGTAGGCTGGAATATATTGGACGATTGAAGTCTAGCTGGGCCTGAGTTTTGAAATTTTCCTGGTTCCGTGTACCATCTGTCGGATAATTTAGTGAATATAAAAAAGATAGATTGGTAAATATATATTGGCACTGTCAGTGTTATTCAGTTGTTTATGTTGGTACCGTGCATGAAAGTGGAACTTCTTGAAATGCGAAATTGGCATAGGTTTATGATACTTTAAGTGAAACATACGTAGAATTCATTCTTCTATGCCTTTTGGCTTCTTGTTATCTTTCTGGAGAGATTTTGTGAATGGATCTCAAAGTCAAATCGGGTTTCTTTATGTTTTCTTCCTCCTACGAAAATTTGATTTGGGTGGTCGTTTGATGCTTGCTGACATCATCTGATCTTTACTGATCTCTGCTGTTTGTATTTTCACCTTAGTATTTACTTAGGGACAGTATATCCAATGGGCTAGAGAGAGCACTCTCCACTGGCAATTGGGATGTCAAGCGGTTTAGAATGAACAGGAAAGGAGTTACACAGGTTAGTTTCTGAAAGAAATTTCTAGATGGGCCTATTTGGTGTCGGTCTTCTCTTCAAGTTAATTGTCAGTTGACAGAGTTGCTCTGTTTAATAGGTATTGGCTAGGTTATCCTTCATAGGATCTCTGGGTTACCTGACAAAAATTATGCCCCAATTTGAGAAGTCGAGGAAAGTCAGTGGACCCAGAGCATTGCAACCAAGTCAGGTAATGATTACCACTATTTCTAATTGATTTTATTTAGTAGAGGATAGGAATTATCATGTTGAATGAAAATTTTCTTTGAGTTTGGTTTATTCTGTGCTGGGATGATTCTGGCCTTGTATTGCAGTGGGGTATGCTTTGTCCTTGTGATACTCCGGAAGGTGAAGCTTGTGGACTGGTGAAGAATTTGGCCCTAATGACTCATGTTACAACTGATGAAGAGGATGGCCCGTTAATTTCTCTAGTATGTCTTTTCTTGCATATTCTTGCTGTGATTGGAGTTATGAACTGGGTTATTTACATCTTCCCCTTCAACATATTTGTGTCTGTACTGGTTCTAAATTCATCTACCTGGTTAAAAATGTGAAACATTCACCCTCCAAATTCTTTGGTAGTTCCGTATCTAAATGATGTATTTAATGAATGTATTTTAAAATTAATTATGTATTATACAGAAAATATCTCCCCTCCCCCAACTGAATCCAGAATGAACACATTTGTTTGTGATGTGACATCACAAATTACTCATTGGAATGATTTAACTATCTTAGCAAAACGATCTTTTTGTTGAGATTGTAGTCCCTTCTTTTTATTTCTGTCCCTAACAGCTTTACATTTTTTCATTTGCTTGGCATTTTATAGTGAAAGGATGGTGCTAAATGTGAATTTCCCCAAAAGCACCTTTACCCTTTTCATTCGTAAAACTACTGTCGCAACAATAAAACTTTATAATTTTATAATGCAATCGTTTGAACAATACGTGTATTTATAGTCCATGCATTAATAGAATACATCAATCTTAACATACACAACTATTAAAACATTACTATTTCTCGCTCTTGATAGTTTTCACAGTCCTCTTTTTCCCACTTCTTCCCAGGGTAGCTTTCTTGAATCCTGCAAGAAGCTGGGTAGCATGTATTCGTGAGTCCCTTCCCCATGCCTTAGTTGGCTACGTATTAGTGAATGTAATACTCATGGGAACCTTTGGGTAGTCGAAAAATGCAATGAACCCTTAGTAAACGAAGTTGAGTAACTTTAGGCCATATCTACAGTTATCAATCACCTTGCTGTTTGTTTCTTATTTTTCTGGTTGCTCTCTTTTAAACAATTCTCCCAGATTTTTCAGTGATGTTTGTGCATAAATTGTGGTACTTTTCCTGTATCTCTTGCAACAGTGCTACTGTTTAGGAGTAGAAGACCTCGAGCTTCTCTCTGGGGAAGAGCTTCACACTCCAAATTCTTTCCTGGTCATGTTTAACGGGCTGATTCTTGGCAAACACAGGAGGCCTCAGGTAAACAATTGTATGTCTGTTGTTTAAAAGTGATTAATGAGGTTGTTTGTTTGTTGAATTTTTTATATTCTTTACTGATCACCGAAACACTATTTTTTAAGCATTTTGCTCATGCGATGAGAAAGCTGCGAAGAGCATGCAAAATCGGCGAGTTTGTGAGCATATTTGTTAATGAAAAACAGGTAATTCTTCTGCATTTGTTTATGTCCAATGTAATTGTTTTGGCATTTAAATATGATTTTTGCGCCTCTTGGTTTGTTATTCTGGTACATAGGACTCAGATTTGACTGTGGAACATAGTTTACTAGTCTGCCTGATATAGCACGATTTTCCTTTCTTATTTGTGTTTGGTTCAGCTAATTACATAGCAGCTGGCACTGATGCTCAATATTTGTTTTACAGCGTGTTGTTTATATTGCTTCTGATGGAGGTCGAGTGTGTCGTCCACTGGTTATTGCAGACAAAGGCATATCAAGAGTCAAAGAGCACCATATGAAGGAGCTTCTGGTGTGTATAATGGAAACTCTTGTTTTTGCGTTAAGATTCAGCTGGCACCTAATTTATCTCTTTTCCATTTTAAGGATGGTGTTCGTACTTTTGACGACTTCTTACGAGAGGGATTGATCGAGTATCTTGATGTGAACGAGGAGAATAATGCTTTGGTATGTTTCTGTTGTAACTACATTATAAGCATTTTGCTGGTTCGTTCTTGCCCAAGTTCATGAACTGCAAAGGTAGAGGGTTAATGCATTCATTTTCCAGATTTCTTTATATGAAGGGGAGACTACTCCTGAGACCACTCATATTGAGATAGAACCATTCACCATATTAGGTGTTATTGCTGGGCTAATTCCATATCCTCATCATAATCAGTCTCCAAGAAATACGTATCAGGTAATTGTCTCATCTTCCTTTTTACTACAGTCTAATGTCAGCTCCTGAGTTTGAACCTCGAGTTGATTCGCTAGTTTTCATCCACTTCTACGATTAAGTCGGTCAAAATATATGCAACGGTGACCTGAACACTTGCTCCTGTTTTGACTTCCTTTTACCAGTGTGCCATGGGGAAGCAAGCTATGGGGAACATAGCATACAACCAGGCAAGTGATGCAATCAGATCCTTCTTTCTCCCTGCTGTATCAGCTTTATGTTCAGTCCACTACTCAAATGTTTTTTCCAGGCGCATCTTGATAACTTCTTATGCTTTGCAGTTATGCCGGATGGACACGCTACTTTACTTGCTGGTGTATCCTCAGCGCCCTTTGTTAACGACAAGGACAATTGAACTGGTAAATTATCTGTAGAGTAAATCAGTGCTGGTTTTCGGTGGTTGTTTGGTGAGTTAATCTCTCTGCTTTTAGGTGGGATATGACAAACTTGGAGCTGGCCAAAATGCGACTGTTGCTGTCATGAGTTATAGTGGCTATGACATAGAAGATGCCATAGTCATGAACAAGTCATCTCTGGATCGTGGATTTGGTCGTTGTATAGTTATGAAGAAGTATGCTGCCTTAGTTTATCCATGGTTCTTATTGTCTCTCGTCGACCTATGGCATATTCTGCTACATGTTTCATGAGTTTCTACTGAGTTGACCTTTCTGTTTGCAGGGCGTCTTGCATTATGAATCGGAGGTATGATAGTGGGGCTTCAGACAGGATAGTGAGGCCACGTGGACTAGACAAGGACAGGGAAAGGGTAAATTATTTGTTCCTCAATATCCACTTTTCTCTCACGTTGGAGCACGAAAAATTCCATGGTATATCTTGGTTGTGCACTGCAGACCTGAGGCCGCATGTTGTTTATGTGTCGTGTATTTAAAGTAAATTGCTCGGCTGAGAAGATGGTAAAAAGAGTTGGCATTGCCATGATTGATTGAGTGTGACTCGTAAGAATGAGTTTGAGCTGACACATTCTGAATTCCTTTGCAACAAAAAGATGGCTGTCCTTTTATCACTTTGGATGTTCAGTTGAGTATGCTAGATAAATTGCCAGAAAAAAAGTTGGGACTTACTCATACGATCAGGGCTTACTGGAGAAAATTGCATACCTTATGCGTCGATTTCTTTACCCAAGGTTTGGAATTCTTGGGCATAATTTGAATGCAGTATTTTTCTTTTATGTAGATCTTGGACGTTGACGGACTTGCTGCACCTGGACAAATAATCAGACCAAATGATATCTATATCAATAAAGAGTCCCCAACTGAAACCAGGGATCATAAATCTGCAGAGGCACTAGCTGATATGTAAGTGGAACATTACGCCTAATTTGACTATCCCTTTCATATAATTTTTACTAATGTGTCTGCTATATATAGGAAATATAGGCCTAGTATGCAATCTCACAAAGGGCCTGAAGGAGAGTCGTGCGTTGTAGACAGAGTTGCTCTGTCTACTGACAAGAATAACAACATGTGTATCAAATTGATAATTCGTCACACCCGTAGGCCAGAGGTTAGGAACTGGTTCTTCCAATTTCGAGATTGTGATGATACTGTTTGGAGTTTATTGCAAGTTTCAGTAAAATCTGAAATTCTGTTTCATTGATCAGTTGGGTGACAAATTTAGTAGCAGACATGGTCAAAAAGGTGTCTGTGGAACAATCATTCAACAAGAAGACTTTCCATTTTCTGAGCGTGGCATTTGCCCTGATTTAATTATGAACCCGCATGGATTTCCTAGGTAATATAATCTCTTTATGTGATCCTCGTTATCTTTTGGATTTCCTAGGTAATATTCTTCTTCATGATCAGTCTTGCATGATTATAATAAAGGAATAAACACAGCATAACTGTAACAACAGAAAAAGGGAAAAAGTGGCTAGTGTCTCCTCTGAGTATGGGACAGTGGTTATATTTACTTATTTCTTCATTGTATGCACTATGATGCATGATACGGGAGTAACCTTCCGGTGATTAATAGTCGAATGACAGTCGGGAAGATGATAGAGCTTCTTGGAAGTAAGGCTGGAGTTTCTTGTGGTAGATTTCATTATGGTAGTGCATTTGGCGAACCAAGTGGTCATGCAGACAAGGTTGATGCTATAAGGTATACTTTATCTCTCTGTTACATCGTTTACGTTGGCTTATTGATGGTCATTTTCTGATGATCATAATTTGCTTGTGACAGTGAAACTCTTGTCCGTCATGGCTTTAGCTACAATGGGAAAGATATGATCTATTCAGGTATTTTTACTTTTCATCCTGCGTTGATGTTCTACTCTGGCTTCTTACATCCACTATGAAACTGATTTCTTTTGAATATCATCCAAAGGAAACTTTGCTGACTGTGTGACTGGTAGATAGTTCAGTGGGTTAAAACTTAAATTATATAACTGATTTTTTCCCCGAAAGTTTTAGCGAGTCTGTAATCTGTAAATGAGTAGCAATAATGTAAATGGCCGTATATGAAATACTCATAAAAGTAGGAACTGGCAGCATAGGTCCTAGATAAGGTTTTCCTTGACAGGTGGTTGGTCTAGGATTGGAACAATGTTTTCTTCATCCATTGTAGGATCGATATGGTCGGTTTGGTTGGACAGAATCGTGTGGACCGGATAAAAATAAAGAAAAAAGAGCATGGTTATTTTGGGTCAGAAGCACATTCCATATAGTTTGGTCTGGTCCAGTTTTCATTTGGTCTGTTTTCTTTGATGATCCATGGAGTGGAAGCTAATGCATTCCTCACTTTGAGAACCAAACCGAATAATATCCTATTATGTCACGGTTGATGCAATTCGCATGTCGATTTGGTCTGGGAGGTCTACTGTGGAGCAAATCATTGGCCATCCCTATCCATCGCTACCCCAACCACTTGGTAGGATATATTTCTTTGTACAAAGCCACCAGCCCAACCTTCAGACTAGGGTAAATTTCATTTTGGGTTCCAACATTCTGCCTCAATTAATTAGAGTATATGTAGTCCAGGATGGTGAAACCCCCTAACGTAGACTTTTGAAACAATGGTCAAGTTAGGAAAAGTTCTTCTGTCATCTCTACTGGTCATTCCATGTAGAATCTTTTTCTGTATGTTTTCGCACAAAAAGTGATATTGCTGAACATGGGATCATGGAGTCTCACTCTCTCTGAATTTACTCCAGGAATAACGGGATGTCCACTGCAAGCATACATTTTTATGGGGCCTATATACTACCAGAAGTTGAAACACATGGTATGCTTTTGATGGTACTCTAAGGCGTCCTGCACTCCTGCGGTTATTGCTTAATATTATTTGAGATCAAGTTTTCAAGTTCTATTAAGAACACTTCGATCTTTGTCATGTCCAGGTCCTAGATAAAATGCATGCTAGAGGTATGGGCCCTCGGGTTATGCTTACTAGACAGCCCACCGAAGGAAGAGCTCGAAACGGCGGTATGAATTTCATATTTAAGATTGCTTCTCAGAGCTCAAACTTATCTAGATCAAATGGAACACTTATAGTTTTGATACTTTCAGGACTTCGAGTTGGCGAAATGGAACGAGACTGTTTGATTGCATACGGAGCTAGCATGTTGATTTTTGAGCGCCTGATGCTTTCAAGCGACCCGTTTGAAGTTCAGGTTGTTAAAAACTGCCTATGAAATATTGTGTTCCATCAATCGACTTGCCGAAACATATGGTTCTTTTGCACATCGCACTGGTTATTGGGTTACAACTTCGTGTGCTGATCATAGCTGACGAGGATCTCTCTATTTTGCAGGTCTGCGAAGCTTGTGGTTTGTTAGGATATTACAACCATAAGCTGAGAAGTGCGTTTTGTTCCACGTGCAAGAATGGAGACAATATCGCGACGATGAAACTACCCTATGCTTGCAAGCTTTTGATTCAGGTACAAGAACAAAAATCGTTTCGTTTCTTCCTGCTGATGTTACTCCTGCATCTATTTGGCAACAGTTTTAGTTTATCCGAAGCATCTATCTGAATTTTCCATAACATTGTAGGAACTTCAATCTATGAACATTGTTCCGCGACTTAAACTCCAGGAGGCATGATAGATGTCTCGATCGCAAGAGATGACTAATCAGTGTCAATATCTCATGTTAAAGTGTCTTCGCTCCATCTTAGCTTTGGAGCTGTGCAATTGTAAAATAGGAGCTGAAGGTTGAGGTGGTGGAGAAAGCTGTAAAGGAGGAATACCTCTGTTAGGTTGAAAATTTGAATAGTGAGAAAATTTGGATAGTGACTCCCATCAATAGGAGACTTCCTCCAAGGGATACATCGTTATTGGAATCTTAAATACAATAATATATAATCTAACAGCTTATATTTATTTGAATCCTAGATACAAAATGTGGTTACGGAAAACAATTACATACATCATTGAAGAGTTTATGTTTATTCTATTTCTACCTAAAAAGTGTGGTTATTGTCGCACAAAAAAAAAATGTGGTTATTGAAATGATTATGCTCGTGCACAATTTCTCCATGGAGAGGAAAATTTTGTTAGAGACGGTTTGACAATATAGTAATGAATGTAAAATTTCAAGAGTTTTTATATATTTAATAAGAGCTTTTATATATTTTATAAGTGAGATTACAAGAAGAGTATATATAATGTCAACGGGAATTGTTATTCGTTGCCCTAAAATTCTTTATTTGTCGCCCTAACTAAGTTAAATTTACTTTAATACCCTTCCTTCATTTATTTGTCTTCAATTCCAAAATAAACTCATGTAATAATTAATTTAATCTAAGTACCATAGAAGAGAGCCGGAAAATCCCCATTTGAGTATTGCATTTGGCCGCTAAGGTCCTAGACTCAAGAAATGGCTTCTGGACATGTTACAAGCAGATTTGATTAACATACAGCCATGTGTTTACATTGTCCAAGTCATTAATGACAACAACCAAAGTTTCCCAGAAGGTGTCATCAAAGACATTTTATGTCTGTACACCCACACGGTTTTGTAGTGCTTCATCTTGAGACGAGGATTATTGATGCAACAGCTGCAGCAGAAGCAACAATTGTGGATTTGGCCTAACTAATGTTCCAATCCCGACAAAGAAACTGCCTTCTAAGAATATTCTTCTCTATCACATCATCGTCGGTTACAATGAGTGTTCCTTCTTTACCGCACGAGACTCCCTTCGTCTTCCTTTTCGTCTTTCCAGGGTTTGTCGGCGTGAGAGAGGTAGGTATGCCGGCAGGAGGATACTGGGTTAGGCGGCGGTGAGTTTTCAAAAGGTGAGGTGAGTGTCGAATTTGGGTAGGCTGGGATAGGAATTGTTTGTTTCTAGGGTTTAGATTTGAATTAGGGCTAGGGGTGTATGTGTCACTTTGGTACGGTTTAGGACGATAAAATTCAAATTTTAGGGCGACGAATAGCGATTCAGATGTCAAAATATAAAATTTGGGGTTAATTGCATGGTTGATCACTGAAATTACAAAAAATGTTCAAGTTTGGTCACTCGAAATATTTAAAATCATTGGTGGTACTTCAGATTATTGAAACCGTTCACGTTTGGTCACTCTCCGTCCAACTCCGTTAACTTTGGCTGATGTGGCAGTCAACTCTAAAAGTTGACCGTTAACTTAGTGACATGGCAACTAAAAAATTATTAAAAATATAAAATATAAACTTTTATATTTTTCACCTCATTATTGCATTCATTAAAAAATAAAAAAATAAAAACCTAGTTTCTTTTCTACAAACTCCCATACCCTACTCGACCCGACTTCCATCTCCGGCGCGGATGGGCTCTGTTTGTCACTACTTACCTGGCCTTCCCCCTTTTCGTTCGAATCCCTACCTCGAAGCTCCTCTTCTCCTGTAGCCATGGAGACCAAAACCTCCTCCTCCATCGGCGAGCTCAGAGACAATCTCCTGGCAGAAGTTCTTATCCGTCCGGGCCCTAGATCCGCCTTCCGAAGCAAATCCGTCTGCAAGCAATGGAACTCCCTCATCTCCGCTCCCTGCTTCTCTCCGCGATTCGTTTCGCACGACCGCAAGATCGGTCCCGGTAGCGAACCCGATCCGCCGCTTCTAACTCCCACCAAACTCCGTGAATGGATCCTCACCTTCCTCCCCCTGCCCATCGCCGACCGATCCCGTCTCTCCGTTCTCGATTGCTACGACGACTTCCTCTTGCTCGGCGATGGATGTGCTTAATAAACACAGTGGGCAGAGGGTCATTGATACGAGCATTCCCTTGGTTCGCCATTCAGCTCGGACTACTCAACCTAACCGCCGTTATCGCGACTACGTAGGATAGCCAGCACATGGGATTTTCCAACTGAAATGGAAAATTACGACCGAAATTGAATTGTACATCCAAAATAACCCTAAGAAGACATGATCCCAAGCGGATACTTGACATGTACCTCCTCTTCCAGGTCCATCGCAAGGGAAGCGAAAACCAAGATTTGCTTTATCCGGTATCAAACGAGAGCTGCGGGCAAATAGAACTCCTTTTAGGAGTATCAATACCGTCACATGAATCGTAAATGCATGAATATGATGGACCAAAAAATCCGCGGTTCCCAATGGAATAGGTAACAAAGCAACCTTCCCACCCACTGCCACCAAATCACCACCCCCCCAAGTCAAACTGGTGCTTGCTGTTGCACCAGGAGCCGGCCACTCATGAGAATCGAACCAGTATTCAGGCGATCATAAATCAATTGGCCGCCGTTCAGACTGTTGTTAATCAGATCGCTCAAGATCAAGCAGCCAAATCTAATGAACGACACTCCGACGGAGGAGAACGATCCGTCAATGGCCGGCCCCGTCGAACTCAACCCGATGATGATGATGATCAGGACCGCCGACCCTTCTTTGTGGCTAAACTTGCTCGCCTGGAGTTCCTCACCTACGTCGGAGAAGATCCAACTGTCTGGTTCTCCCGCGTTGAACAATTCTTCGAGTTCCAAGCCATTCCAGAAGACCAAAAGGTGACTCTAGCATCTTACCATCTCGAAGGCGATGCGAATCAATGGTGGCAGTGGCTCCGACGAACGTACCATACGGAGGGTCTGCACATCACTTGGGACACCTTCTCTTCGGAACTCTGGGCGCGATTCGGCCAAGCTACCAGAACCAACTTCGACGAATCTCTCTCACGAATCAAGCAGACGGGATCTCTGAAGGACTACCTCACGGAATTCGAACGTCTCGGCAATCGAGTCCACGGGTGGACTCAACAAGCACTCGTGGGTACCTTTATGGGAGGGCTCAAATCGGCGATTGCCGACGGAATTCGCATATTTAATCCCAGAACCTTGAAGGATGCCATCAATTTTGCCCGGGCTCGAGACGAGCAGCTCAGCCGCCGTAGCAGTCCCCCAAGACCGACGCTCCGATCTGCTATGGACTATACGACGCCACCCCGGTCCAAACCCAGATCCACTTTTGACACCACCTTCGTTGCGCGCCCCCGAGTCGTTGTCGAGCCGACACCCGGAATACGCAATCGAGTCCAACCGCCGATGGGTGGCAAGCGACTACCATATGAAGAAATGCACTGCCGCCGCGCCGCAGGTCTCTGTTTTAATTGCAACGAGAAGTTTACACCAACTCATCGTTGTGCAAAGCCTAGGTTGATGATGCTATTGGATGAGGAAGAGGAAGAGGAGCTGTTCGCCCCCGCCGAATCAGCCGAGGTCTCTCTCCATGCCATTGCGGGCCAAACCGGTGGACGTACAATGCGGGTCTGGGCCCGAGTGGGCCGATCCAAGTTGATGGTGTTGATTGATAGTGGGTCAACCCACAATTTTATTAGCTCCAAAGCCGCCGAAACTCTGCAGCTTTCCAGGACTTCTGTCGCCGCTTTCAACGTCAAGGTCGCCAATGGAGCTCCACTTAAGTGCAACGGCAAACATGAGGGCATTAACCTCAATATTCAAGGCATCCAATTCCCCGTCACTCTCTTTGCAATTCCACTCACTGGTTTCGACATCATCCTCGGCGTTCAATGGTTGGAGATGCTTGGCACCATACAGAGTAATTGGAAGTCAATGGAAATGGAATTTGAGTGGAATGGCCTTCGTCGGCGGCTGCGTGGCATCGCCGACTCGCCCATCTCTGCCATTTCCGTCAAGGGTCTCACAAAAGAGGAGCCTGACCTTCGCGCCATTTGCATCCCTCCGCCGTCGGAAGATCCTCTTCGACGGGTACCGGACGATCTCCAAGACCTCTTACGGGACTTCGGTGACCTGTTTGAGGAACCATCACAGCTGCCTCCTTGACGCCAAATTGACCACCGCGTCAACTTGAAAGAGGGAACAGAAGTGATTAATGTTCGGCCCTATCGGTATGCCTATTTCCAGAAGGAAGAAATTGAGACACAGGTCAATAAGATGCTCGCGGCAGGTCTGATTCAGTCGAGTACGAGCCCCTATTCCTCCCCGGTACTGCTAGTCAAGAAAAAGGACGGATCCTGGCGGTTCTGTACCGATTATCGAGCCTTGAATGCAGCAACCATAAAGGATCGATTTCCCATTCCCACCGTCGATGACATGTTAGATGAACTTCACGGGGCAGCCTACTTCATAAAATTGGATTTGCGAGCAGGCTATCACCAAGTGCGAATGAACAATGCTGACGTTCCCAAAACGGCATTTCGCACTCACAATGGTCATTGCGAATACCTGGTAATGCCTTTCGGACTTTGTAACGCCCCTTCTACTTTTCAAGCTATTATGAACGACATATACAGACCCATGCTCCGCAAGTTCGTTCTAGTCTTCTTCGACGACATCTTGGTGTACAGTCCGGACAACTACAGCCACCGTGAACACTTGCGCCAAGTCCTGCAAACTCTCCGGCATCATAAGTTCTTCGTCTTGTTTTCTAAGTGTGCCTTTGGCTTACCAGAGATTGAGTATCTCGGTCACATTATCACAACCCAAGGAGTGAAGGTCGATCCCCGCAAAATTCAAGCCATGACCGAATGGCCAACACCAGCCAACGTCACCGAGCTGCGTGGATTTTTGGTACTTACCGGCTACTATCGTAAGTTCGTTCGGGGATATGGCTCCATTTCCCGTCCTCTGACTAATCTCTTGAAGAAAGGCCAATTCGAGTGGACACTGGCTGTTGCGGATACATTTCAGCAATTGAAGACAACAATGACAACAACGGTCCTAGCAATGCCCAACTTCGAGGCTCCCTTTGTCATTGAAACCGATGCGTCAGGAGTGGGCATTGGGGTTGTCTTAATGCAACATGATCAGCCCATAGCCTACATGAGTCGGGCACTCGGCAAGTCCAAACAAGCGTTGTCCACCTATGCCAAAGAAATGCTCGCCATCGTCACCGCTATCCAGACTTGGAGGCCATACATATTGGGCCGCAAATTCTTCATTCGGACCGACCAGAAGAGCTTAAAGCACCTTTTGGGCCAGCGGATAACAACTCCCGAACAGCAAAACTGGGTCTCCAAACTGTTGGGTTTCGATTACGAAATCTCCTACAAACCTGGAAAAGAGAATCACGCAACTGCAGGACGTCAAGCGTTTCGTCAATGGGTGTGACATTTGCCAACGAGCTAAGGCTCAATCTCTTGCTCCGGCAGGACTCCTTCAGCCGCTGCCTATTCCGAATCAGGTTTGGGAAGATATAACTATGGATCTTATTGATGGTTTGCCGAGTTCAGGAGGGAAGACTGTCATCCTCGTCGTCGTTGATCGTTTGACCAAGTACAGCCACTTCATCGCACTCTCCCATCCGTACACAGCTCGCACAGTGGCCGATCACTTTGTTGCTGGCATCGTCCGGCTGCACGGGCCACCTCGCTCAATAGTCAGTGATCGTGACCCACTCTTCATGAGCAACTTCTGGCAAGAACTCCACCGGCTGTCCGGAACGACACTGCAGATGTCTTCTTCCTACCATCCTCAAAGTGACGGCCAAACAGAGGTGGTGAATCGTTGCGTCGAGCAATATCTCCGGTGCTTTACCCATCAGCACCCCAAGCGCTGGCTGGCTTCTCTCCGATGGACAGAGTATTGGTATAATACCAGCTTCCACAGTTCGGCAGGTATGACTCCGTTCCAAGCCTTGTATGGTCGCCTTCCTCCTGCTGTTCCTTTCTATCGTCCGGGATCTACCTCAGTCCATGAAGTTGATCGTGCACTACTCGACCGCAATGATCTTCTCAATGAGCTCAAAGCCAACCTGGGGGTAGCGCAGCATCACATGAACAAAATGCCGACTTGCACCGTCGTGAGGTCACTTTTTCGGTGGGCGATTGGGTTTACTTGAAGCTTCACCCTTATCGTCAGCATACTGTCTTTCGGCGTGCATCCCAGAAGTTAGCTTGTCGCTACTACGACCCCTACATCATCACTGAGTGTATTTTCCTCGTAGCTTACCACCTCGGTCTTCCCCCCGGCAGTCGCATTCATCCGGTCTTCCACGTCTCGTTGTTGCGTCGCTGCCAATCCCCTTCTCCAACTGCCAGTCCTAAACTTCCCCCTGTGGATGATGACGGCGGTCTCTTGCTCCAGCCTGAAGCCATTCTCGACACACGCTGGGTTCGTCGTGGAGCGCCTTTTGTCGAGGAAGTCTTGGTCCAATGGAGGTCGTTGCCCACAGATGATGCTACTTGGGAATTGGCTTCTGAATTTTATGACCGTTTCATTCAGCTCGGCCTTGAGGACAACGTCGTTGCTTCAGGGGGTGGTAATGATACGAGCATTCCCTTGGTTCGCCATTCAGCTCGGACTACTCAACCTAACCGCCGTTATCGCGACTACATAGGATAGCCAGCACATGGGACTTCCTGTCAAGCTTGCCGTTGTAGGTGTCTAGAATCTTGAGTCAACTTCCGCAATTGCAGTAGTCTAGTTGAACGAGTCAGTAAGTAGTTAGCTTTGTTGGTTGTTTTTGAATTACAGAATAAGTGGAGAGTAGTTGTTAGCAGGTCGTGAGTTTTGCTCCACATAGATAGGAATGGTTGTTTTTCCCTTTTCTTAGTTGTTTTCCTTCTGCAAACGTGATGTACTTAAGGAGGGTCGAGAGGAAATAACAGGCAAGCATTATTTGAGAGTCAAAAGAAACCCTTGTTGTTCTAGCCAAGAAAATAGAACACTGACTTCTTCCTGCCAAGGAAAGGGAGATCTCGATTGTTACAACTCCAGCCCGTATCAGTCATAAGTATTTGATATGTTATCCTCTGAATGATGCTTATAAGGCCCTGTTGGTAAGATAATCATAAGACACCTACACTACGAAATGCATCGTGTTATTGCATCACATCACCGGTGCCAAAACCAAACTGTGTATCCTGGTTAATCTAATGACAAATATTTCAATTTATCTAACCTATTTCCATCTCTATTAAGCACCACTGCAATGATAACCAATCTGACGACAATCAAATCAATAAGGAAGCCTTCTGCATTCTTCTATTCTCTACAGAGGATTAACCAGAGCATGTGGAGGATGATAAATTGGTCATTCTTACTAACACAATGAGCTGTTATAAAGCTATCATGCCGCTCCAGTATGCAAACATGCAATTGCTTGCACCGTCAATCACTTAACTAACATCATTCTCCAAACTGGTGTTGACGCACGACATCCTTCTAGGCACCACAGCTTTCCTGATAGCCGCCACCTCCTTTTCCAGTTCCAGTTGCATAATCATCTCCTCCAGTGTCCATTTTGTTGACGACCGGGCCGCCGGCGGTGGTGGTGGGCGCTGCTGCCAAGTTGGAATCGTTGAACACAAAAATTGAGAAAGTTCAAAGAAAGGTTAAGGAAACGCAGGCGGCGGCGGAGGAGTGGGAGGAGGGACTGAAGCTGACGGGGACGGGGATGGGGCAGGAGTCGGAGTCGGGTGGTGGTGGTGGTGGGGAGTGTTGCTACGGTGGTCGGATTCCGCGACGGAGGTAGAGGTTGGGTCGGGTAGGATATGGGGTTTTTAGAAAAGAAATTAGGTTTTTTATTTTTTATTTTTTAATGAATGTAATAATGAGGTGAAAAATATAAAAGTTATTATTATTTTTTTAATAATTTTGTAGTTGTCACGTCACTAAGTTAACGGTCAACTTTGAGAGTTGACTGCCACATCAGTCAAAGTTAACGGAGTTGGACGTAGAGTGACCAAACGTGAACGATTTCAATAAACTGAAGTACCGCCAATGGTTTTAAATATTTCGAGTGACCAAACTTGAACGTTTTTTGTAATCTCAGTGACCAACCATGCAATTAACCCATAAAATTTGGTTTACAACAATTGTGATATTGGTCACGAACATAATTATGTGAGAAATTTTACAATGATATATAGTATTGGTGCTATAGGGTATTTGCTTTTATGGTACAACTTAAAATTGTACATTTACGTTATGGTACAACTTAAGATTCTACCTATACTTTTTGGACAAATTATTTTATGGTACAACTTGAACTTGTACCTTTATGTGATGGTACAACTTCAAGTTGTAAAATTGTATCATAATATAATGATACAAATTGTTTTATGGTACAACCTAAACTTATACATTTCATATTATGGTACAACTTTAAGTTATAGATTAAAGCACCAATACTATATAGCATAGTTGAAATAGTAGAAGTACTCTAATTATGTATCCAAAGCGTTCAATAAAATATTGTGAGCTTATATGATGCACGGAATATATGATATTCACACCTAAATAAAACAAGAAAAGTAATGTATTCTGAAAAATGAAAACCGCAGGGCGCTTGCCGGAGCAACGTTTAACTCTTAAGGAACTGAAACGTTACAAAATAATATTTTAAGGATGGGAACTTTGTAGAGGTAGAAGTATAAGGGCGAAATCCAACATTTTGCGACTTCCAGTATTTTCCCCAGCGCGCGCGCACTCCTTCCCGCGGGAGATTTTGGCGCGAGTATTCCTCAATACGCTCCCTCCTTCGTTCTCGCTTTCTCGTTGCGTTTACTCTCCAGTTCCCCCGCTTCCATGACGAGCTTTGGGTTCCGGCAACCCCAATTCTCTGAGGTAAATTCCACTAACCAATCTCCGCAGCAATTACTGCTACTTATCCCCTTTCTCGCTGTTCGCCTGGTTTCAGGAACTGGCATATCTGCCCATTTGGCTTCAGAAACCCCAACTGGAACAATCGCCGCCGCCGGGGAACTCCATTGCGGAAGCCGAAGTCCCTTTTTCTTCGAATCGAGAACTCAGAAGTTTGTGGCCTCCGAGAGGAAGCCGTACTTGCTTTGGGAAGGATGTCAATCGCTCCTCGAAAGATGAAGGAAGGTACAAGGATTGTTGTCTATTCTTATCTGGGGAAGCTAATTCAGAAAGCACTGTGGCTCCGTCTCCAGGAAATGTGAGGACCTTAATCTCTTTCTTAAATTTTTTTTTTTTTTTTTTTTTTGGCTGGCCTAATTTGCACTGGCGGTCTGACTTTCTGCATGATGTGAATTTTGTGGTGTGGTGCAGCTGTTACACCTTCGTTTACATATCTCTCTGGATGGTGATTCACCTAATACCCAGTGCCAGCTTTCATATCCATCAGACCTCCCTCGTGGTTCCAGTATGTTCGAGTCGCAGCATCAAGATCAAACTCTGTGTAGCTGGGATGAGAAAGCCTGCCAAATGAAAGTGGACTACAATGGTGGTGGAGTAACTCTCCTGCCTCCAGCTTCCACCCCAGGAGCTGTGAAGAGCGATAGTTTACAGGTACCGAGCATTAACCAGGGTAGCAAAATGCAAAATGAAGGAAAATTGAATGTTTTTCCAGCAAATATGGGCACTGAAGCCGGTTCATTGCCACCTAAACGCAGTTCGGGCTGTGAAGATGGTGACATAAATGGTGCTATCGAACTCTCTATTGCTGCATCAGAAGCATTAGTTATACATGAGTTGATGAAGACTGAGTTGAGCTCAGAAGGCTTCTCAACAGGATCAATTCTCGAAGCTGCACTCAGAGTCAAGCAAGCTCGTTTGCTGGAGGAAGGCGTGGAAGATGGGTGCTACAGTAATGATGAAGTTGTTGATGTCGATTCTCTTTCGGACCTGGATGATTCTGTTATGGGGGATGCATTTTTGGATGTGGGATTATCTTTGGATGGCGCCCACGTTTCTGGTTCAGATATATCTCATGTCAAAGAGACTCCTATGGAGGAAAAATTGGATGGCAGTACCAATGGGTCTAAGGTTCCCAAGGACCAGCAGGATCAGAATATTAATGGAAAAGCTCCAGATTCTGACTACTCTGGTATGGCATTCAGTGGTAATCGTAGTTCCTATCAGCAAGACGATATTCTCCACGACATGGCTGAACCACAGGTAAATAAATGTCTTGTCCTTAGTCCCGTTCAACGTGCACCCACCAAATAAAAAGCATATGATATAGGAGTTACTCTCATATCAGTTCCTCATTTAGTTTCCTAACAGTTTTTCTCTTTGATTACTTGTCTTTTCTCAAAGAAATTATCTTGTTTTCATTTTGTAATTAGCAACTACGGAATACTCCTTTCTCATAACTCATAACTACTCTGTCTCTTTGGTTATTTTGTTCTTTCATTCAATCCCTCCTGGAAGGAAGGAAATGCTAATGGAGGTAAACAGCACACAAGGAAAGGTGTCGCCAAGTATTTTATTGATGAGGCAAGCTTCCTCTCTGAATCTGGGGACATTGCTGTCAATCAGATTTCCGGTATGCACAAAAAGGGAAATGGGCCAAATATAGCCTCACAGTCGAGCATAAACTTCAATGGCTTGCAAGATAAAGCCCACGATGCTGTTTTACCTTCCGAGGAGGTTAGATGTTCTTACGTATCAGCTTCAGATCCTCTATGTTCCATTGTTCCTTGCAGTATTCCCATGGAGGAGCATTTTGTTTCCCCTGCAAATCAAATCCAAAATGGTGCTGGAGTTGAACCTCAAAACAGCTTCGGCCACAAATTCTTACCTGGGTTGGGTAACGAGTGCACTATTGATAAAGTTGAAGAACAAAATCCGGATTCCCCCCTCAATGGGAATGACAATGTAGATATTGAACATCAAGAGGACACGTGTGTTTCTGTGCAAAGGAGATCACCTATAGTTCTGAATCGAAGGACCCGGCATCGCTGGCAGGCTCGTGAAAGTTTTATTGGGAGTAATGTACCTGCAGTCAGATGTCTAGAGCAGGATCTTCCTGAAAACACTACAATCAAGTTTGACATTAGCAATCAAACTAACATGCCATCTGGAGAAGTTGTTTCCTGTACTGAAAACAATCCAGTTCGAACAAAGAGAGTTCACTTCTCATTTGAAGTCCAGCATGAGCAAACCAAGGAACTCATTCAAAGGTCCAAAGCATCATCTGTCGAAGGTAGGATTGCAGAAACTATCATCTTACAGACTTATTTATCTTTTGGAGATATTAATGTTTTTTTTTTCTTCTTTCTTCTAGGGGGTCCAGATTTGGGTATTAGACATAACAAAAGATCAAAACTTTCCAAACCAAGTTGCATGAAGAAATGTCTTCTGGGCCACAAGCAAGACTTGAAGCGTCTGATATTTCACAGATTGGAGTTTTTGATTACCGGGTTTTCTTATGCAAAGGAAAGAGAACTTGGAGGAATGATACAAAAATCTGGCGGTATAGTCCTATCTGAGATCCCCTCTCATCGAAGTTCAAAATTCAGAGGGATTAAAAGACCTGACACCCAGCAGCTTACCTTAGTTATCAGTTCAAGAAAGGTTAGTTTGTAATAAACCATCGTGGATTGGCTTTATTCTGAGTTTCTGCTTTTGTTTTTTCTTTCTACTGTTGTGCTGTGTCTCTGTTGAATAAAATCTCCCACTGAGTAACTGACTTACTGATTTTTGTGTAATTATTCCAATGCAGCTGCAAACTGCCAAGTTCTTGTACGGTTGTGCTGTGAACGCTCTCATTTTAAAAGCCAGATGGATCACTGACTCAATTGCAGCTGGTGCAATTGCACCGCCAGAAAAGTAAGTCCCTATATGTTTTTAAGGATACCAAACTTAATCTTGCTTTTAGTGGGTTGCTGCTTCCAGCATTACTTTGTTCACTAGCATTTTGCTCTTTGAAATCCATGATCACCAATGCTGGCCATCTTACAAAAGGAGGGAAGCTTCCTAAAAGAAATTGGCATGTTTAGAGTAAATCCATCATGGATGATGCGAAAAATGGTGCTTCCTTTGCTGATTCTCTTTACCTGTTTTTGACAGTTCACTCATTTTTATGTTTACAGGTATGTCATCCGTCCAAATCAAGCAGACATAAGGCCAGTCCGCCAGCTTCCAATGAATCAAAATACCGGACCGCGTATTTTTGACAGAGTCGGAATCATGCTTCATGGAAAGCCCAGCTTCTGCCGGAAATTATCCTTGATAGTCAAGGTTAGCTAGTCGTTAATAATCAGAAGTTTAGTGACTATGATGTATCTCTCCCGCTTATTCTTCCATGTAGGCAAGCATGGTTTTAAGTTGTTGTTGTTTGCCCTTTTGCACGCGTAGCATGGAGGTGGAGAGGTGTTCAAATCCCTCCAAACGTTACTGTTGATCCTCGATACTGGAAAGCTAAGGCGGGGAGTTATTGTTGCTGAAAATCAGAGCAGGGCATTGCGGCACTTGCAGCATTGTGCCTCGGAGCAGAAAATAGCCTTGATGGTTGGTAGTATTATCCTTTCTGGCTCTACTTTTTTCAATTGTGTGGAACTTATGTTTAACATTTTTATCATTTGTTGGCCATTTATGCAGCCGGCTAGCTGGATAGCCAAGAGCTTGCACTTAGGGAAGCTTCTGCCTGTTCAAGAGAAAGAGGAGGATGCCCCACAGGAAATCGGATTACAAACTTCAGAGAATTCCTTGGACTGGAGTCAGGAATTCTGAGATTGCTCCTTAAGACACAGACACAACACAACCTCAATGTGCAGTTGTCTATCAGGCTCTGATTTTGGCGTGCGTGATGGGAAGGGCTGTTGATATGCAAGCGGGGTCACAGATGAGCCTGATGCAGCAGATGGAGATAAGAAAGAAAAAAAAAATTGAAGCTCCATATGCAGGCAAAGTCGAAGATATAGTTCCTCAGCAGAGAAAAGAAAAGCTGTTCTTGTTTTAATTATTTCAGGTGTATGCTGCAAACTGTTTCCAGCATAATGTATATAACTGATTTGAATAATTACTTCTGTATTCTTTGTAGAGGGAGGATTTCTAAAACCTGAAATCTTCTTCAACATGAGATCACCAAACATCAAAAAGCAAATAGGTTCTTGATTAACTAACAAACACAGTGCTAGGAAATAAAGTTTTCTTTCTATAAAAATGGCAAATGACGAAATGTTCTGCTGCCTTGGGAGTTTGTATCATAAGCACTCAAAATACTTACTCTAGCATGTGAATCAATGCCCCAATCGAAGATGTTATATCATCAGTTTATTGACTGAAATGATATTTGAAAGAAAAAAGGGAAGAAAGAGCCCATGTTTTTGTTTTTGTAGGTGAATGCACATTGGTAGTTAATGTGATTAACACGTTAAAAATGTTTTTGTATGTAAACATAGACATGACAAAAGTTTGTATTTGAAAAAGGATGAATCATGTTTCAAAGACTAGATAAAAAAAAAAAAAAAAGTGGGCACTTTGCTAGATCAATGTGGATATGTAACAACTAACAAAGTCTATATTTGGCCTGATTTTTAGAAGTGCGTTTAGCTTTAAAAAGATGAAGTAGGGCCAAACACCTCTAAAAACTCACCTTTTAAAAAACCAAAACAATTTTTTGTATAACATAAAAGCATAAGCTCTAATTTGGAGCTTCTGCGAAAAACAGTATTGAAAATACAAGATTATCCATAGTATATTTCAATTTTATTTCAGAAAATATAATTTATTTTATTTATATCATTTTAAAAATAAAATAAATTGTAAAACCATATTATTTAATACGAAAGAAATATAACAAGATTCATTTTTACTATTTTTTATTCTTTAAAAATTTATTTAAATTTTATATTATAAATCCTTTATAGTCATTTTACGTAACATCTTATATTCAAAGTACTTCTAATAGTTTTTAGCTAAACACTCAACTGCTTTTTTTTAAGTACTTCTCTAAAAGCTCCAACCATAAGTTGCTTCTGCAAAAGTTAAAACATGGCCAAACTACTATAAACTGGATTGAAATGTATAAAACGGAAAGTAAAGAGACTTAATTGATCGGGTTTAGTTGTTGTAATAATGGAACTAAGAGTGACTGAATTGTAATTTGGTATTAGAGCCTCGTTTAAACAAAATGGTGATGACGAGAACCTAGGAAAGATTACTCCCCTTTTCCAATTGAACTACAACCGTAGAAGCACAACTAGAAGACTGTTGAGAGCATAAAGCTGGCATTGAAGAGAAACTGACAAACATATTCAGTATGTGCACGACTTAATTGCAAGATCTAGTTGCAAGATCTGAAGGTCACACACATCAATTCGCGACACTCAACACGCGATTGGAAGGTGTGGGAGGTAGATAAGAAACTCATTTTGCTGAGATTATGTGTTGGCTAATAGAATTAGGTTACCAAAAGTCAGCGATGGTTATTGACGATGCGGAAGGACCGGTGATGGATAAAAAAGATGATTGAGGGATCCTACCACATCCCCATCAGTTAAGTAGGGGAGCTTAACCAGAGCTTAACTTTACAGCACCTCGAGGTCTATTTCAGATGAATCGCATGGAGGAACAGGATAACCTATATTAGCATCGAGGTAATAATAATAAGTATCAGCTTCCTCGTTTGGACTTCTCTTATTCTAGTGAAGATAACCCTAGGGGATGGAGAAAATGCGACAAGTTATTCGAGATTTTTAGAATTTCATTAGGCAGAGAGTCAGACTAGCAACTATATACTTTGACGACGTCATGATATATGGTTTGAAGGTTGGGTAGTCGGTCGTAGGGAACTGGTTTGAGAAGAGTTTGCAGTGGCTTTAACGCTTTGTGTAGGAGGGGGTGGTTGGTGAGTTCTATAAACTACAGCAAAGAGGTTCATTGAAGGAGAAATTTGAGGAACTACCATCTTAGGTTTTGCGATATAACGTTGTATTGACAGAAGAGTACTTCATCTCGAGTTATATAAGTGGATTGGAAGAGGAATTGAGGCCACTAGTTAAGGTGATGCAACCTCTGAGCTCACACTTTTCAGCTATCAAGGTTGGAAGAAACATCGAATGAGTCTCGAAGGAAGAAGTGGGTATGTGTTCTGTACAACTACCAATCATCTTTTTGGGGGTATTCAGATGCATAAAAAATGGGATAACCCCATTCTAAGGTGTACTCCACCTAATAAAGCTCTTACTGCCAACATGGATAATTTCACAAAAGGACTTGTTACAAATGTGGGGATAAATACTACTTTAGGCACGTTTGCCAAAGGAAGAAGCAGTTGAATGCGTTGTTGGGAGATGATGAGAATATAGTAAACCAGAAGGATTGGAGTGAATATGAGTTGAGTGAGGCACCAGACGAAGGAATGGAGGAGATCTAGGATTCAGAAATCACACCTTTTGAAGTTACTATGCCGACATTGAGCAGTGGAGGTGCATCGAATTCATTGGTAGGAAAAGGAAAGGTTAAAAAAACTTTAGTGTACATTCTAATTGACACTTGGTAGTATTCAAACATTTTTAATGAAATCAAGGTTATGGATACGAACTGATCTGATAGCAGCTACTCTCTTGAGAGTGAAGTTAGCTGAGGTTTTTAGTGGGAAATGCAGGCACATAAGCTCACATATGATGTCAAAATACTTGGCTTAATATCGAATGATATGGGTTTAGGATTAGATTGGTTGAGAACAATCGGTCCTATGAAATTCAATTGCATAAACCTATAGCTTTTCTTTGATAAGGATGGACATGATGTGACTTTAAAAGGGTTGCAAGATACCGGTAATTGCAGGTCTATATCTGGTAAAGGCCTATACAAGTTTTCAGATAGAAGGTTCCAATGTTAGTTGGACAACTATTCAACCTTACTGCTACCGCAACAGTTCCTAGTAACATTCAAAATTCCTACAATTTGTGGTCAAAGGTATGTCAATGTCTTTGGCAAACCAAAATCACTACCCCTTTCTAGTTCCTGTGACCATACTATTCCATTACAACCTAATTCCAATCATGTGAACCTCGTACCATATAAGCATTCTTTAACCCATAAATCTAAGATGGAAATATTGTGCAATGAGATGTTAGCCTCTCACTACATACAACATAGACAAAGTCATTTTTCTTCTCATGTGTTGTTAGTATTGAATAAGGATGGTACTTGGCGGTTTTGTGTTGACTATAGGCAAATGAAATCTTTAACCATGAAAGACAAAGCACCTTATTTGATCTTCGTTCTCTTTATGTTTTGTTTCGTTTTGCTGTTTTGCTTTTTCTCCCTCTCTGCTCTAGTCTTGTCTTTGTACCTAAATTTAAGAATGCTTTCCTTTTTTATTTTTATTGTCGCTAGCTGCTAGCAATTTTTTTCTAATAAAATTTTTCATCATTCATAAAAAAAAAGACAAATTTCTTATTCATGTTATAGATTATTTGTTGGATGAATTAAAAAGGTCTAAGTATTTTTCAAATCTTGACCTGCTTTTTTGGCTACCACCAAATTAGAAGGCACCCACCATACTAGTACAAAATATACTTTCAAACCCATCATGGTCATTTTGAGTTCTAGTAATGCATTTTGGCCTCAACAATGCACCTGTCACTTTCCAAGCCCTCATGAACCAAATATTTGCAGCCCAATTGAGACAATTCATTCTTATATTCTTTGATAACATTCTAGTTTATAGCCCTCATCTAGAAACTCGTACGAAAAAACTAGCCTTACCCTGAACATACTAAGACATAACACTTTATATGCTAAACAATAAAGGTGCTCATTTAGCCACAGACAAGTGGATTATATTGGACATGTTATTAATGATGATGTGGTGTCGAAAGAGGCCACATTTTGCACTATGATCAAGGAGGTGGTGAAGATCTTCCACTGTTGGTGCAACAAGTACTGAGCACTATAAATGTTGGTTCTGGCCAAGGCACTCCAGTGTGGTGGTTTCACTCATTTGAAAGGTCTCATCCAAAGTGTATGATGAGCTCCATATGCAAGCATCCAAAAAGAAATAGTAAGCTTTTGGTGTGGGGAGGAGTCATGACCTACAAAATGACCTTGTATCAGGCATCTGTGACCTTCTTCCTTGTTACTCCTCACAGATTTTTGTGATGATGAACGTCGATGAGATGAAGTTGATTGATGTTCACTCATTTGAATCCATACATCATGAACAAATCCATACGGTCATGCTCAAGCTGACACTCATACTCTCATTGCTAATCATCAGCTTCTCTTTCCTCTCGTTGTCTTCTCTAACGGGGGAATCCATGAAGAAAAATAGTTGTTGTTAGCTATAGAAATGTATGAAGTTCAAAGGGTTTTTTTTTTCAAGAATGAAGGCTCAATGGTGGATGGATGAGTAGAATGACCAAGGTTGATGGTTCATTTGTAGAAATATGAAAGCTTTCTTTTGCAATAAAATGACCAAAGTTGGTGAACAGTTGATGACACAATTAAAGTTGGATGAACAGTTGATGTAACAATTATATGATTAGATTTGGATGATCAGTTGATGTCACAACTAATTCTAATAAGCATGTGAGGCAATCTAAAATAGTTACTGTATTTTCGTTGTTGATGTCATCGCGTTTAATGAAAAAATTATGTCCAAATTAATAGAAAAATTAGATCAAAATGTTTATCTTATATCTATATAAAATTACCAAAAAATAATATAAATAAAATGATGTGAACTACTCTAAACTAGATTTAAAGAAGAAAACAACGCATAATGGATTTGGCATGTCAGCCTTCCCCATTATGACCTTTTCACTTTTAGCGGGTTAGAAAGCTAGAAATAGCTCTAAATTTTGGAACTTTTAGCACTACCATTCTAAATGGTTTTACATATGGCCTCACTAAAATCTATAGTCCATATATGATTATTCACTGGTTATGCACCATATTTTAGGTCGATGTCATTTAATCAATGTATGCTCACCACATTTAGTATTAATTACATTTATTTTTTTAAAATTAAAAACTCATATAAACACATTTATTTGGAAAGTCAAACTCACATTAATTACGTTTCTCTTTTTAACTTCTGCTTTCCTTTTCCTCAACCGTCAGGTCGTAGGCCCCACCGGCCAACAGTAGGGGGAGAAAGTCATAACTCGTACCACGTCAACTATTGGGCGCCACCTGATACTCTCTCTGAATCACAACAGCAACTCAGTTGTGGTGGCCACATGACATTCGTGGGCAAACACGTACAACACAGTGAGCAATGATGATTGGGCGGGTGGGAGCACACGAGAGTGTGACCTGGTCTCGTTCGTTTGATGACGCGAATTCTGTCATACTCTCTCCGATAGACTTCCTTTAACTTTCTTTTTCCGACCACCTAACAAAAAGAGTATCACCACATGAAAATCAGTATCATTCTACAAAAATCAGTATCATTACACAAAAAAGAATGCAACTATATGAAGAAAGTTACAAAAGATCAGTATGCCTCAAGAAAACAAAGCAAAAGCCAGTACAAAAAACACTACCGAACCCGTACTAGTATAACAAGACCATTGTTAGAAGAAAAAACTCAAAGATGAAAACTGGTTATAAAAACATAAAACCAATACCACCAGTGCCAGACCCATAAATTTTAATTAGGGATGTCTTCCTCTAAAATGAAACTAAATTACTAAAAAACTTCAACATTAGAAAATATCCAGTTAGTACAAGTTACAACAAAATACCATCACGAGTTTTCATATTCTAAAAATATTTAATATACAGCCAGTGCCTACAATGCTCAACAAATCTCTTAACCTTTAATGAACTGATCTCATATTTGATTTCCAAGCTTGTTTTTTATGTAATCCAAAACTAAATTTTATTTTTAACACCTTGCAATTGCAACCGCTAAAATCAATATAACTTTGAGAAGCAAATAGATAGATGAATATAATGGATTCACTTTTGTCTTCATCATTAACTAAGCTAATTCATCGATTCATTTTAATCAAATGAAAAATTCATCATTATTGATGATAATGATTCTAAAAATGTCATAGAAGAAATGAGTTTGACATATGACCAAACTCACTAGGATTAAATCGATTAAGACGTATGAACTTATCTTTATAAAAAAAAACAACACAGTCATTCTTCATGCTAAAACAAGACATACAAGTCAATAACCTAGTATTGTCGTGTAATTTATACCATTTTCTCTAATAATTCTAGTGTTTTGAGTTTGAATTACAAAACCTATCACATTTTTTTCTTCTTTTTCTCCAAATTCAAACTACTACTAGGAGATCCAAAATTTTAGAATGTCCCAAGATACTGCAAAAGGACCAAGGACAAATTATTATCGGGGATCATTAATTCCCCCTTCCCCCCTACCCAAATTTTATGGGTGTCTCGGGACACCGATATAAGGACCCTGAGTCCGTCACTAACGACCACTGCCCAAAATTCGGATTTGAAATGCAAAAAGACTGCCAACCCTATACCAATATAAAAAAAAAAACCAATACCACGAGATGAAACCAATAACAGTACGTTTGATAGAAGGATAAAAATCAATACCACTAAAATGGAGGAAAATACTAGTACCACAAAAAACCATTACCACCGAAGGGGAAGCGAAGAGTCAAAGGCAACCGTGGATGGGAGGGGGAAATGAAGAGTAAGAGCAACGAGTATGGGTCCATGTTGTCGCGCCGCACAACTTCAACACCTTCTCCACTATCGAGGTGGAGGCTGATGATTAGGGCTGTCAATTTGGTTTGGTTTGGTTAACAAACCATTAAGTATGAAAAACCAAAAACCAAATCAGCAAAAACCAAAACCAAAATCATTAAGGTCCTTATTGGTTATTGGTACCAATAACCAATAAGGACCTTAATGATTTTGGTTTTGGTTTTGGATAACCAAAAAACCAACATGTACTCATACACTCATATTTATTTCTATTTCCCTTCTTTTTATTGAATAAATGTCATAATAATGGTAAATGATAAAATGACCATTATAAATTATTGGTTGGCATGCATATCTAAAGAAACAATAAAAAAAATTCATGATAAATAATTTTATTATTATTATTTGTACATTCTTATAAAAAATAGTATATATGTGGTTCACAATGAATCAAGGAAACATGTTATTATTTTTCTTATTTTAAATGGATGCCATGGATTGAACAGAAACCCTTTTGAGAGTCTCTTTCAGGTCTGTGTCTTTGATACGAGTTAGGAAGGAAGGAAGTTAGTCTTAGCCATGGTTTTGGGGCTCGTATTTATGTCCCCTGTTGGTTGCTTTTATATAAGTTGTCACCTAATAACATTATACTACAAATGCTCTTACCAACATTTTATCCTTCCAGTAATACATTTAAGACTAATAACATCCACAATATCAACTTTGGGTAACAATATTAAAAATCAACATCACTCCCCAATGTGGCAATGTTCCCGACGTAACAAGGCTTGGTTAAAAGCAACGAAGTCACGAAAACCAAGTCCGCCTTCTGATTTGCAGCACACAAACTTCGCCAAGCAATCCAATGTATTCGCTTATGTCCCTGGACCGCTCCCCACCAAAATCGAGCAACAATGGCATTAAGACGACGAAGAAGAGTGAGCGGTAGCTTGAAACAACTCATCACATAAAATGGGAAGAGCTGATGTTACTGATTTTATTAATGTTTCCTTTGCTGCAGGAGAAAGCGCCCGATGTTTCCAGCTCTGAAGCTTTGCGTGGAGTGCATCCTCAACAAACCGGAAAGTGTCCCTTTTTTATTTACCAATTTGAGATGGCAAACCTAGATAGTGATCCTGAACCCAATGAAACCAATTCCCAAAATGCTTCCTTGATGCTGTTGAACTGCAGTCATCTTGTTAGAGCTGAAAAACACAACAGACTTACTCAAATTCACCCGCTGGCCGCTAATGCCTTCATATTCGCGAAACACTTGAAGCAAATTCCGGCAATCACGATGCAAAGCTTTCAAGAACAAAAAATAAGAGTGGTCTGCAAAAAGAGCAAACAAATAAGGTCATTCCAAGCGATCGACACTTGACCAATCATCAGAAGTTGGGATACCAAGGCTTTGATTTCCATATTTTTTTTCATTGAGATGTTTCTTGAAATTCTCCTCATTTCTGGCTAATGTCTGAAATGCTTTCTCAAATGGCTTTGCAGATTCCAACATCAGATACGTTGAGTTCCACCTTGTAGCTACATCCAACGAAACAAATTTCTTCGACACTATCTTTTCAAACTCAATGCAATCTTTGAATTTTCTGCTCCTAGTTGGTGTAGATTTAACCCACTTCACAGACTCTCTCACTCGCTCAACAGATATACCAGTTTCTTTAAGCCCATCCTTCACAGCTAAATTAATAATGTGAGCCACACACCTCATCTGCAGATACTTTCCATCCACAATATCTGATCCCCACTCTTTCAACTGTTGCCTCATATGGATAGCAACCACATCATTAACACTAGCATTATCCATTGTGATACAAAAGACCTTCCTAATGCCCCAGTCCACCAAACAACTAGCCAACTGTTTTCCAATTTCATTTCCAGAATGTTTTGTTATCTGAACAAAGTTGATAATTTTCTTATACAGCTTCCAATCCCTACCGATGAAATGTGCAGTAACACACATGTAGTTGAGATTGGACAAAGACGTCCAACAATCAGTTGTGAGAGATACCATCCCCAAACATTTAGCTTTGAAATAATCCTTTAACATATCTCTGTTTTCAAAAAACACCTTGATGCAATCTTCTCTAACAGTTTGTCGGCTAGGCAGCACAAACATAGGACAAACACGGGACATAAAGCGTTTGAACCCTTCATGTTCAACGTATCTAAATGGCAATTCATCTAGAATTATCATCTCCGCTAAAGCTCTCCTAGCATCAGTCTGATTAAATTGCCAAGAACCAAGAGTGTGTACCTGGCCTTCAAAAGATGACGGAAGCTCGACTACAAGATCACCCCTTGCTATCTTTGCCAAACAATTATCCTTGTGGGTCCGTAGAGTAGATGTCCCGTTAGCTACAAGAGCACTATTGCAGTAGTTGCATCGAGCTTTTTTCACTCCACCCATCTCCAAGTGTGTGAAATGTCTCCAAACATCAGATCTGTCTTTCCTTTTTTTCGATGTTGTCCCCCCACCTTCTGTTTGAGCATTGGGTACTGTGGTGGTACCGGAAGATGGTGCAAAAGTGGAGGAAGACGTTGCAGGAGGTCTAGGCGGAATACTGGTGCTTTTGGAGTGCCCACTTCTAGGACGAGCACCACTAGATGAAACATTTTGTGATAATGGTATCTCACTGTTCCTGCCAATATCAAAAGTGAATTTGTATCAAAATCAACTACATAATCACTTGGCCTAACATCACACACTTGTCCATTTCCTAGACTTAGACCTAAAACTTCACAAAGCTACTCGCCAGCTTAATTGGACTCCAACAGAAAGGGACAGAAGAGTACTGATACAACAAAGAGACTTGCTGCTGCAATGCCTCTTTACTCTATACAGAATACACCACGTTTAAACCGAAACCCAGAAAGTTTAAAAAGCTACACCAAACTAAATAGTCATCTCCTTCTACTGACTGACATTGCTGCTGAAACTGGTGGTTTGCGGACTCGAACAATTTGGTTTCGAATTCATCAAGTTGCTAATCAAGCAAATGATACACCCCACCCTAATTTTGATTTGATCCAAATATCGCACAGAAATGTAAGTAATACATGCATGTATATGGAATATGACAATATGGAATACACCCCTGCCCCTGCCCCTGCCCCCGTCACTTTTTGTATTGTTATTCAGCTTATTTTTCACCTTCCATACCCTGTAAACTGAAACTGAAACTGCCACTGCAGTCTTACTAGGATTTTGCCCACGCATCTACCTGCAACGCAATCTAGGACCAAATAATCTAATATGCAATGCAACCGCACCTTCTCAACAACACAAACTTCCAGACCCAAAAATAAACCGACCGAGAAAATCCCACAAAGAACAATAATTAAACCCAAAAAATTAAACCCAGAAAGGAGATGCAGGGCAGGAATGGAAGGGAAGGCAACTTTCTCAAAGTTATAGAACAAAGGATGAAACCCATAATCCATGCTCTCATCATGTAAGAGCCGAGCCAGTAGAAGGATTAACAATACACGAAAGAAACAGAACAGCAACAGGCAGAGCCAACAAAAACTAGCATCCAGATTCAAGAGTTCCATTGGACTTTCTGTAATTGCACGTTCTCAATTGATCTTGGCGGCAAGTTCAGAACAGAATATGTAGACGAAAAGAAGCTGAAGAGAGGGACTCACTGAGATTCCATTGAACAAAGGCGGCAAGTTCAGAACAGAATATGGAGCCGACGACCCAGTTCTCTCCAATCGACACCGAATCAGCGGCCACAGAGCAGCAACTCAGGTTTCCGCCTTTGCCAAAGATAGCCGGCTTCAGATCAACGAGAAGAAGAGAGGTGCCTCGAAAGGGTTCTAGGGATTTCGAAACGAAGCTGAAGCTGAAGCTGAAGAGAGGTGCCTCGAAGAAGAGTGGTGCCTCGAAAGGGTTCAGAGCAACGAAACGAAGCTGAAGAGAGGTGCCTCGTGCGCCGGCGAGAGCATTTTGTTCGATAGGGGTTTAGGGATTTCGAAAGGGTTAGTTCTAGGGATTCAGAGCAACGAAAAGAAAGAGTTGCGGCTGTTGCACTGCGTTTCGTAAATCATATTGGTTTCTTATTGGTTTTCTGGTTTTAACCGAATAAAAACCATTAAGTTTCTAAATGGTTTAAAACCGAAAAACCAAAACCATCAGCTTTCTAATTGGTTTGGTTTTGGTTAAAACCAAAAAACCAAAACCAAATGGACAGCCCTACTGATGATGATTCAGATCGAGGCAAGCCACAACGTCGAAGTGCACAGATTCAGTCGTTCTTTGACGTCGAGGCAAAAACCAATGGAGGCAACGCCCATCACTAAGCCACACAACTTCAAAGAGAGGATGAATCGTGGAACCTGCTGATGCAGATCTAGGTTTTTTGCCACTTGGGACAATGGTTTTTGGACCTTGTTATTTCTTCGGAGATGATCCTTAAGCTTGTGGCTATACTTTGGCGGATTTGGAAGGCTAGTAACTGGGTGGTCTTTGAGCTCAAGCAAGTATCCTTACAGGTGCTCTATCATCAGCTTAATCAACAAATTCATGAATGGCTTGGATAACTTCCAAGGGACAATCCAGGTTTGCCGGCCACTCATGGGAGGCATGTTAGTGAGTCGGCTTCAGGTTTGATAAAAGGGATGGTTTGTTATTTTGATGGGGCTCTGTGTATAGATTCGCATGCAGGAATTGGTCTGGTTATTCAAGATGCATCTGTCACGGTTGTGATGACTAAGGTTGTGCGCTTCATGACGCTTTTCATTGGTTTGTAGCTAAGGGTTCAACTCTGTGTTGCTCCGTGGAGACGCGAAGGGGATTATTGACAAGGTAAATGCATGGTGCATGGCTATAACTCAGGGTGGTGCTCTCCACCGTGAGATTCGGGCTCTTAGGCAGGAGTAGATGGAGGGTGATAGTACCGTTCGTTGGTAGACAACATAATAGAGTTTCCCATTTGGTGGCAAGGAAAACTCTTATATAGTCAACTAGTGATGTACTATGTTTTGATTTTTGTGCTTGGCTCTGTATGAAGTTGTAATTGTTTGATCTATGAATCCTGGTAATGCAAGCTATCTTGGGTTGAGATTTAAGAAAAAAAAAGTGGTAATACCATTAGCATTGAACCTGGACTTCCCACATTCGATTCCTTAAATAGTATTTAAATAAAAAAAGTAAACCTATATAAATATTATAAAAAAAATCAAATGGAAATTGGGTTGTCAATTCGCAAACCACGAGACAATAACTTAGTTTGGCCCTGCTGTACTTTTTGCAGAAGCAGCTTCTGATTGGAGTTTTTAGATAAGTACTTTAAAAAAAAAAGTTGAGTGTTACGCTGTAAAACTATTAGAAGTGCTTTTTAATATGAGATGTTGTGTAAAATGACTATAAAGGACTTATAATATAAAATATGAATAAAAATTCTAAACAATAAAAAGTAGTCAAAATGGATCTTGTTAGATTTCTTTTATATTAAATAATATTATTTTATAATTTATTTTATCTTTAAAATGATATAAATGAAGGAAAATTATATTTTCTGAAATAAAATTAAAATATAGTAAGGATAATCTTGTATTTTCAAAACAGCTTTTCGCAGAATCTCCAAATCAGAGCTTCTTCTTTTATGTGGTACAAAAGCGCTTTTCGACTTCTCAAAAGTCAAGCTTTTAAAAGTGTTTGGCCCTGCTTCAACTTTTGAAGCCGAAAAACACTTTTAAAAACCCGGCCAAACATGGCAATAACTCATTCAAGATTCTGCAAAGGCTTAGCCCATTACGAGGCCCACTAGAACTGAAGCCCACGCAGTAAGATGCTCCTTTATTGGGCCTCCATTTCAAAATCCAGTAACTATAGAAGAGTGCCGCCGTTATACACACGGGAGAGGGAGGGAGGCGGGGGGCAAAGCTGTCGTTACAGACTTACAGGAAAACAAACCCCTAATTTCTAAACCCTTTTCTCTGCCGCGCTGCGCTGTGCTCCGCTTCTCTCCCCCCTTCTCCCGGTTCCAGGCTTGATATTACTACTATTTCATTGACTGTATCTCCCTCCACCGCAGCCGCTTCAATCTGCTCCACCGCCTGCTCGCCGCCTAAGCCACCGTATCCCTAAGCAAGGTACTTCCTGCTTCTGTCTCCTTCTACCACCATCCATTTTGCCGCAGTTCGGAATCTTCAGTGCCTTCAATTTGGTTACGGGAAAACTGCGTCTTGAATTTGGTTTCTGATTTCCTGTAGTGGGATTCGGTCTTTTTCACCCATTTGCTCAATCAGGTGCGGTTGTTGGTTTTGGCTGCCTTTCTACCGCAATCCTTCTCGGAGGGACTTCTTCAACCCTGGACGGCGTTGCAGGGTTGAGATGCTGAAGGCGACTTACGTGAACAGCTCACTCGAGTGGAAGCCGTCTCCAGTTGTAGCCCTAGCTACCAGTGTCGATGACTCCCAAGTTGCCGCCGCTAGGGAGGATGGCTCCCTGGAGATTTGGCTCGTCTCTCCTGGCTCAGTTGGTTGGCACTGCCAGCTGGTATTTTCTCTCTTCCAATGTTTCTCTTAATGTGTAGAACACTGAAACTTCTCTTGCATTAATTGGTCTGGTTTGAGCTATCATTTATCAGTGCTTGTTATGTGTAGACTATTCATGGTGATCGTAGTTCAAGAGTTTCATCGCTCGTGTGGTGTCGGGCTGGCTCGAAGGGATTACCTTGTGGCAGATTGTTCTCGTCAAGCATTGATGGGTCTATTTCAGAGTGGGACCTTTTTCACTTGAAGCAAAAGGTGAGTTTGGTCTGCTTGCTGGCTGTTTCACTTTCCTTTGATGTCCTCTTTTTGAAACATATCTTGCATTTATGTTGTCCCGTCATGCATACAAGCAATGACATTCAAGTAACTGGTTCAGAAATCATACCTACATTCATCTGCTTACTGTACTGAGTGGATCCGAAATTGGAAATCTGCTTTTGTGAGAATGTGACAGTCAGTATGCATTTGTACGTGCTTAGATAATTTTGCTCCATTCCATTGAAAAATGCTGGCCCAGAAGGTGAAGTGTTAATCTTTTTCTGCTTCATAATCATAAGCCATTTTTCATTTGTCTGTAGATTGTTCTGGAGTCAACTGCCTTCTCGATTTGGCAGATGGCGGTTGCACCTCCCTCAGAGGTCAAGTCTCAGAATTTGGCAAATGGCTTCTTGAATGGCATCCATCATGGTAACGATCATGATGATAATGAATCTAGTGAAAGTGATGATGATTCAAGCTCTGAAGAGCATCTCAATCATGTTATTGAAGATACATGCTTGGCAATTGCTTGTGACGATGGTTGTGTGCGTATATACACTGTTCCAGAATCTGATGAGTTGATATACAATAGAACATTGTCTAGGGTCAGTGGTGAGATATCTGCGCCCTTGTACTGTTACTTCGCTTTATTTTCTTTACCCCGTGTGAATAACACTTTGTTCGTTTTTAATGTCACAGGCCGCACTTTATGTGTGACATGGAGTTGTGATGCGAGTAAGCTATTCTCAGGCAGCAGCGATGGGTGAGTTCTTAAACAGCTCAAATGATTTTGTACAATTTAGGTATTGCAACAGCTTATAAATCATGCTGTTTCCTAAAGTGTTACATGCATCAATGGCATTTAGTCATAATGAATTATGACTATGAGCTTCAATGTTTAGTCGGGATGGTTTATAATTTTATTACATTGCCTTTTGTTACTTTTTTTAACCCTGTTTAACGAATCCCTTTTTGCAGTTTTATAAGATGCTGGGATGCGACGCTGGGCCATGAAATATATAGAATCACAGTTGGGCTTGGTGGTCTGGGTGGTGGAACTGAAATTTGTGTGTGGTCTCTGCTTGCACTAAGGTAGAATAGCAATCGTTTGAATTGTGCTGGCTGCTTGAAAACTGTAGGGCTATGTTAATGATTTTCCTCCACCCTTCCTAAAATAAGCTGATGTGTTTCTTATCAATTGCAGATGTGGGACCCTCGTTAGTGCAGACAGCACTGGCACTGTTCAGTTTTGGGACTCTCAGCATGGGACTCTCTTGCAAGCACATTCTTATCATAAGGGTGATGTAAATGCGTTGGCAGTTGCTCCTAGTCATACCAGGGTATTTTCTGCTGGATCAGATGGTCAGGTATTACTCTCAAGATTGAAAATCCTTGTTTTGCTGTCGTCTTTCAGTGTTTTATAGGGAAAAGGTTTTTGTTTCACTGCTCTTCTGCACCCATATTAGCTGAATTTGCTTTCGGTAGTTGTTTAACCGCTTGTGTTTGTTTGTAGGTTATTCTTTATAAGCTTTCTAATAATGTAGTTGGATCTAGTGTTGATACATCTACATCCATTGTAATGAAGAAATGGGTCTATGTTGGTTATGTTAGAGCTCATACACATGATATTAGAGCTTTAACTATGGCTGTACCCATCAGCCGTGAAGGTATGTTTCTCATTCTCCTCTGGTTTAGTCACTTTAGTTTTGTGTTAAGTCTACGGTTTTGTATTGACGATCACTCTTCCATTTCCTAATTTTATGATCATGGAGTACAGATGCTTTACCTGAGGAGAAGGCGAAAATGGGCCGGAAAAGGAGGAGGCATATTGAGTTTAGCTATCACAAGTGGGCACATTTAGGAGTTCCCATGTTAATTTCTGCTGGCGATGACACAAAGTTATATGCTTATTCTGCCAAGGAGTTCTCTAAGTTCTCTCCCCACGACATCTGTCCAGCACCTCAAAGAATGCCCATTCACTTGGTTCTTAATACCGTGTTCAACAAGAATCCTTTACTTCTAGTCCAAGCATCTAATTCGTTAGATATTTTATCTGTCCGGTCAAATAGTGGAAACATAGCAGATGGTGTTCATGGTTCATCAAAGGGCCGTGCACCCACAGATTTACTGGCTAGAATAAAAACAAAAGCATCCCGTAAGATCATATGTAGTGCCATTTCTAATACTGGAATGCTATTTGCGTACTCAGACCACATTAAGCCCAATCTTTTTGAATTGAAGAAGCATGAAGCTAGCAAAATTGCATGGACAGTAAGCAAAATACCACTTCCTCCCAAGTTGCCATACTCACATTGTATGATCTTTAGTTCTGATTCTTCAAGGCTAATATTGGCAGGCCACAACAGAAAGATATATGTAAGTATTGTATCCTTGTTCAAGTGTTGGGTGTTACTTTGCTTTATACTGTGATCGTTCCTTCATTTTAAATAATTTGATCTCTTGAGGGATTGGTTATTTATTTCAGTCGAGTTCATTATCGATGAATGCTTGTGTGGGGGTGGAACTTCTTGCTCCCTGCTTGTAGTGAATTGGGGTTTATTTCTATTTGCATGCAATGAGATCGACAGATCATATCTCATAATAGCATGGTTGCTGTAGGTTGTTGATATGGAGACCTCTGAGTTAGTGCATGCCTTCACTCCCCAGCGTCACGATTACAATGAGGAATTACCGCCCTCTGAGCCTCCAATGACAAAAATGTTCACCAGCAACGACGGACAGTGGTTAGCTGCCGTTAATTGCTTTGGTGATATTTATGTGTTCAACATGGAGACACAAAGGTGTGAATAAACCCCAGTCCTTAGTTTCTTTTTCGTGTGGATTGGCTTCACGTGACTTCTTCAGCATTCTGATTATCTGCATTCAGATTTTGCTTCTTATAAACTTATGGATCCTTGGTATGAAAAGAAGACATTCTTCCAAGTGAATTTTTTGGTGTTTATATATATGTGGTTGCTAATAATGAATCTTCTCAGTCATAGAAGAGGATGTCGATTGATCACTTTTAAATTTGCCTAAGAGATTTGAAATTCTGAACCTATTGTTCTGGTGTCATGATTAATTATTGTGTGGATATATTTATACTGAAGCCTGGTTTTGTTTAGAGTTATGTGTATCCTAATGTTTGTTCCTTATAGGATTTAAATATGCTGATTTTTTATTACTATACAGGCAACATTGGTTCATTTCGAGGCTAGATGGTGCTTCCGTTACTGCTGGTGGTTTTCCACCACAAAATAACAATGTGCTTGTAGTCACTACCTCCTCGAACCAAGTTTATGCATTTGATGTAGAGGCAAAACAGTTGGGGGAATGGTCAAGGAGGCATACTTCCTATCTACCAAGGAGATACCAGGAGTTTCCTGGAGAAGTTATTGGTCTCTCTTTTCAGCCGTTGTCTGCTTCTCCATCTGCCTTCATTTATAGCGCAAGGTGAGTTTATATAGTTGCCTTGTCATTTTCAAAGTCGTAGCACTATCCTAAGTTGATTGAGTTTATCACATATGTTATTCAGTCACTTGTGTGCTTTCTTAGGGCTATCAAATCATGGTCTTGGAGAATAGTCATGGACTGTAAATCTGAAGTTTTTAAAGATGTTTGCCTATCATGATTAATGGGTGCAGGGCTAGGTGTCAGATCGAGTTCGGGATGCCAGTGGATAGAGAGGAAGATGGTGACTTGGCTAACGGTCCTGTTTTCACAAAAAAGATAAGATTAAAACCCCCGGTGAACAACGGTAGCCTGAAAAGAATACTGAAAGAGTATCAAACGAAGACTGAGAATAGGAAGAACTTTGAATTTCATTCTTTCAGTGATCCCGTGTTATTCATGGGGCACCTTTCAGAGAATAGCATATTGATCGTCGACAAGCCATGGTTAGATGTAGTTAAATCTTTAGAAGCTCCTCCAGTTCACAGGCATATATTTGGCACTTAAAGAGTGTTGTGAAAATAGTTATAATGAATCAGTTGATCCACAACAAGACGAAAGAGGGGATATCAGGTAAGGCACTCAGAAGCAGAGGGGTAAACTAAAACCGGTGGGTTTTCCTAGGCTTCCCGTGGCAGCTACTTGGGGGGGAGAATGCAGGTGCTCTCAAGCCTTCCTAATGGGTTTCGCATTTGATTTGGAAAGAAGGATTGCGAGTTTTGCAGGCCAAGGTTGGTGATTGTGGGACTGGTACTACTGCATGGTTTGGGGGTCGGGGCTATGTTCCTGTTGTTTATTGTATCCCTATTAATAGTTCTTCTATGCCTTTCTGGAGGGCTATCTTTTTCTTTCCATATCTTTTTGGTGCTTTGTTTCTGGGGACCTTATAGCAACACTTGGTAGTAGTTCAACTCAATTTTGTCCTAAATTTTGGCCTAAATTATACGAAATGTACAAGAAGTTCCCCTAACTCCATCATGTCCAATGAATTGTTGTATTGTTTCATAGTAGGGATTGAATCAATGTTTGATTTGATAGGGTGAAATGACTTAAAGTCAATTATATATGTTCGATTCGATTGACTATCAACATGGATTCTCGAGTTTCTCGAGTGGAAACTAGGATAAGATCGACTAGGGGGTTCTTAGTCGCATGATTAAGTGAGTGTTAGTCCTTGCATCTCATTAAAATCTAATAACTCCAATTGATCAAATTTAATGAAGGGCAATGTATTTTTTTTACTGGAATATGTGGAATGAAGGGCAATGTAGTAATTGCATAAAATATTTGTTTATTAATTAAAATAAAAAAAAAATGTGGGCGCCGAACGTCCCTCCCACCCACGTTTCGCCGGCCGGTCGCCTAATGAGAATTTCACCCCCCAGCAGGCAGCGGCTTGTATTTCTTTTGCCGACCATTTTTTGAAGGGGAAGTCCCCATGCAGAGAGGGAGAGAGAGTCCAACGACAGTGAATTTTCTAGCGATCGGCGACGGAGGATTTTTCGGCGACTAGAGACGACAGGCGGATTTTCTGGCGGTAGTGCTGGATTGGTGATGTTTGTCTACCTATTTTGTAACGTTTATAAGTCCAGTTTATAATGTTTATATCAATTCGGTTTGTATCGATTATCATTCTAGTTTGTTATTTTTGTATATTGTGTTTGTAAGGTTTATATGACTAATTTGAATATATTTTGATTTATAATATTTGTTAGTCTAGGTTGTATACTTTTATGTTATGATTTGTATACTTTGTATTCTTTGATTTGTAATACAATTTTACCGATTTGAATTGCAAGTAGTGCTATTTTGTATTATTAGTATGCTTTGTAATGTTTGTCGGTTTATTATGTAATGTTTGCAAGCTTTGTTATTTTTGTAATGTTTTTTATATATAAAAAACAACCGGGTATGCCTATGGTAACCAGCATGTCACCGTAACTTGAACTTTTAGGTCGACCTCATATAGGATTAGGTCGACCTAATATGCCGTTTCAATTTTGTGAGGTTCAACGACACAGACACACAGTTGACCTTTTATAGCAAATGGTCGACCTCTTGGGAAGCGCATGGATGGCATGTACGACTACATGGGCCAAGTTTCCACCCAGATAACTGCCATGTACGACTACATGGGGCAAATGACCACCCAGATGAGCACACTGCACGTGACCGCGAATGAGATGCGAGATGAGTTTTGATCTTTCAGTGGAAGATACATGCATGTCACCGTAACTTCCGACTACCATAATGCTAGCAACACCAATGAAGAAAATGTGGATGGGGGAGTGAGGGGACAAGAGTAGGAACACGACAATTTTAGATTGTGTGTTTTTATTGTTAAGTGTTAAAAAACGATTGTGGATTGATATTATGTGGTTTTATATTTTAGTTATGTGTGAACAATTATGATTTGTATTTTATTGTATTTCTTGTTAGTTTGTTTAGTTATTATGTTATGAAGTTATGAGTCCTTGTTATCATTATTTATGACTGATTCTGTTGGTTTGAGACGTAATTTGTACAAGCAAAAGAACTACACACATCGCTTCCCAAAGAGGTCGACCATTTGCTATAAAAGGTCAACCACATCGTTGAACCTCACAGAACTGAAACGACATATTAGACCTAATCCTATATAAGGTTGACCTAAAAGTGCAGATTAGGTCAACCTAATCCTATATAAGGTCGATCTAAAAGTGCAAGTTACGGTAACATGTATGTCACCATAGCAAAGTCCAAAACAACCTGGTTGACTTTTGGATGAAACTCTTCTATATAGAGAATTAGAGATGGAGCCTCCAAAGTCAACCTGAGTGTTTTTCCATTTTGTATGGTTTGTCGGTCTAATTTTTCATTTTGTCTTTATATGTCTAAAAAACAACCAGGTTGACTTTGGGACGGAGTCCCTCTATAGGGATGGAGCCTCCAAAGTCAACCCGATTTTTTTTTCATTTTGTATAGTTTGTCGGTCTAGTTATTATTGTTTGTACAGTTCGTATGTTTTGTCATTTTAGTTTCTAATGTTTGTATTGTTTGTAAGTTCGGTTTGTATACTTCGTAATTTTTCATGATACGCAAAATACTTCTGTCACTAATTGGAAAACCCTTCCCATTTTTTCACCATAAAATAAGTGTGTTCAGATATAAGAGCTAGGAGGGGCTTAGTCAAGTGAGTGACTAAGCACCCCCTAGTCACCCGATCATTTCTCGTGGAAACTCACCTATATAACACCTTTGACTTTTTTCTTTAAAAATTTCGTTTTACTGCTCTTTATAATTGTATTTTGACTTTAATATTTAGTATTATTTATTGTGTTTGAGCTATTTAATTTCGTACTCTTTAGTTTATGTTTTTGTATTTGATGTCACTTTACAAGTCTAAAAGGAATTTTGTGACACCTCAACCACAATCGTTTCTAGAGTACTAGCTAGTAGTTGGTTTGAAGTAGTGAAGAGAAGGGCGCCTATAGGATACAATCCTAGTAGTCTTCTTGCATGTTGGGTTTTTGAAGCACATTTCTACAGCATATCATATACTAAATATATTTGAGCATATCGATTCAATTTTTCTAAACACTACCATACACACTTAACAAACATTGCTAAATGAAAATGTGTGTTTTCATCTCGAACATATATATTAGGTTAATAAACTAATATGGATAAATTTATGCATAACCACATCTACTATATTCTTTCCAAAGAAATCTTAACCAAAAGATTTTGTTCAATATTTCACTCGCCCATCAAATTTTTATGAACTATATCTAATCCATTTTAACTCAGTTTTTTTGTTTGCATTGAAAGAACACATTCATTATCCTATACAAGATTATATCCATTTGATGTTTTTGGAAAGAAAAAAATTATGTTTGTATCACGCTTCACTACACACTTACGATCGCCTACGGTAGTTAATGGTGAGCAATGATTGTTTTTATATGAATTTGAGTGTGTTTGGAACCACTCACTATATTGTGAATGATAGAGAAAATGACCTACACTCAACCATGCCAGGTGGGTTGGGTCATTGTGGATGATGGGTGGCTGGGAGGGTTTGAAAAGTTTACAACATATTTTAAAATTTCAAATAATTTATGTTGTTCTAAAAGTAAAATGAAAAAGTCAACCTAAATAACGTTTAATCCATAAATGAGATGAACTATTTGGTTCACAATATTTTTTTTGTTGAATGGATGGCTTTATTTCATCAATACAATCTGTACAATCAAAACAAACTGTACAATCAGCAACTCTAAAACACAGTTTTTCCTATACAATCTGTGAATCCAAGTACAAGAGGCAAATCCTACAGCTTCCTTCGACCTCCTTTAGATCCTCCTTGCTATCGCAATTGCTGGACATCCAGGGATTCAGCAAGCTTTGGATCACCAGCAGCCTTTGCTCTCGTAACTCCCTGCACCTTAACAACCAAACCTGCACCTGCCAGCTGATTACCCCCTTACAACCTACGACATCTCTTTCGCCATAGTTCGCTCAATACCAGACACCATAAAACTCTACCAGCTAAGCTCTTCTGCAGCTTCTGAATCGCAAATTCAACAGCCTGTTGCAAGGTAGCAGGTAGAGGAACCTGCCAAGTTGCTGGAAAAGAAGACCTCCATACTTCCTGTACACACACATATTGAAAGAAGATATGATCTCTTGTCTCAGGCAGCTGCTGACACAGCGGGCAGGTGTTGCAAACCTCTGGATTCCAACTGATTATCTTATCCAAAGTATTAATCTTCCCCAGCAAAATCAACCAAGCAATGACTGAGTTCTTTGGAATTCCACCTTTCCAAACCAGTTTGGACCACGCCACAGGAGCTCCTCGAGGTCTAATACTCTGCCATATTTTGCCGGTCTGGAATCTTGTCATCAATTCTCCCTCCCATTCCATTCCACTCCTCTATTCATTTTACATATTTTCCCCTCAAAACTGTCACGCAACTTGAGGATCTTATTCCATACCCATGACCCTATTGTTTTAATTTCCCAGATACTCAGATTACAGAGTCTGTACTCCTTTACCCATGCGATCCAAAGTGTCCTGATCAGAAAGCAGTCCCCAGAGATGCCTGGCCAAATAAGCTTTGTTCCAGAAATACAAGTCTTTAAACCCTATACCCCTTATGCACGAGCCAAAACAACTATCTTCCATTGTACTTTTTCCTTCTTCTTCTTCTTCTTCTTCTTCTTCTTAAAATCACTCCAAAGGAACTGGGAACAGAGCTTTTTAATTTCTGATATAACCTTCTTAGGTAGTAATATGACATTCATCCAGTGCTGGGTCATACTGGCCAACACTGATACGACCAGCTCTAGCTTGCCCGCGTAGGTTAATAGTTTTGGCTGCCATCCAAGTATCCTTCCTGCAATTTTTCCAATCAACACTTTGCAATCCTCTGATGAAAGCTAACCAACATTTAATGGCAGGCCCAAGTACTTCACAGGCAGATGTCCTTCTTTGAACCCCGAATTCCTCACTAACTCTTTCCTTAACCCCTCTGAAACCCCTGCACTGAAGATTTCGCTTTTGCTCAGATTACACTTTAATCCTGACACTAGATTAAAATTCTGAAGAATTTCAGCTATAACTGTTACTCCCTCTACTGACCACTTTGTGAAAATCAATAAATAGTCAGCAAAACAAAAGTGTGTGAGACTGATACGACTGCACTAAGGGTGGTAAGGTAGGATTTTTCGATCTGCTGCCCCATTTAGCATACAATTTAGCACTTCCATGCTAATGGCAAACAAGTATGGGGATAAAGGGCACCCCTGCCTCAACTCTTTCTTTGCTTAGAACTGTCCTGTAAGCCCTCCATTAATACACCCAGTTAAACTAGTAGTTTCGAGACAACCTTGCAGCCAATTAACAAACTTTTCTGGGATCCCCATAGCAAGCATAACACAACACAGATAATCCTAGTCGACACTATCAAAAGCTTTCATTATATCTATCTTGAGAGCACATCTGGGGGAGATGTTCTTTCTCTTGTACCATTTCACCATTTCATTCGCAAGCACAATATTATCAGTTATCAAACGCCCTCTAATGAAAGCTGATGGATTGGAGCTTATTATCTCAGGCAAAACTTGCTTAAGTCTGCTAGCTAGGATCTTAGATATGCATTTGTAAACAAAATTGCAGCAGGAAATCAGTATGAAATTCTTCATTGAGTTTGCATTTTGTGCCTTAGGGATGAGAGCAAGGATAGTGCAGTTAACTTCCCTTCTCATGGTGCCAGTTGCAAAGACATCTTGAATAGCTTTGGTGAATTCTGCCCCTATCAGATCCCAGTGTACTTGAAAAAATTATGCTGGATATCCATATGGTCATGGGGCCTTTCCCTTGTTCATGTTCATCACTACCTTCTTAATTTCCCCTGCTGTAACCAAAGAACACGTCTCCACTGACATCCCTCAAGCGCATTTTCAGTAGTCGCCTTAAGGTGTCCACTGTAACTCTTTTCAGCTGCATGTTCTGAGTCCCCAAAAGATTCTTCTAGAATTGCACTGCCTCTCTACCAATCTCCTCTATATCTTCTAAAACCTCTCCTGAATCAGTGACCAGCTGCTTGATTGTATTCTTGGCCTGTCTTGTTTTGACAACACTATGAAAGAATCTAGAATTGGAATCCCCACCATTGAGCCATTGTTGTCTTGATTTTTGTTTGAGGAAGGACTCCTCAGCACGCTGAAGCTCCAGAAGCTGGACCATACACCTTTGTTCAGCCTGAAAGACCGACAAGGCAGGGCGCTCCATCACTTCTAATTGAGCTTTTGCAAGTTCACAATATTATTATTATTATTAATTGTTCAAAAAAATTCAAATGATAAATATGATTTAAGACTAATCATAACAATATGAAAAATGAAAATGAAATTTCATCATAAAATCTAGCTAATTTATCAAGTAGTGGGCCACAAGCATTCACCAAACGATACTGGAATGAATATTAGAATAAGTCAAATTAGTATACAAACCAGAAAGTTAACAAGGATCATTGAAGAAATTGAACATCTGATATAGATTTCCAGCCACGAAAACATATTAGACTTTGCAATTATCCTCCAAAAATAAAGTTGACAAGATATTCATTCAAAATTATCTGGTTTATTCACAAGGATATCTATGAAAAAAAAGATATTCTTTATTTAAAATAGGGAAGAAAGGATATACATAGATTTAAGAAGATCTTTTCATTGAAATTGGGGGAAATTGTTTTGTGATTTTTATGGTTTTAATTTAAGTAAATCTATAGTTTAGAGATTCAATGTTTTGAGATTAAAAAGTTGGCTGGACCGATGCTCAACCACAACCCAATCACACCCACCCAATCTTTAGTGGGTCACCTAGTTTATAACTCACATCCACCCATTTGAACCACCCACAATATAATATGTGAATGTATTGCGAGTGAATTTGAGTGGATTTGTGAGTTAAACCACCGAATCCTCACCCCAAAAGATAGTGCAGTAGGACCCTACGACTCCCATAATTGCATTCCCTAGTCCCTACATGCCGTACGACAGTGCACTGTGACCCCTTGTGAAAATGACTAGAAAATGTTTGGTTTCAAAATATATTAAATAAATATTACTGTGTTATTCACAATTAATATGTAGTACCAATGTACAAAATTTAAAATTTGATTTAAAAAGAAACCATGTAAAACTGTTAAAAATAGGAAACAGCTGGCAAAAGATAATTTTATTAGGTAGATTTAAAAACTGAGCTTTAATGATGAAATCGTGAATAAGCATATGGATTATCCATCCCAACCTGCCGCCGGTCCTCATGAAGGCTAATCATGAAATAGTGAATAAGCATTTGGTTCCAAACCCATTATGTTTCAGTTAAAATGAAAGCCGACCTATATGTCGGCAGTAAATCAAATCCAGATTGATTAAGAGCTGCTTTACCATTAGTGTCGCGGAAAGTATTTGATAGCGATGATTGCGGGCCGGGAGTCGGCGGCGGCTAGAGCTTCACTAAAATCCACCACCACTTGCCTGCTGCATTGTCTTTCATTTTAGCTGCCCAATTTTTGTCCAATTCCATAAAAGCAGAGCCGAACTGCCGATTCAAGCTTGTGAACTAGCAAAGCTTGGGCCCCATATATGTGATGGGATGTTATGTAAAGCAATTTTGTCAGTAAATCCAATCGAATATCCAGGTGGCAAGAAATGCTAGAAATAAAAAAGAATTATATCCTACTTGAACTTGAAATAAGAGGGTTTAATAGCTTATATCAATAATTCGATCACTTTTTTTAATATATTTGTTTGATATATACAAGGTATATTTAGCTAGTTCGGTTTTGCTGAACTTTTTGCAAAAACATGTTCTTGCAGTAATTTTTTTGAGAAGTTACTTAGAAAAAAAAGAAGCAGATGAGAGTTTGCTTTATAAACTATGAGAAATATTTTATTTGAGAGGTAATGAAAATGAATAAAAAATTTCTAAAATAAAATTTAAGTAATCTTTTAAATAAATAAAATACGAATAAAAATTGGGAAAACATAATTAAAATGGATATAGGAAAAGGAACCAAAGTCTCACCAATTGTTCAAATTTCCAAATCAATTGATCCTAATTTGAAATCTAAGTACACCATGTCCCCAATGGTCTATAAATACCTATGTTATATGAAAATGAAGATCTGATGACCTAGTTGTGATTTAGTATATTTCTAGAAATACTTTGTAATGTTTGTTTAATTAATGTATTAAGCCTGATATACATCAGGGATATGTGGTGGATCAACTAATAAAATTTTAAAAGAAATGTGCCACAACGACTTCTCCCAGTTCATTACGATCATGCAAACCAACATGGTATCAAAGCGAATTTCAAAAATTCTTTAATATTTATTTTTAATCTTACGAGTTTTCTAGAAGTGTGATTTCTCTCTATTTGTTCTCCTTCCTGCCTCATCATTTGTTTTCTTTGCCGATATGTTAGAATTCTTCAAGAATCGTTGTTGTTTTTGCTCCTATGGATCTTTAATGAAATAACGTGCCGCACCTGACTTCCCCCAAGTCACTGCCAACTTGCAAACCAACCTCCACCGCGATTGCTCGATAACTTCATATCAAGAATATGGTGGCAAAACAAGAGAGCTGGCGTCATTTTTCTTCCTAGCTAGGTACACATGTACAGATAACCCATTGTCCTTATTATTACCATGAATCGGTAGGCCAACTTGCAGAATCTTTTGCCAATAATTTGGCACGTTCCTTTCTTGTTCCTGGCCAGCCAGCTTTCATCTACTTACACTCTTTTGGTCAGATAACAGCCCCTGCCATCATCTACAGCCTTGTGGCCACGCACAAAACGACCATAGGTCATGATTTTACGGCCACATGCTTTAGCGATCACACAGTACGATTGTTGCATAAACCCTACTCAGTACTCCAACCATGAAAACAACTCAATACGTAAAGCATTGTTTCAATTTTATAATGCCCTAAACTTCTAATAAATTCTTAGGTTTTTTAAATCTCACGGCATAGACAAAACCTTCATATAAAAATTTATGAAGTAAATGACCTCTTAATTATATAAGAGCATAAATCTACAGGGCCTTGGTTCACATGGCTCAACAAGAGACAGCATGATCCAATTGCTAGAAGGCTTGATAGGGTATTTGTAAATCTGGAATGGTTGGTAGTGATGAAACATAGTGTTGTGCACATACAGTCTCCTGGAGTCTCAGATCACTGTCCAGTGTTTATTCAAACTGAGTTATCACTTAAATCCTTGCCTAAGTCGTTTAAGTTTTTCAACTTCTGGCTTGAGCATCCAATATTTGCAGAGTTACTCACTAAGGCATGGACGGAGGTGGTGGAAGGCTCTCCTCTTATCAGGGTTTATAAAAAGCTTATGATACTAAAAGGTTTGCTCAAGAAGCTTAGCAGGGAGGAGTTTTATGACATAAGGGGAAGGGTGAAAGATAAGGAAAGAGAACTGGAAGCTATCCAAATGAATGCCCTTTCAAACCCTTCTCAAATGAGTTTTGAGGTTGAAGTAAGAGTTTCAAAAGAGCTCTTTGAGTTGCTCAAGGCCGAGGAAGGTTTTTTAAGGCAGAAGTCAAGAGAGGTGTGGTTAAGGGTAGGGGATTCAAACTCAGGGAATTTCCATAGATATATGAGAACCAGACAAAAGAGGAACACAATCACTTCACTTAAATATGCTCAGGGTAATTCAGTTACATCAGTTGATGGTATGTGCAAAGTTGCTACTGACTTTTATATGGCTTTGTTGGGAAGAGAGAATCCGCATGTTGAGATTGAATCAATAGAGTTTTTTAAAGGCCTTCTTAGACACAAGTTTACTATTGACCAAGTCTCCTCTATCTGTTCTCCTATTACTGCTACTGAGGTTAAATAGGTTATGTTTGGCTTCAATGGAGACAAGAGTCCAGGCCCAGATGGTTTCAATGCCAGATTCTTTCAGGCTTCTTGGGGGGTAGTTGGGGCTGAGATTACTTCTGCCATTCAGAACTATTTTGTGACTGGGAAGGTTCCAAGAGAGGTAAATGCTACAATTCTTGCTTTAATTCCTAAAGTTCAAAATCCGGATGAGATGAAGTTTTTCAGGCCTATTTCTTGTTGCAACTTAGTTTACAAGTGCATATCTAAGATTGTGGCAAATAGATTTAGCTCTCTCCTTCCCCTTGTTATTAGTAAGAATCAGACATCGTTTGTGAAGGGGAGGGTAATTGGGGAAAACATCCTCTTAGCTCATGAGCTTGTGCATAAGTATTCCAGGAAGAATATCTCTACTAGATCAGCTCTTACGATCGATCTTATGAAAGCATTTGACTCAGTGAGCTGGCAGTTTCTTTTTATTGTGCTGGAAGCTATGGGGGTGCCTAATCAGTTTATTAACTGGATTAGGATGTGTGTCTCTAGTCCTATGCTCAGTATAGCTTTTAATGGGGGATTGGTGGGTTACTTCCCTGCCAAGCAAGGTCTGAGGCAGGGAGACCCCCTCTCCCCATATTTGTTTGTTGTAGCCATGGAGGTGTTTTCTTGTCTTTTGGATCTGGAAGCTAAAAGGGGAAGATTTCCTTACCATCCTATGTGCAAAAAAATTGGTTTGACTCATTTATGCTTCGCTGACCTTTTGGTCTTTTCTGATGGGTCCAATTATGGTATTTAGAGTGTTCAAAGAGTTCTGAGTGTGTTTCATAAGCTCTCAGGGCTTCAGTCTAATCCTAGCAAGTGTGAAATTTTCTTTGGAGGGTTAGAGAAGGAGGAGATGGTAGAAAGAGCTAAGGGGTATGGATACCAATTAGGGGGTTACCAGTGTGCTATCTTGGGGTTCCTCTAGTTGCTGGAAAACTTACAGTCAATGCCTGTAGACCTTTAATTGACAGAATCACAAGTAGGGTGCAGCGTTGGAAGGCTAAATCTCTGAGCTATGCTGGTAGAGTGGAACTTGTTGGATTTGTTTTATACAGTATGTCACAATATTGGATGAGTGTCTTTATGCTCCCAAAGACTGTTATTCGTGAGGTCGAATGAATATGTAGTAACTTTCTCTGGTCTGTTGGTCCTGGTCTTAAGCTAAAAGCAAAAATGGCATGGAAGTACTTGTCTATCCAAAAAAAGAAGGTGGGTTGGGTTTGAGAGATCTCTCTTCCTAGAATCTTGCTTGTGTCTTTAGGCATATTTGGGCGGTTATGATGCAGCATGACTCACAGTGGGTTGCTTGGATACAAGCATACAAGCTGAAAGGTAGAGATTTTTGGGCTGTGAATGTTAAGGGCTCATGGAACTGGGGGAAGTTGCTGAAAATCAGAACTAAGATCCCTACTCTTTTTTGTTTAAGAGATGGAGTGCTTTACTGGAATGATAAACCAATGAAGAGATATTCTATTAAGTTGATCTGGGAATTTGTTAGGCCAAAGCTCAATGCAGTCAGTTGGTACAAGCTATTATGGAAAGGGCATTCTATCCCTAGGAACAGGTTCCTTGTTTGGCTCATTATACGAAACAAAATCCAAACCAAAGATAAGATGATGAAGTGGGGTTTTGCTGGCTCTGATCATTGCTCCCTCTGTGATCAGGCAGGTGAGACTAGGGACCACTTGTTCTCTGCCTGTCCCTACTATTCTACTGTTCATAAGCTGCTGTTGGGGAAGTTTTGCTCTGACTCTCCACAGAATTGAGAGGAAAACCTTGACATTGACTGTAAGGAAGTTTGGTGTTAAGTCTGTGTGTGCAATGACAGGTCGACTGATAAGGCAGGCTATGGTGAGTCATGTTTGGAGAGAGCGTTGCAGGATGGCCTTTGGTGGCAGCAGGAGGTCTCTGGAGGCTCTGGTTGTACCGATCAAAAGTGAAGTTTGTGTTCTGGTGCAGGATCCGAAGGAATTGGACAGGTTCTGGGTTTCTGGTTCTTAGCTTCAGTAAATCTCTTACCCCCCGAGATTGTTGTTTCCATGTTTTGGTATAGTTGGCTGGTTTGTTTTGCTTCCTGTTTTTTGGCTCTGTTTTTGGTTCCACTAACAGTTTTGATCCCATTCCCCTAGCTGGCAAGGGTGTTGCAAAAAGTTGTATATGTTTAATAATATGAGCACTTCTACTATGCTATAAAGTATTGGCGCTTTAATGTAAAACTTAAAGTTGTACAACTTAAAGGTTGTACCATAAAGCAATTTGTACCATTATGTTATGGTACAACTTCACACAATCACATAAAGGTACAAGTTCAAGTTGTACCATAAAAGAATTTGTATAAAAAGTATAGGTACAATATGAAGTTACACCATAACGTTAAAGGTACAATTTCAAGTTGTACCACAAAGACAAAAACCTATAGTACCAATACTATATAACATTGTAAAATTCCTCTTAATAATATAACAAAACAATTGTTTCGTCTCTCTTTATTTAAAATGCCTTGTTAGTTTGCTGACTCATTGCAAGTGTTAATACAAAAAAGACATCTAACAAACTCTTAAATCTATCTCTTGTCCAGAGCTGCCTGACCGGGCATTTTGGATGAAAAGAACATAGAATGACTATTGTTTTATATCGTAATACATATGTGACCTTCAAATTATGTTTTAAACGCTAGTGGCCATTTTGTTACATACCGAAATGTATGAGAGCATTTTGATCAATTACTCGTATAAAACATAATTTTGAGTTTATAACGGTAAACATCACTTTAGTCATCTTAATGGGACCGACAGATGACCAACTTGTCACAATTTTTCATAGATTTCACATGAACAATTTGACACAAACTAAATTGTTGTTTATTTCACACATTTTTAAAGAGCGTAATTTGTATGCAGATTATCTATCTAGTCAGACTCATCTTACCTTTAGTCATAGTATAAAATCATGTAACGAAACAATTCTGCAATGTCGCGATACTAATTAATCTACTTACATCAAATACATAGTGAATTTATCTTCTTAGTTAGAATCTATTTACGGTGATTGTTGCTCAACATCACTTGTATCAAACATCTATGCAATATCACATCATGCATGTTTCGGTAGTGATCACCAAGTAAAAGAGTAATATTCAAAAAAAAAAAAAAAAAAAAGTAAAAGAGTCAAATCTCTCAAACGTCATGGGATGGGATTGGTACGAGGACGGAGCTACCGACATAAATGGCGATGGTGCATATGCCAATGCTCAACAGTCAACCCCACTTGTGGGAAGGAAACGTGCAACTCATTACTAGCCTCCAAATAGACCCAACACAGAATATAATGCACGTACAATTGCCGGCCTCAAGCGCACCCATGTGCTTCCCTCCCTCCCTTATCTATCTAATCGCCTCCACCTCGATATAGATGCATATGCAATTCCCCTTCAATGTCCATCGCCATCCCTACCTCTCCAATTTGGGCATCACATACTTACCAAGAAAGGACTACATGGCGCCGGCCAAACATGCCACTCCGCCCGCAACCACCACCAAATCATCATCACAACGCGTAGAGGAAGGAGTAGAGGATTGAGATGAGAAGCTGAGCCAGGAGTGCCAAGATTTGCTTCTTTCCCTTCCAAGGGAGAAAGGGTGGAGAACATCTTACCTCTACAAGTTCAAAGGGTTTTGGTGCCAACCCAAGCAGATTCAAGCCATCCTATCTTTCCAAACCCACTTCCAGGTCAAGGACACCGACGTCATCGTAGCCTCCAAACCTAAATCAGGCACCACCTGTTAAAAATCGAACAGGAAAAATTAGGGTTACTGATCTGGCTGAGTCGCGGACTAGGTCGCTCTCTTTAAGACGTTCGCGGCACTGCCTTCATTGCGCACGGTAGACTATCAGCCGGTTGCCTCCAGGATAAAACAGCCACTCTAATTTTGTTACTCATCGGTTTTGTGCGAAAACCGGAGCTCTATGAACTCACTCTCTATCTCGTGTTTCTGCTCTCTGAGGTGTGTTTAGAGGGTCTAGGGCGTCTCCTATTTATAGGAGCAGAAAACCCAGAATATTCCCTCTTTCTTTGGGAATAAGTCATATTTTAATTAGGGAGATAATTACTCCCATAATTAAAATATAATCTATTAAGATAATTATTCCTAATTATCTCCATAATATTCCTTTTATTAATTATCCATCTTATTTATGTATTATTGGAAAATACTGGATAATTAATTAGGAATTTCATTATAGCTTTTCAAAGCTATTCATCCCAACAATCCCCCACTTGAATAGTTTGAAACTATCTCTGAGCATCAACAGTTCCATAAGATCGGGCATAAGCTAAGGTATCGCGAAGATTTGAACCTTAGCGTAGTGGTTACACTTCCGATTTCATAAGGGTGACTCGTAGTCTTGAACCCTATCTCAGACAATGTAGCACACCGGATCTTTTCATTGAGTGATATTCTCTCATAGGCCGTGCATTTATGGCCATACACGTTATCCCGGTTTAGTGAACGCTCTAGCAACTTTGTGCCTCCAAAGTTCCATAGGGAGCGGCCCCACTCCCACATTCACATAGGTGAGTCTATCAGAAGTACCCCCAAAGTAAAGTACTTCACTCCACATAGAGTATAGATCTCATTAAGAGTTTAACTCAACCTCCAAGGCTTTGGGATTCATGCTTCACTATGCATGAACTTTTCTCAATATTACTCATGACTTGTTATTACCCATTGAACCCGTTTCTTGGGATCTCCAGTCTATCGGGTCGGGTTACCATCACTTGTAATCCATGGTTCGGTAGCCATAAGTCTCATACCCTTCGTGGTATTTTGGACTTTCTCTCTAGATAATCCTTTCGTCAAAGGATCAGCTAGATTCTGTTAGGATCTTACAGGATCCACCCTCATTGCTCCTATCGTTAGGAGTTCTCTTACAGTACTGTGCTTACGACAAATTTGTCATCTCTTTTCGTTCTAGAACCGGTTCTAATCTTTTGCAATAGCTGCGGAGCTATCACAATTAATCAACTACCGGAGGGATCGGTCTTTCCCATAAGGGAATCTCTAGTAGTGACCCTCTCAATCAACTTTCCTCTTTACTAGCCATTGCTAGTTCTATCATTTCCGATTTCTTAGTTGATTGAGCCAGGATCGTTTACTTCTTTGACTTCCAAGACATAGCTTCTCTATCGATGTTTTAAAACACATCCTCTTGTTGTCTTGGAGTCCTCTATAGGGTATTCTAATCCGCATCACTATACCCTACCAATACAGCAAAACCATTGATAACAAATACCAAGGTTTTTCTGTTCTTTTAAGGTGTCTCATGACCCCTTTCAATAGCATTTCAATGCTTCATACTAGGACAATCAGTAAGCCTGCCAAGTACCCCCACTATGTCGGGTCTCATGTTTATCAGCTGCCTCTCGCATACTGTCGATGCTAGTATGTTCTTACTGTCTTACACCGTCTTTGGTGCTCTTAAAAATTACACTAGCACCATCAAACATTTATGCAGGTGTAGAACTCGTATTTCCTCTAGATCTAACTATGTAGTTAAACTGATCTAGATGAAATCTCTTTCATTGTCCTAGTAATCTGGATCTCCGAGCATAACACTTTGCTTCATCCAGATCTTTTTACCTTCATAATTCTCAAACAACATGGTTTTTCATAATATTGACATCACGAGTCTTTGTACCAAAAACCGAAGTGTCATTCATAATGCAAGTGTCATTCTCAAAGTTGTACTAAATGCACTTGTCACTTTCACTTTTAAAACCATGAGAGAGAACCAGTTTATTCATGCCATTGTCTTAGAGTCTATTTCAAATCTTACAATGATTTGTCTAACTATAGACTCCCTAAGCATGTTCAAGAATAACAACCCTATAGGTTGTCCCATGTAGATTTTCCTATCTAAATCACCATTCACATAAACATGTTTAACAATCCATCTGACGCACAACACTAGCAATCAGAACATACATGGATGTTATTCTACATATGGTGAATAGATAACAAAAAATTTACAATTTTTCCTTTTCGCTTAAAGCCTTAGCTATTAGGCGATCCTTATACTCATAAACTAAACCAATAGGTTTCACTTTTCTTTTAAGAATCCATTTATTACCCATGACTTCATTGCCAAGAGGTAATTCTCAAAAATGCCAAATCTTGTTCGATTCTATCGATATATTACCCAAGGCTTTTCAACCAAGAGGTAACTCTACAAGATTTTAAGTCTTATTAGACTAATAATTCCATTTCGTTAATAATGGATTCTCCCACAATTCTGCATCTTTATGGAAGTTCGAACTTCTAGCAGACTTGTAGGATCTTTCTTTCTTAGGGTGTAAATAACAAATTCATAACCAAAAACCTTAAGAGATTTCAGGTTCATTTGCTTCTTCTGAGTTTAAACTCAGATTTATCACCCCCACTAGATCCATTATTTCCAATAGTAGGCAGGACACTACCCCCACTATTTCTTGATTTAAAATGGAAGTTTATTGGCATCAATGGATTTCACATAACAATGAGTATTTCATTCCATAAGTTTATGTGTTTTATATCAAGTTAAAACACATTCATGTGCTCTACTCGTAATCATATTGCTCTTATTCTTTAATTCTACCATTAGAATTTCAAAAGCATCACATCAAATAAACATACAATTAACCAGAGCAATCAATAATAATGCGATAAAGCATTTCAATCCATTCCAAATAAGCATTTCATCACGTTTGCCCATATCTAATGTGTCAGATCATATTTATGGGTCTATTAGCTTAGCTATGTAATTCATATTTATCACAACCATTATGAGAATGTGACCCTAGCTATTCAATTCCTCAAGATATACGTCAAAGACGTGCATGCAAGACCCATAAGAATTAAACACTTTAACTTTATCATCATATGCATACTCTCATGACCATGATCAATAGTGGAGTGAGCAATACTCAACAACACTTTCTTAATAGCATATGCCTTAATATGCTTCGAGGTACCAGTATTTAGCCACCATTCTTCAGAGTTACCAGAAAGGTTAATCTCTGCTTCTTTCACAATCATCACAACCACCAATCCTTCTCTTCAATCAAGTTAACACTAGAACCAGTGTTATACTTGTTCATACACTTTCATGTCATATGACCTAATTTCTCGCAGCTATTGCAAAGTAATAAGTCATTCTTAGAGGATTGGTCGATGATCCTTTGGTTACCATGAATAATGGTACCATTCTAATTGGTGTGGATCTGGTTCAGTTGCTGCTCTTATTCTCGAAACTTTAATGTTTCACAGCAACCTAAGTGGTTCGTGTAGTACTGATAATAGTACTTCTTATAATATCGTTATTATGGGCAATAAACCCATTCTATTCCCATATATTCTTCACATATATGCATGCATTTAAACAAAATCATTCTATTCCACAACATGTATTCTATCTATACTCTAATCATCGAGGTAATACATCTCAATGTCCACATATACATGCATCAATTTTATTTTACTTTCTCGCATTAATATGGATTTCTCAATACCATGCATAGAACTCAAGTGAAATAGATTCTAGCTTATCATTCATCATAATGATTCATAAAGAAGGTTCTGAATCTTACCTCTTTTCGATGAGTCGATGCATTCTCAATTTGCACGAATATCTAGCACCATGATTCTCCACTTGAAGAACCCAAAACCCAATTTTATTGGGCAGAATTTGGATTGTATATCGAAGCCCATGATCTTCTGAATTAAGGAGTGGGCTCAGCGGGCCAGGAGGGAAGGATTCCATCGCTCCTTCTTTCTTCGTACTGCCCACAACCGCCTCAAGCTGCAACTCCTAATCCACCGTTCCAGTTGGGCCAAGAGCGGACGCCGAGGTCGGTGAGTTTGGATTCTGGAGGGTTTCTGACGATTTTGGTTCCTGATTTCTTAGTTATCGTAGTGGCCATCACCTTACCCTCCGCCATAACAGTAATCCGCCACGGCAGCAGCAGCCCAGACTCAGAGCTTCTCAGTCTTTTGGCGGGGAGCAGAAAAGCAGCAGCAGTAGCTGCCGTCGGCATTTCTTCCGGTCTTCCTTTTTTTTCTTTTAGTTAATAATTAAATAAGCAAGCAATAGAGCTAGCGAAGCCACAGCCATCACTTTCGAATTAAGGGAAGGAGCAGGTCGTCCGAAGGCTTCCCCTCGCTGGTTGACTATGACCTCCTTTAGGGCGACGATGTTCTCATGAGGTTGTACTTCGCTTAACGTGCTTATCTCTCTCAAAACCGTGGAAGAGAGTCCGACAGGCGACAGCTGCATCTTTCTTCACGATTCTCTTAATTGCGAATTTTATCCCAGTTCTTTCATGGCGATAAGATCGCACCTCGCCAAAACTTCCCCATTCAGGAGATTTAGTCGATCTAGGAGAATCGACATCATCATCGCCCACCGACGAGCAAGACCCAACAAATAGACTCGTCGCCAGCAGGAACTTTCTTCACCAACCAGAGAGCTCTGTTTAGCTTTTCTTATGGCAGAGGCGATGAGCGACGGCCAAATCCAGTAATCTGTTCGATTCACTTTAACAGCAACGGAACGTCTTAAAATTGTTAAAAATCGAACAGGAAAAATTAGGGTTACTGATCTGGCTGAGTCGCGGACTAGGTCGCTCTCTTTAAGACGTTCGCGGCACTGCCTTCATTGCGCACGACAGACTATCAGCCGGTCGCCTCCAGGATAAAACAGCCACTCTAATTTTGTTACTCATCGGTTTTGTGCGAAAACCGGAGCTCTATGAACTCACTCTCTATCTCGTGTTTCTGCTCTCTGAGGTGTGTTTAGAGGGTCTAGGGCGTCTCCTATTTATAGGAGCAGAAAACCCAGAATATTCCCTCTTTCTTTGGGAATAAGTCATATTTTAATTAGGGAGATAATTACTCCCATAATTAAAATATAATCTATTAAAATAATTATTCCTAATTATCTCCATAATATTCCTTTTATTAATTATCCATCTTATTTATGTATTATTGGAAAATACTGGATAATTAATTAGGAATTTCATTATAGCTTTTCAAAGCTATTCATCCCAACACCACCTGGCTCAAGGCCTTGGTATTCGCCATCTCGAACCGAGACAAACACCCTATTCTAACCTCAGCCAAATGCCCACATGACCAAAACCCGCATCACCACTCGCAACTGTCTCATCCTTTGCTCGTCTCAAATCCTCATGACCTTGTTCCTTTCTTCGAGTACAAGCTCTACGCAAACTCTGATGGCGATCACGACCGTCTCCTCGACCTCTCAGGGCTCCCTGACCCGAGACTCTTTGCAACCCACATGCCCTTCGGAGCTCTACAAGAGCCCATCAAGAAGTCGGGTTGCAAGATTGTGTACATATGTAGGAACCCTTTGGACACGTTCATCTCCTCGTGGATTTATACCAACAAGCTGATGAAAGAGGGTGGCCTTCCACCTTTGCCCTTGGAGGAGGCATTTGAGATGTATTGCCAAGGGGTACGTAGTTGGGTTTGGTCCATTTTGGGATCATATGTTGGGGTACTGGAAGGACAGCTTGGAGAGGCCAGAGAAAGTGTTGTTCTTGAAATATGAGGAGATGAGAGAGCACAATCAAGGGCTTCATTTGAGGAAATTGGCCAACTTTCTTGGCTGTCCATTTTCGTTGGAGGAAGAGAAGAGTGGTGTGGTAGATGGGATTGAAAAGCTCTGTAGCTTCGAGAAGCTCAAGGATTTGGAGGTGAACAAGAGCGGGAGTGGGGCGATTATAAACTTTGAGAACAAGCATTTGTTCAGGAAAGGGAAGGTTGGGGATTGGGTCAATTACCTGTCTCCTTCCATGGTGGAGAAGTTGTCACAAGTAATGGATGACAAACTTGGTGGCTCTGGCCTTGTGTTCAAACTGTTCGTTTCATAATAATAATAATAATAATAATAATAATAAGTGAACTTAAATTTTATTAAGCTAAATAAACTTGTTATCATTATATTTAGGTTTAATACATTTGTATATCCAAAACTTTCACGATTGTGCCAATAATATCAAAATTTCCTGAAATACCACTTATAGCCATGTTTTAAAGTTGTTCTTTGCCAAACCTATCCATTTCCGTTAAATACTTTGACTGCGTTAATAACTCCGTCAACATAGCTGACGACAAGCTGACTGGGCGCCAAATAAGCAGACACGTAAGCGCCAAATATGTCAAAGGTGACACGTAAGAAATTAAAAATAATTTTAAAATAATTTAAAATAATTTCCCCCATCCCATTCCATATCTTCGATGTCCCCAATTCTCCGCCAATTTCGATTTCCCGACGTCCTGTGCCGATTGCGAACTTCTCTGGTTAACAACGAGCTGGGCCGACGGCGGCGGTGGAATCATTCTCCATAAGCAAATCGACTTCAAAGTCTGCAGGGGATCCAAATCTCGCAGCAGCTCTGCTTCTCCCCTAGGTTGTTCCCTGCTCTGCTCCTCTCTTCGTTACCCAGCGCTCACCAACTATCACCTCCGTTAACCTTCTCTTCCTCTTCCCACCTTCATCTCCTCTTCTTTGAAAATCTCGAATTTACAAACCCATTCAAACAAAAAAAAATCCCCAATTCAAAACTCCCCCCTGTCGATGACTATGCCTTGTTCGTTTCAGAAGCACTTCAGAAGAGGAGCATGTGGCGAAATTTGATCTGGGTACAGATCCAACTACAAAGATTTTGAGGGCAGCAACGAGACCTAGAAACAACAGTTACCCCTCGTACTTTTCTCTTCCTTTAATTGAGACAAGATTTGCCACCGGATTTGCGACTTGTCGATGTCGTGGATAGGCTATAATCGGAGGGCGGTGGAAAGGTCTAGCGGAGACGATTTTGGAGGCGGTTGCATGAGGAGAGGGTTTGAGAGTTGCTTGAGCCAAAGAGTGTTTCAGAGAAAGGGGGATTTGGGCGGCGGCGGATTCTTTTCGTCTTCCCAAAACCCTATCCTCATCTCATCCTTATCCAAACGAGCCATATTGAGTAATCCCTCATCTAGAGGGAGAAGCGGAGAATGAAGCCCGCAATGGCGATACTGAACGGAAGACGGGAACAAAAGTGGGCGACGCAAGATCTGATTTGGGGATAATATTTTGGTCGGAGTTGGAAGGATCCGACGAACATGCTTTGAAGGCGAAGAGATGGGTGATGGGAAGAGATAAGACAGAGCAGTTGGGCTTTTAACTTTTTTTTTTCATTTCATAAATCCACGTGTATATTTACAAACAAAATTGAAGATAAGAGTTTGCCACGTCAGCATCTCCGTTTGCGCAGTCACATTTAACGTTAACAGCGTTAAAGAATTGGACGGAAGTGGATATAAGTGGTGTTTCGGGAAATTTGGATATTATTGGCACAACGTTGAAAGTTTTGGATATACAAGTGTATTAAACCTTATATTTAATGTTGCATTTTTTTTATTCGGGAAGACCATGGTTACCTTGAGAAATGTCTGTAATGGTGCTGATGATATGTGTTAAGTATTAAAAAGATTCTATTTGCTAATTACTTACAGTAGGAGAATTTGTATCGAAATGATTTGCACAATTTTTAGAATTTGGTTGTAAAAACTAAAATTTGAAACTTTAACTCAAGAATTATTTTATAACTTTTATAAGAAAATTCATTACACTCTATTTTTCTCACAAACTCTCTTATTGTTGTCCTTCCAGTTTTCACATTTTAAGATTCAGGATCAATTATACATATTTTAGCTCTCATTTCTTGATTGTTTGACTTTGTTATCATCGTCCCTCGACCTATTTTACGCTAGATTGTGCTATTTTTGATACATTTCATATCCTAGCATGTGTGGGAAGGTCGAGGACGAGTTCCAGGACGATTGGAGTCGATAAAATGCCAAAATTTGAAGTAAAGTGAAGGACAGTCCAAGGTCACGGGCAGAAGTAAAATGTCACGATCACCATACAGTGACAATTGATCATTGGGCGTGACATTAACAAGCTCCAGAACGCTTTGTGCACCTCACTCGACCCTGAGTGTTTCACGGTCGTCTGACCGTAAAAATCACCCAGTGACCGTGAAGTGGGACTAAACATTGGCCAAAACGATGTGTTTTGGTCAAATGTCATGGTCTATGGTTTAATGTCACGGCCGTGAAAAGTGACTATCGGGCTCTATAAATAGAAGGCTACTGGGAGAGAGAAAGAGAGGTTTTTGGAGGTTTTTAGTTTTCAGAATAAAGAAGGGTCTCTAGTGAGTGATTAGAGTTTACTCTTCCTATTCTAGAGAGAAAGTGCCATTCAAAGGAGGAAGAAGGAGATTGGGCTCATTTCAAGCTAGAGGAGTGAAGATTCTTACCTCTCAAGGGAGATTCAAGCAACAAGGAAGGAAGATTTTCATCTCTTCATGTTCTCTTGTCTAGCTATAGAATAGCCTACCGACTCACTTGGGTATTGTGAATCCTAGTCTATATATATGTGTTAGGATGTAAGAACATGATTCTATTGTGCTGATTGAACGTGTTATATAATATTTGAGGTATTATTCATGAATGATTGAGTGTGCTAGCTTTAACTCATTATTGGGTCATTTTGACCAAGGTGGAGAGAATCCCCTTGTTGTAAGAGGCTTTGAGAAGTTGGATTCTTGGTCAATTTGTGTCCCCCACCTAGGCAAATTAGGGCAAACCTCAAATATCGGATAAGTGCCATCATTCCACCATGATTGGTTGCTATTCGCCGTCCGGATTAACTTCCAAGGTTGGGTCTTGCAATCCTTAGTGGATTAGTTGAGAGGGTCAGATTTCCTAGCCTATTGTTCTCATCCTTAGCCGAAAGGTTAATAGAGTTAGTCTACTAACTTAATGCAACAATCCTTAATTGGTCCACTAAGAGACTCAAGGTTTCCTCGGTTGATCTGTTTAGAGAGCTAGGCCTCCTAGCTTATTGTTGCAATCCTTAGCCGAGCGGTTAAGAGAGCTAGGTTCGCTATCTTATTGTAGCAATCCTTGATTGATCAACTATGAGGGCTTGTTTCTAGCTTGTTGTACCCGCCTTGCAGTTTATGAACATATCATTCGCATATGAGTTTCATTCATGGCTTCCTAATACAAGACCAGAGGGAGCAATAATCGGGTGAAGACCTCTCATATAGAATTATCCTCGATTTACTTTATTAGTTTGTTTATTTTGTAGTTTACTCAGTTTGAAACCCAAAACCGGTTGCTAGATAGCAACTTAAGCGATTGAAGTAGTGGTACATGGACCGTCCTGAGTTTGACAATTAAAACATACATGCCCTATACTGCAGCCGGCTAGAGTTTATACTTGGCCTCTAGTCGAGATTCAAATTGGGTGTAGTCCTAGCGAGTCAACTTACTATTGCTCCCTCACTCGCTATTCTTTCTTTTTTCTTCTTTGTTTCTGGATTTTTGGGACGAGAAACACATACTCAACTCAAGGTTATTTATAGCCAAACTTCAAAATCAAATTGTGGCCTAAACTTTTCCATAATTAGCTACCACCTCACAACTACTGAGCTCACAAATATCTAGCTATATGTGGTTTTCCATTTTTCCATTTTCGTAACCCAGAATTAACTAATTAATACAATCTCTAGATAATTCCACGTACTTCACAACTCTAGCTAGTTGTGATATTCTGTCCAACTACTATTTTGTATTTAAATTTACATTTTCACACTTGAATCATGTAAAGCCTAACATGAAAAACACTTACCTCCAAAATCCGAATTACTCTTTTAATCGAAATACATAAATTTAACTAGTACATGTTTTAATGGTCGGGATAACATTTTTTCTTTCGAAGATTACAAATGAGCTATGGATGTGGTTAATATTCAAGTAAATTAAATCGTACAATTAAGTGTATTGAATATTTTATACGTGTTTAGTTTACACGAAACATCTAAAAAATAAAAATAGAAAACAAGATGCCTCTACAATAGGATAAGGAAGAAAGTCTCAAATATTTAATACCCATACAAGTAGTAATTGAATTATTTTACTAACTATGCTCATAATAAAAACAAAATATCAAAGGACTTAAGATCCATCTAAAACTATATTATTCCTATCCAAAAATTTCATTCATGAATATATGAATATTTTCAATCGTGTTATTGAATGTGTCAATAATAGAAGTTCATTAGTTTGATTTAGTATACACAACATTCATATATGAATATTTCAATCGTGTTATTGAATGTATCAATCTTAGAAGCTCATTAGTTTGGTTCAGTATACACAATATTCATATTTTCATTAGTAGTTGAGTTTTTTTTATGGTTAATAAAAAATGCATTGAAGCCTAGGGAGGTCCACCTCGCAACCTCCCTCTCAAAAGTGTCACTGTTTCTACAATTGAATAACAAATAACAATACCAAACAGAATACCAAGACCGTCATTACATTACTATACTACTCCTCCTAGAACCTTCTGTACTCTCAAGTGAAATGGGATTTGGCTGGTGGCAAATATAGAAAATTCCTTGAGTATCTTCATTTTACTTGGTTGGGGGAATTCGTTGCAGTAGTACCATAGAGTCTCGCATATCTCACCTTCCAAATCGTGCTAATTCACATAATCCACAAAACTCTCCCAACTGCTGATTTATCAGTAGGAGGAGTCCAAGCCATTTCTGCCCATGAAAGCTGCATTTGCCAGTTAGCAAACCCAAGGTAAAGACAAATGGCCCGCAATACCCTCCTCAACACTGCACTGCTAAAAGAACAACTACTAAACAAATGGTCTCTATTCTCAAAACCCCCTGGACATAAAACACAACTAACATCACAATCAATACCCCAGCTTGCCAACTTCTCCTTTGTTATGATTCTATCTAGTATAATCAACCATAACACAATGCTTTGGAAAAATAGGCTTGCTCCAAATGACAGATGACCATGACACAACAAGACCAGAAGTTCGAATGGATGCCCATACCTGCTTGACTGAATATCTAGCAAGAATAGAGCCAACCAATGCCAATATAGCACTTGCTCCAGTTATATGCTGTTGAGCCAAGCTTCTACATTTGAGTATCTTCCTCCAGACCCAAGTACTAACAGTGCTAACTGTAACTCGCCTAAAGGAAACCTAGACTGATCAGAATGGACTTGCTTTTCTTCTAGAGATAGCCCAGCCCAGAACAATTGACACTTCTGAGGGTTGCATTTGAGCCCTGAGATTGAATAGAACTAAGCAAGCAACTCCTGCATGCCATCAATTGCTTGAGGTGAACCATTAGAAAAAAATAAGAAGATCATCTGCAAAACAAAGATGTGTGATTTTCAAACTTTTGCATCTTGGGTGAAAAGGAATATGACTACTTCTAACAACCCTATTGAGAAGGCATGAGAATACCTCCATAACTATTGTAAAGAGTTAGGGGGATAACGGATCCCCCTATCTCAGCCCTTTAGCTGCTGGAAAATAGCCACCGAACCCTCCATTGAACGTAACACTAAGCATAGGAGACTGAACACAAGACTCAACCAGCCTGACAAATCAGTATGGCATACCCATTGCACTCATAACCTTAAACAGCAAAATCCAATCAACTAAATTAAAAGCTTTCATAAGATCTATCTTAAGAGCACACCCAGGGGAGATTCTGCTCCTATGATAATTCTTCACTACTTCCGTAGCCATTAGTATATTGTCACTGATTAAACAACCTTTAATAAAAGCAGAATGACTTCTACTAATGAAGATTGGCAAGACCAATGCCAATCGATTAGATAGAAGCTTAGAAATACCTTTATAGATAAAATTTCAATAGGATAAGTCGAAAATCTTTCATCCGCTCTACTACAAGAAGCTTTGGAATGAGTGAAATAACTATCGAATTCACCTGACGAGGCATTTCTCTAGTTCTAAAGAATTCCAAGACAATTTTCTCCACCTCAGTCCCCGCAACCTCCCAATCCAGTTTAAAGAATTTAGCAATATATCCATATGGTCCTGGTGACTTGTCATTACTCATACTGAAAAACACTTTTTTTAATCTCATCCCTAGTGACTACAGTAAGCAACAACTCAACATCGCCAGCAGTCAACTTATGACACATTAATTCCTCAAAGAACTCGCTAGGGAGCTGTTGAACTACAACATCAACATTCCCTAAAAGCTCTTTATAAAAATCCACTGCAGCATTACTCATTGTTTTCAAATCAGTTACTGCCTCCCCACCATCATTTATCAACTTCTGAATAGTCTGCCTATGATTCCTAGCCTTTACCATACCATGGAAGAATCCATTGTTTGCATACCCTTGAGTGATCCATTGAATCCTTGACTTTTGCCTATAGAAAAACTCTTCAGCACTTTGAAGTTCCCTTTATAGCTTCTCTTGCTCAAGTACAGCCTGTGAGTCAACCTCAGAAGGATCAGATAACATAGCACTTTGCAAATCCAACATTGTTTCTGCTTCTTGTTTTCTAACCGAAAAATTAGAGTAGACAGCTTTGTGCAGACTTTTGAGCTTGCGTTTAAGCTCCCCCAGCTTCCTATATAGAATACGATAAGGCTCCCCAGTAGCCTCCAATTGCCAAACCTCCTTTAAAAGCTCTTCATATTGAGGATACGGCCTCCAAAACAAGAAGAACTTAAAAGGCTTTGGTAACGAAGATAGTCTAGAATCAGTCTGTACAAAAATTCCACAGTGATCCGACACTCCAGGCGCAATAGTTTGAAACAAACTGTTAGGAAACACATCCAACCACTTCTTAGTAACCAAAGCACAATCAATTCTTCGAGCAATTGGATTATTGACCTGGTTGTTCTACCAAGTGAACCACGAGCCTAATGTCTTCTGATCAATATTCTTCATATCCTCAATCCAAAGACAAAAATCAACCATACTTGGATTAAAGCCAGGGCAGTTAGAAGCTTCACTACTCTCAACAAAAACATTAAAAATCCCAAAACAAATTCCAGACTCTCTAGACACTGCAAGCCTTCTCAACTCACCATATAACACTACTCTGCCCTGCACCTTACTAGGACTATAAACTGCAGTGACTAAGCACGACTCTGTGCCAGATTGAACACGAACACTAATAAAATGTTCCCATTCTGATGGAAACTCGATGTAAGGGGCATGGTGGGCAGCCGGATGTCCGAGTAGAGTAGAGTTTTTTTAGTTATTTCCGTATTATTATTAAACACCTATTTAAGGGGTCAACCCTTATTTTCCAGAATTTAAACCCAAATCCTTAAATCTTTTTTCTCTCAATTCTTCCCCAATTCCTCTAAATCCCTAAATTCTTCTTCTCAAATCCCTAATTCCCAATTGGGAAATTCTTGAATCTATCAACTTGGTATCAGAGCCCCGATGAGTACATCACGACTCACCGTTAAGGAACTGTTGGGCAAGCTGGAGGCGACCCTTGAAACCATCTGGGCCGCAAAATCGACAAAGGTTGGCGGATCTCCGGCCGCCGCTTCAGGAGTTTGGACAGATGAGGGGCGGTGAGCAGGGCCAACAGAGGCCATCTCCGCGGTGCCGACGATAGTGGAGGTGGAAATCTGCCCCGAGAAATAGAGCCACATGGCGACTGAAGCAGCGATGGGAATTGGAATCGCCGATGGGGAGGAAGGCGTAACCCACGCGACACCACCGGTGATGTTATCCTTGCTGTCGCTGGCGAAACATACACCCTTAGTCGATGAGGTTGCGAGCGCAGGTGATCGGACAACCGGTAATGGCATTAGTCGATAGTGATGCCTCACTGAACTTTGTGGGAAAAAGGTTCGCTGAAACCCTAGGGAAGGAGCCAACACAGGTCAATCTGATAACCGTACGGATAGTTAATGGCGTGCCCCTGCGGTGTGACAGGGCCTTATGAAGATATCACTATCGAAATTCAAGGGCTTGAGGTAACAACCGATCTATACGTATTGCCATTGCGAGGATTTGACATTATTTTGGGCATGACATGGTTGAGGAGTTTAGGTCCGGTGACGAGTAACTAGATCAAGTTGACCATGAGTTTTAAATGGAGAGACAAGAAATGGACTTTACAGGGTCTTACCATGGCTTTGCGGGAGATCTTCATCAAAGACTGTGTGCTGCGACGGGAAACAGATTTGATGGTGATGTGCTAGCCGGCGGTGGTTGACGAGAAGAAGGGGATGGAGCCCGTATTGCAGGACCTCCTCGACCTTTATCCTGAGCTGTTCGAGACACCCACGACCCTGCCTCCTCCTCATTAGGTCAGTCATGTGATTAAGCTGAAGGAGGGAACAGAAGCAGTGAATGTGCTATCGTATTGTTACGGACACGTGCATAAGACCAAGATAGAGAAGCATGTTGTTGATATACTAGAGACTGGGTTGATTCGTTCTAGCACAAGCTCCTTTTCGTCGCCCATGTTGTTGGTAAAGAAGAAGGATGGTACGTGGCGCTTCTGCAACGACTACAAGGACCTTAATGTAGCGATATTGAAAGATCATTTCCCCATTCCTACAGTAGATGATATGTTGGATGAGCTCCATGGGTCGGGCTACTTCGCCAAAATGGATCTGAGGGTTGGGTATGTACATGGGCGTTGGACCGTGCTTGGGCCGGCACGCCACGAGCACGCTTCAGGCCCATTTAGTCCGGGATTGGATTAGGAAGTGTGAGAAGTTGTTCGACATTTATGCGGTTCCTGATGAGCAGAAGGTACGATTGGCTTCCATTTATTTTGATCGTCGTCCGGATATTTGGTTTGAGGGATGGAAGATTGAGCATAGGGATTGGATCTGGGAAGAATTTGTGCGAGATTTGTGTAGTCGCTTTGGGGATAGTGAATTTGGCAGTATTGTGGAGGAGTTCAATAAGCTTCGCCAAAGAGGTTCGTTGTCTGAGTATCAAGAAAAATTTGAGGCGCTGAAATCACAGATGGTAAGGTATGATCCAGCTTTGGGGGAACAGTATTTCATCTCCAGTTTCGTTAGTGGGTTAGAGGAAGAACTGAGGCCAGTGATTAAGATGTGGCAGCCAGTGACTTTAGCTCATGCGTTTCAACTTGCGCAATTGGAGGAGACAGCAAATGAAGCTAAGAGAAGGAAATGGCGACTTGGACTGGGCAATGGCATGCGTTCAGTTCCACATATAGCACAAGGAATCAATCCAACTGCTAGAAAATGGGAAGGGCCTAGTGGTGGTCGTCCTCAGAACTTTGGGAAAGCACAAGCATCTACTAGCAACAAACCAAACTATGCAAAAGGGGCTTGTTACAAATGCGGGGATATATACTATTTTGGTCATGTGTGTGATACTAAAAATAAAAAACAGCCGAATGTGATGCAGGCAGACGATGGGGAGATACTGGCACCAGAGGATTGGAGTGTTATGGATGATGAGGATATGGAGGAGGTCTTGAGAGATGACCAGCAGCCAGAACTAGTGGAAGTCTCAATGCAAGCCCTGAGCAGTGGAGGGTTGTCCAATTCCTTGATAGTAAAGGGTAAGGTGAAAAAAGAAAGGATATTTGTACTCAACGACACTGGCAGTACACACACATTTTTGAGTGAAAGGAAGGCTATGGATTTGAAGTGTAAGCTGGTTCAGGCAGAATCTCCTTTGAGGGTTAAGCTGGCTGATGGAACCATTCTGTTGAGCAGTATGGTTTGTAAGGATTTTTGCTGGGAAATGCAGAACCACAAATTCGCATACGATATGAGAATCCTTAGTCTAGGAACTAATGATGTGGTTTTGGGTCTGGATTGGTTGAAAACTATTAGTCCAGTCAAATTTGATTTTATCAACCTACAGTTGTTCTTTGATTGGGAAGGACAGGAGGTGACTTTGCAGGGTGTGCAGGATATGGCTCAGTGCAAGGCTATCTCAGGGAAGACCCTTCAGAAGATGATCAAGAAAACCACAGCTACCTTGGTGGGACATCTGTTCAGCATTTCTGTGGAAACTGCCAATGCAGCTAAGGTTCCTGAGTTCTTGGAACCAGTAGTGAATGAATTCAGTGATGTGTTTGGGAAGCCTAAATCACTACCAGCCCCCAGACCTTGCGACCACACCATTCCCCTGCTTCCAAATGCTCAACCAGTGAACCTTAGACCCTACAGATATTCCATACCCCAGAAGAATGAAATGGATCGACTGGTCAAGGAAATGATGGATTCTCAGTATATACAGGACAGTAGAAGTCCTTATGCATCTCCTGTATTACTGGTGCTCAAGAAGGATGGATCATGGAGGTTCTGTGTGGATTACAGGCAACTGAACTCACTCACCATCAAAGACAAGTTCCCAATTCCAGTCATTGATGATCTATTGGATGAGTTAAGGGGATCCAAATTTTTCACTAAATTGGATTTACTGTCAGGTTATCACCAGATCAGAATGAACCCTCAAGATCAACACAAGACAACTTTTAGAACTCATCAGGGTCACTATGAATTCAGAGTGATGCCCTTTGGTCTCACGAATGCTCCAGCAACCTTCCAAGCTCTTATGAACCAGATTTTTGCTCCCCATTTACGCAAATTCATACTTCTTTTTTTATGATATTTTGGTTTACAGTCCTGATCCGAATAGCCACAAGGAACATCTGGCTATTGCACTTGGCATCCTCAGAGCTCATACCTTGTATGCTAAGCCATCCAAATGTTCCTTTGGCCAGACTCAAGTATACTATCTTGGTCACATTATCAATCAGGAAGGAGTTTCAACTGATCCTGGTAAGGTGGAGGCTATGGTGGCTTGACCAGTCCCTAAGAATATTAAAGCACTTAGGGGGTTCTTGGGGCTGACTGGATATTACAGGAAGTTTGTGAAGAATTATAGCATTTTGGCTAAGCCATTGACTGACCTGCTCAAGAAGGATAGTTTCAGGTGGTCTGCAGCAGCTCAAGGGGCTTTTGAAGTATTGAAAACATCTATGGTGCAGGCTCCAGTGCTAGCTCTGCCAGATTTCAGTCAGCCTTTTGTTTAGGAATCGTCTTAATTATTAAAGTATTTAAGGTAGTTTCTTTAGGATTAAGTTACCGTATCCTTGTAGGATTGGTAAGTGATTAGGTTTTCCGGTTCCACTATAAATATGTACTTGGTTTCTACGTTTTAATCATCAATCAAAGAAGAATAAACCAGTATTTTCAGTTTCTTTTAGTTTAAGTTCGTACGATTACGCGATGGACGAACCGATCGTCCATCAATTGGTATCAGAGCCTGGTTTTGAAAGAACCCAGGAGCCGAGCACCATGCCGCCAAAGAAGAACAGCACGAGTTCTTCTTCAACAGAGGCTGTCGCCTACGCTATAGGGCAGCAGATCCCGGAGGTCCTGGATCGTCTTGCCGAGCACGACCAGCAGCTTCGTACCATTAGAGATGACCGCAGTGTGATCCTGGCAGATATTGGCCAGCTCAAGGAGTCGCAGAACCTGCTCCAGATCGAGGGTCGCCAGGGACGAAGGGAGCTTCAGCACAAGGTTGAGCAGGAATCAGAATCCATGGCGAGGAAGCTTGCGCAGGTATCCGAGTCCATACGCGGGGAGATGCAGGAACTCCGGGACATCATGCGCCGAGGATTCCAGGAGCTTGCAAGGAACGGAGGGGAAAAGTTCGGGCCCGACGGTACTGATCGGGAGAAGCCAGGGAATCAAAGGACGATTGATCAAATACCTCCGATAGAGAAGCTGAAGGGCACGGCAGGGGAGCCGGACTCGGCAAAGGGAGGAGGTCACGAGGCGATGAGCACCGAATGGCTCTCCAGGGATGACCTCAATCGACTAATCCGACTGACCGAAAGCACCTGTCTTATTGCGGAAGGATCGTGACGACCTGTGACAGAGCTACCGTATCCGCTGCCTTCACCACCACGTCACCGCCAGCACCCAGCTTCAGCGTACCGCTGCCGCCATTAGCCGTTCCTCACACCACCACCAAAGCTGTTCGGTTCCGCTCGATCGGTCCAACCATCACCCCAAAAGCAGCGCCGACCTTGCTGTCCACTCCAAGACCACCACGGATGGTCATCGCACCACCATCGCAGCCTGTCAAAACCCTAGAACCACCATTGTCACCATCCTCATCGCCAGGTAACCACTGTGCCATCAGCCGCCGCCTGTCGCCGTGGGCTCCTCACGCTGTTCAAATCCCCACAGCTGCTGTCTGCTCGTTTCGTCGGAAAATAAGGAGAAGAAAGAGGGGTAGCCGCGTCGAGATAAAGGAAAAGAAGAGGAAGGGGATATCTTTGCGTCGGATATCCCGAGGTAGGTTTTCTTTTAATCTCTTAATTTCCACCATTACGTAAATATCCTGTATCCCTAGAATATTTGCATAAAAACCGTAGGCATATTACATGCCACTGACCGACCATTTAGCCTGTCAATTTGGCTTGACGTAAACACCACTAATTAGTTGAAAACCACTCTATATGCATCATGCGAGTTACAGCACATTCATTATTTTGATTCATTAATTGATAAATTTGGTGATTTGAAGTCTGCAGTAGTACTTTCTTACCGTTAAAAAAAAGGGTAAAATAGACAGGAGTGGCTCGTAAGGATGTTTCAGGCCTACCCTCAGCGGCAACTTAATGATCGCATTCTGCAGCTGGCCAGGCAGGGGCGAGTTAGTTTGGGTCGCTGTAGGGGCCAAGATTTGGTGAGTAAGGGGGGTCCCTTAGTCACTTGCCTAAGTCAATCTTAGCCTTTCAAGTTCATTAAAATCCAATGGCTCTAATTAATTCAATTTAATGAAGGGTAGTGTAGTAATTACTTGATTCATGATTATTTTAATTTTAAAAATTAATAATTATAAAATCCAACAGCAGCGACCCTTTTCCCAGCGGCCGACCAGCCCGTCTCCTCGCCGCTTTTCCAGTGCGAGGTTGTGCACCTGCCATTTATTTTTTTGTGCGTGCTCATAGAGAGACTCCTGGCCATTAATTTTTTGGTTCGTCCCAGAGAGAGAGAGAGAGAGAGATTTTGTACTGTTAGTATGCTTTGTATTGTTTGTCGGTTTATTTTGTAATGTTTGTACGCTTTGTTATTTTGTAATGTTTGTCGGGTTTTTTTGTAATGTTTGTACGCTTTGTTATTTTAGAATGTTTGTCGGTTTTTTTTGTAATGTTTGTAAATTTTGTTATTTTTGTGTATCGTGTTTATCATTTTTGTCAACCATGTTTGTAATGTTTTTTATGTCTAAAAAACACCCGGGTTGACTTTGGGAAGGAGCCCCTCTATATAGGGATGGAGCCTCCAAAGTCAACCCGGGTGTTTTTTCAGTTCGTATGGATTGTCGGTATAGTTTGTCATTTTTGTCCACCATGTTCGTACTGTTTGTATGTCTAAAAAACACCCGGGTTGACTTTGGGAAGGAGCCCCTCTATATAGGGATGGAGCCTCCAAAGTCAACTCGGGTGTTTTTTCAGTTCGTATGGATTGTCGGTATAGTTTGTCATTTTCGTCCACCATGTTCGTACTGTTTGTATGTCTAAAAAACACCCGGGTTGACTTTGGGAAGGAGCCCCTCTATATAGGGATGGAGCCTCCAAAGTCAACCCGGGTGTTTTTTCTTTTTGTATGGTTTGTATTGTTTGTCGGTCTAGTTTGTATTGTTTGTACAGTTCATACGTTTGTAATGTTTGTGAATCTGTTTGTATGTTTTGTCGCTCTAGTTTGTACTGTTCGTATGTTTGTATGGTTTGTACTGATTCTAAGTCCGGTTTGTATACTTCGTAATTTTCCATAATACCCAAACTACCCCTGTCATTAATTAAATAGCCCTTCCCACTTTTTAACCATCAGATTGATGTGTCCATATCTAAGGGCTGGGAGGGGCTCAGTCAAGTGACTAAGCACCCCCCTTAGTCACCGAATCCGCTCTCTCGCTGTAGCAGGGTTTTTTTGCCGGCAGGCGCCTTCTGGGCTGCTGTACGTCTTGTTTTGCTGTTCGTCTTGTTTAGCTGTCTTTTCTGTCTTGTTCTTGCCGTAGTGATGGTCTGGTCCATCAAGCGCGTTTCTTGTTTGTGCCTGGACAATAGGTTTCTGTTTCCTTCGTTCTTGCTTTTTATGTTTCCTTTTGTTCTCAGGATCAAGCCTTGTGATCCTTGTTTGTTGCCCGAACTTCCTTTTGTTTTCCTGGTTTTGCTCTCCAATAAAATCTCGCACTTATCAAAAAAAAAAAAAAAAAAAAGGTAAAATCGGAAGCTAGGAGCAGAGGCGTTCCATAATTTTCATTACTTTAGAAGATGATAATTATCAACCTTGTTTCTCGATTGACGTTCCATTTTTAAACTAATCAAACTTAAATTACCCAATCGAACTACGCGAACTTTGATCTCGAGATGTCGGGTACGTAGGCGATCGAAAGATTCAAGTCCATACAACTCCTAAAATATTATTTTATCATATTACACAAATCATTACCGATGGGTACATGATCAATTAATCGCCTAACCTATTTAAACAAATTACGATCGATGGATCGTGTTCAAATTAAATAACTATTACGTACCGATGGGTACGTGATCAATACTTTTCTAATCCATCTCAAACATATTACGATCGATGGATCGTCATCAAATTAAGAAACCATTACGTACCGATGGGTCGTAAGCAAACGTTTTAAAATAACTAAATGTCCGGCGAACTACGAGAGCTTTGATCCCGAGATGTCGGGTACGTAGGCGGCCTACGGGTCCAAGTCCACTAATAAATAAACCTTTTCCCCCTAAATCTCACCAAAAATAATAGTAAATTCTTCCAACATAATTACATGTTGATGAACATGTAATATATTTAACAAGTGACATTTCATATGCGTAGTAAATCCAAATAGTTTCAAACAAACAAATATCAAATAAAAAGACAAATCAAACTTATAGTACTGATTTAGGGCGATGTAAGGGTGCTAATACCTTCCTTACTCGTAATCGACCCCCGAACCCATAAATCCATTTCGCAGACAGAGCCGAGTTTAAATCCTAACCGATTTAAGCTTGACGTTCCAAGTGTCCAATCCACTTTGAGAGATTGGTGGCGACTCCTCTTTTTCGCGCCGCGTCGCAGACGGACCGTTTGTGACACCACCATCTCTCAAGAGGGACGTGAAGAGGTTCTGATATCACTTGTAACACCCCGACCTTGTCTGATCAAGATATTGTTCGCTTTAGGTCTAGACCCTCACGGTTTTAGGCTTGAGGTGCATATCAATGTTACTTCCCATAAAATCATCAATCCTTGCAGTGATACAGAGTGAGCACGTTTATCTTCAAAGTTCTTATAAAAATTCTTTCATTTCACCCAAAATGCGTCTTATCAGTTAAGATCAGTTACTATTAGTTACTTATTAATCATGGATCTCTCTTATACTTTGTAGATGTGAAATTCGGTCTTAAGTGTTACACTATAGCTCAAGTCTTTGTGACTATTAATTTTTATTTTAATACTGGTCAGCCCCTCACAACCAAGTTCTTTTCTTTCATTTTGTGGTTATCTATCATTCCACCAACCGTATGGTTGTGGTTTGCATTCCTTTTGAAAATACAGGAAGTGTCATCTTCAAACTATTGTGGTAAATGGTAATGAAGCGCTTCATTATCAGTAGAATTCTGGGCTTACGAAAGTCTGGTGAGGTTGACAGAAGTTATGGCTAATTAGCATTAATGTGATACAGTAATTAATAATAAAGTCTTAAAAAATAAACCAATTAATTCCCATCAATGCACTGGCCACACGTCGATGGGTTTGCAGGAGGAGCCTCCATACTGGTTTTGGATCGTCCTTATAGTTATTGTCTTGTCGTTGTGGACGGACGAGTGGTAGTTTTCCGTCCACGGCGCCGACAGCCCGGCCGAGTGGTAGTTTTCGAGTCTGAAAAGCTACTCACTTTGTTCAAAGAAGGATTGCAAGGTATGAGAATGAACTACTATCCGCCATGTGAGCAAGCTAACAAGGTCATCGGTCTTGCCCCACACTCCGATGGTAGTGGATTGACTTTGCTGACTCAGGTGAATGAAGTACAAGGTTTGCAAATCAGGAAAGATGGGAAATGGGTTCTCATTGATCCCATTCCGGGTGCCTTCATCGTTAATATCGGCGATGTGCTTGAGGTAATTAATTAAGAATAGCAAAACTCAAATGGATTGCGACAATAAAACACTCTTTGAACATATATCAAAATCAATTCAGCATTTTAGTAATAACATCGCAAATGCATGGACCACAGATCATGAGCAATGGAGAATACAAGAGCATAGAGCACAGAGCAATAGTCAATCATGAAAAGGAGAGACTATCAATTGCAGCATTCCATAGTCCAAACGCCAAAGTCGTGATTGGACCATTACAAGAGATTCTCGTCAAGGATCAAAAGAAACAAGCACCAAGCTATAAATCCATATCGCACCAAGATTATATAAAGCTTGCAGGGAAAATTAAACTCGACGGGAAAGACAAAGGCTTCATTCATCATATGAAGATACAAACGGAAGAAGAGCAGTGAATTCAAACCCCTCCATGGTATAAAAAAAAGTAGCCAAAAAGTTCAAAGCTGACGAATCATGCTAGTTGAATGTTGTAGTCTTGTATGCGAATTACCCATTTGCGAATGACACATTGAAACTCTGTATTCAGTGGCAAAGTCATAATTTGAAGTTCGGGGTTATAATAAAAGTAATAATATACAGAAAATATTAATAATTATCTTTTTTTTACCGCATAGATCATTAAACTCATTTAAAATACCATTAATCTAACATTTATGTTGCATTTTCAGTGGGAAATTGAGACTTTGAAAGGTACCTGAAACAAAGCTTGTACATGGAGGATTTGGAAAATAGTCAAAATACTAGATAGGCTATATAATTATTGTTGCAATCCTTAGCCGAGCGGTTAAGAGAGCTAGATTCGCTATCTTATTGTAGCAATCCTTGATTGATCAACTATGAGGGCTTGTTTCTAGCTTGTTGTACCCGCCTTGCAGTTTATGAACATATCATTCGCATATGAGTTTCATTCATGGCTTCCTAATACAAGACCAGAGGGAGCAATACTCGGATGAAGACCTCTCATATAGAATTATCCTCGATTTACTTTATTAGTTTGTTTATTTTGTAGTTTACTCAGTTTGAAACCCAAAACCGGTTGCTAGATAGCAACTTAAACGATTGAAGTAGTGGTACATGGACCGTCCTGAGTTTGACAATTAAAACATACATGCCCTATACTGCAGCCGGCTAGAGTTTATACTTGGCCTCTAGTCGGGATTCAAATTGGGTGTAGTCCTAGCGAGTCAACTTACTATTGCTCCCTCACTCGCTATTCTTTCTTTTTTCTTCTTTGTTTCTGGCTTTTTGGGACGAGAAACACATACTCAACTCAAGGTTATTTATAGCCAAACTTCAAAATCAAATTGTGGCCTAAAATTTTCCATAATTAGCTACCACCTCACAACTACTTAGCTCACAAATATCTAGCTATATGTGGTTTTCCATTTTCGTAACCCAGAATTAACTAATTAATACAATCTCTAGATAATTCCACGTACTTCACAACTCTAGCTAGTTGTGATATTCTGTCCAACTACTATTTTGTATTTAAATTTACATTTTCACACTTGAATCATGTAAAGCCTAACAAGAAAAACACTTACCTCCAAAATCCGAATTACTCTTTTAATCGAAATACATAAATTTAACTAGTACATGTTTTAATGGTCGGGATAACATTTTCTCTTTCGAAGATCACAAATGAGCTATGGATGTGGTTAATATTCAAGTAAATTAAATCTTACAATTAAGTGTATTGAATATTTTATACGTGTTTAGTTTACACGAAACATCTAAAAAATAAAAATAGAAAACAAGATGCCTCTACAATAGGATAAGGAAGAAAGTTTCAAATATTTAATACCCATACAAGTAGTAATTGAATTATTTTACTAACTATGCTCATAATAAAAACAAAATATCAAAGGACTTAAGATCCATCTAAAACTATATTATTCCTATCCAAAAATTTCATTCATGAATATATGAATATTTTCAATCGTGTTATTGAATGTGTCAATAATAGAAGTTCATTAGTTTGATTTAGTATACACAACATTCATATATGAATATTTCAATCGTGTTATTGAATGTATCAATCTTAGAAGCTCATTAGTTTGGTTCAGTATACACAATATTCATATTTTCATTAGTAGTTGAGTTTTTTTTATGGTTAATAAAAAATGCATTGAAGCCTAGGGAGGTCCACCTCGCAACCTCCCTCTCAAAAGTGTCACTTGTTTCTACAATTGAATAACAAATAACAATACCAAACAGAATACCAAGACCATCATTACATTACTATACTACTCCTCCTAGAACCTTCTGTACTCTCAAGTGAAATGGGATTTGGCTGCTGGCAAATATAGAAAATTCCTTGAGTATCTTCATTTTACTTGGTTGGGGGAATTCGTTGCAGTAGTACCATAGAGTCTCGCATATCTCTCCTTCCAAATCGTGCTAATTCACATAATCCACAAAACTCTCCCAACTGCTGATTTATCAGTAGGAGGATTCCAAGCCATTTCTGCCCATGAAAGCTGCATTTGCCAGTTAGCAAACCCAAGGTAAAGACAAATGGCCCGCAATACCCTCCTCAACACTGCACTGCTAAAAGAACAACTACTAAACAAATGGTCTCTATTCTCAAAACCCCCTGGACATAAAACACAACTAACATCACAATCAATACCCCAGCTTGCCAACTTCTCCTTTGTTATGATTCTATCTAGTATAATCAACCATAACACAATGCTTTGGAAAAATAGGCTTGCTCCAAATGACAGATGACCATGACACAACAAGACCAGAAGTTCGAATGGATGCCCATACCTGCTTGACTGAATATCTAGCAAGAATAGAGCCATCCAATGCCAATATAGCACTTGCTCCAGTTATATGCTGCTGAGCCAAGCTTCTGCATTTGAGTATCTTCCTCCAGACCCAAGTACTAACAGTGCTAGCTGTAACTCGCCTAAAGGAAACCTAGACTGATCAGAAAGGACTTGCTTTTCTTCTAGAGATAGCCCAGCCCAGAACAATTGACACTTCTGAGGGTTGCATTTGAGCCCAGAGATTGAATAGAACTAAGCAAGCAACTCCTGCATCCCATCACTTGCTTGAGGTGAACCATTAGAAAAAAATAAGAAGATCATCCGCAAAACAAAGATGTGTGATTTCCAAACTTTTGCATCTTGGGTGAAAAGTAATATGACTACTTCTAACAACCCTATTGAGAAGGCATGAGGATACCTCCATAACTATTGTAAAGAGTTAGGGTGATAACGGATCCCCATATCTCAGCCCTTTAGCTGCTGGAAAATAGCCACCGAACCGTCCATTGAACGTAACACTAAGCATAGGAGACTGAACACAAGACTCAACCAGAGTGACAAATCAGTATGGCATACCCATTGCACTCATAACCTTAAACAGCAATATCCAATCAACTAAATTAAAAGCTTTCATAAGATCTATCTTAAGAGCACACCCAAGGGAGATTCTGCTCCTATGATAATTCTTCACTACTTCCGTAGCCATTAGTATATTGTCACTGATTAAACGACCTTTAATGAAAGCAGAATGACTTCTACTAATGAAGATTGGCAAGACCAATGCCAATCGATTAGATAGAAGCTTAGAAATACCTTTATAGATAAAATTTCAATAGGATAAGTCGAAAATCTTTCATCCGTTCTACTACAAGAAGCTTTGGAATGAGTGAAATAACTGTCGAATTCACTTGACGAGGCATTTCTCTAGTTCTAAAGAATTCCAAGACAATTTTCTCCACCTCAGTCCCCGCAACCTCCCAATCCAGTTTAAAGAATTTAGCAATATATCCATATGGTCCTGGTGCCTTGTCATTACTCATACTGAAAACAATTTTTTCAACTCATCCCTAGTGACTAGAGTAAGCAACAACTCAACATCGCCAGCAGTCCACTTATGACACATTAATTCCTCAAATAATTCGCTAGGGAGCTGTTGAACTACAACATCAGCATTCCCTAAAAGCTCTTTATAAAAATCCACTGCAGCTTTACTCATTGTTTTCAAATCAGTTACTGCCTCCCCACCATCATTTATCAACTTCTGAATAGTCTGCCTATGATTCCTAGCCTTTACCATACCATGGAAGAATCCATTGTTTGCATACCCTTGAGTGATCCATTGAATCCTTGACTTTTGCCTATAGAAAAACTCTTCAACACTTTGAAGTTCCCTTTATAGCTTCTCTTGCTCAAGTACAACCTATGAGTTAACCTCAGAAGGATCAGATAACATAGCACTTTGCAAATCCAACATTGTTTCTGCTTCTCGTTTTCTAACCGACAAATTAGAGTAGACAGCTTTGTGCAGACTTTTGAGCTTGCGTTTAAGCTCCCCCAGCTTCCTATATAGAATACGATAAGGCTCCCCAGTAGCCTCCAATTGCCAAACCTCCTTTAAAAGCTCTTCATATTGAGGATACAGCCTCCAAAACAAGAAGAACTTAAAAGGCTTTGGTAACAAAGATAGTCTAGAATCAGTCTGTACAAAAATTCTACAATGATCCGACACTCCAGGCGCAATAGTTTGAAACAAACTATTAGGAAACACATCCAACCACTTCTTAGTAACCAAAGCACGATCAATTCTTCGAGCAATTGGATTATTGACCTGGTTGTTCCACCAAGTGAACCACGAGCCTAATGTCTTCTGATCAATATTCTTCATATCCTCAATCCAAAGACAAAAATCAACCATACTTGGATTAAAGCCAGGGCAGTTAGAAGCTTCACTACTCTCAACAAAAACATTAAAAATCCCAAAACAAATTCCAGACTCTCTAGACACTCCAAGCCTTCTCAACTCACCATATAACACTACTCTGCCCTGCACCTTACTAGGACTATAAACTGCAGTGACTAAGCACGACTATGTGCCAGATTGAACACGAACACTAATAAAATGTTCCCATTCTGATGGAAACTCGATGTAAGGGGCCTGGTGGGCAGCCGGATGGCCGAGTAGAGTAGAGTTTTTTTTGTTATTTTCGTATTATTATTAAAATCCTATTTAAGGGGTTACCCTTATTTTCCAGAATTTAAACCCAAATCCTTCAATCTTTTTTCTCTCAATTCTTCCCCAATTCCTCTAAATCCCTAAATTCTTCTTCTCAAATCTCTAATTCCCAATTGGGAAATTCTTGAATCTATCAACTTGGTATCAGAGCCCCGATGAGTACATCACGACTCACCGTTAAGGAACTGTTGGGCAAGCTGGAGGCGACCCTTGAAACCATCTGGGCAGCAAAATCGACAAAGGTAGGCGGCTCTCCGGCCGCCGCTGCAGGAGTTCGGACAGATGAGGGACGGTGAGCAGGGCCAACAGAGGCCATCTCCGCGGTGCCGACGATAGTGGAGGAGGAAATCTGCCCCGAGAAATAGAGCCACATGGCGACTGAAGCAGCGATGGGAATTGGAATCGTCGATGGGGAGGAAGGCTTAACCCACGCGACACCACCGGTGATGTTATCCTTGCTGTCGCTGGCGAAACATACACCCCCAGTCGATGAGGTTGCGAGCGCAGGTGATCGGACAACCGGTAATGGCATTAGTCAATAGTGATGCCTCACTGAACTTTGTGGGAGAAAGGTTCGCTGAAACCCTAGGGAAGGAGGCAACACAGGTCAATCTGATAACCGTACGGATAGTTAATGGCGTGCCCCTGCGGTGTGACAGGGCCTTATGAAGATATCAATATCGAAATTCAAGGGCTTAAGGTAACAACCGATCTATACGTATTGCCATTGCGATGATTTGACATTATTTTGGGCATGACATGGTTGAGAAGTTTAGGTCCGTTGACGAGTAACTAGATCAAGTTCACCATGAGTTTTAAATGGAGAGACAAGGAATGGACTTTACAGGGTCTTACCATGGCTTTGCGGGAGATCTTCATCAAAGACTGTGTGCTGCGACGGGAAATAGATTTGATGGTGATGTGCTAGCCGGCGGTGGTTGACGAGAAGAAGGGGATGGAGCCCGTATTGCAGGACCTCCTCGACCGTTATCCTGAGCTGTTCGAGACACCCACGACCCTGCCTCCTCCTCATTAGGTCAGTCATGTGATTAGGCTGAAGGAGGGAACAGAAGCAGTGAATGTGCGATCGTATTGTTACGGACACGTGCATAAGACCAAGATAGAGAAGCATGTTGCTGATATACTAGAGACTGGGTTGATTCGTTCTAGCACAAGCTCCTTTTCGTCGCCCATGTTGTTGGTAAAGAAGAAGGATGGTACGTGGCGCTTCTGCAACGACTACAAGGACCTTAATGTAGCGATATTGAAAGATCATTTCCCCATTCCTACAGTAGATGATATGTTGGATGAGCTCCATGGGTCGGGCTACTTCGCCAAACTGGATCTGAGGGCTGGGTATGTACATGGGCGTTGGACCGTGCTTGGGCCAGCACGGCACGAGCACGCTTCAGGCCCATTTATTTCGTGTCGTGCTTGGCACGACCCATCAGCTTTTGTGTCGTGCCATCCAAGCCCATTTGTTACTTTTGCTAGGCTCGGCCCAGGCCCGGGCACGACTTGAATCGTGCCGTGCCTATTCGTGCTTGTGCCGTGCTCATATTTGTGTTAATGAAAATGAAGAAATTAAAAGAAGGAATGAAAAGGAAGGAGAAAATTGGATGGAGAATGAAAGTATTAACCGAGAATGTTTGAGAAATTTAAGAACAATGGGAAAAAGAAAATTGGAAGTATAACGAGTGTGAAGTTACTTTGTTTAATTTTTCGTTCGTTTTTTGTTATGGTAGTAATTACGTATTCATCTTTATTTTCACTTCTAACAACAATAAATAATTATTTTTGCCACTTATATTTTGCAATATTTGAACATATTGTTCTTTTTATATTTATTTTTTATCAAAATAATATTCTTTTTGTGCTATGTCCGTTCTTATACTCAATAAGGTTCTAAAAATATTTGGCCCGACATGGCCCATTTACAAACCGTGCTGTGCCCGTGCTCGTACCTGTGCCCATGAAGTTCAGGCCCGGCACGGCCCGTAAAGAATTCGTGCGCGTGCCGGGCTGGCCATATATTTCGTGCCCGTGCTCGTTCCAGGCTCTAACCGTGTCATGCCGCGCAAGCCCGTGGGCGGCCAGGCCCGGTGCCCACGTACAACTGGGTATCATCAGATACATATGCGGGAGGAGGATGTGCATAGGACGACTTTCCGCACTCATAACAGGCATTATGAGTATTTGGTAATGCCTTTTGGACTTTCCAGGCTGGGATGACTGACATTTTCCGGCCTCTGCTCTGGCGGTCGGTATTGGTGTTTTTTTATGACATCTTGGTTTATAGTCGGACTTGGCAGGAGCACTTGGGTCATCTGCAGAATGTGTTTGAGATCTTGAAGCAGCACCAGTATTTCATTAAAGCGTCTAAATGCGCTTTTGGGGTACAAGAGGTCGAGTATCTTGGGCACGTGGTGACACCACAAGGCGTGCGGGTGGATAAAGCCAAGATACGAGACAAGATGGAGTGGTCAGTTCCGACTATGTACAAGGATTGACCGGGTATTACCAAAAATTTGTGCAAGGGTACAGTCGCATTTCCAGACCGTTACACGATCTCTTGAAGAAGGGAGGGTTCGACATGAACCCGACAGCAAATGCGGCATTCCAGGAGTTGAAGAGAACGATGACCATGACTTCGACTTTGGCATTATCCAAATTTTCGAAGCCTTATGTCATAGAGGCAGATGCGTCGGGTAGGGGAATTAGCGCGGTTCTGTAGCAAGACCGCCACACGATCGCATTCATGAGTAAGACGCTAGTACCGACTAAGGAAGCTTGGTCTACCTACCAGAACGAAATGTAGGCTATCATTACAGCAGTTCAGATGTGGCGACCATACCTTCTGGGTCAAAAATTTCACATTTACACGGAACCCCAGAGCTTGAAGCACTTGTTGAGCAAGAAAGTCTCCACTCCTGATCTGCATAAATGGGTGTCGAAGTTGATGGGGTACGACTACGAGATCCACTGTAAGCCAGGGCCAACGAATGTGGTGGAAACCCGAGGAAAGTATTCTTTTCTCTATGGGATGGTCCTTCTGCCAGGTACCACCTTTGTCACGACCATCTTGTCCGAGTTTCACGATTTGACGATGGGGGGTCATTCAGCGGTTGAGAGAACACTTTGACGGATTCATGACCATTTTTACTAGCCAAAAATGGCCCAGGATGTAAAGGAGTATGTGGCGACGTGTGACACCTGCTAGAGGATGAAGGAATTCCAGTTGAGACTAGCAGGGCTTCTGCAGCCACTACCAGTTCCGAAATGGATCTGGGAGGACATCAGTATGGATTTCGTGGTGGGGTTACCTCCGCCTGGAGGGAAGACCATTTCATTCATAGTCTTTGACCGACTAACGAAACACGCACACATTATGGCTTTGACGCATCCCTATATCGCAAGACGGTGGCAGAGCAGTTCATGACAGGTGTCGTCCGCCACCATGGATTTCCACGCTCCATTGTAAGTGATCGTGATCCTATGTTCTTGAGTCATTTCTGGCACAACGTGTTATCTATGGCGAAGACGGCTCTGCGCATGAGTTCCGCTTATCATCCGCATATCGATGGCCAATCGGAGGTCGTTAACAGGCACTTAGAGCAGTACTGGTGGTGTTTTGTGCATCAGCAGCCGCGTAGCTGGTTGGGATTGATTCCGTGGGAGGATCTGTGGTATAATACCACCTATCACCGGGAAATAATGGCAACTCCCTTCGAGGCCTTGTATGGGTGGCCTCCTCCATCGCTGGTGCAGTATAGGAAGGGCGACAGTGTGGTGGACGCGGTGGATAGGTGGATGGTTGCTTGGGACGAGCCTCTCACTCAGTTGAAGAACAATTTGGTGGGCGCTAACAACAGAATGAAACCGATTGCGTATGAAGGTCGGCGCAAAGAGGAGTTCGAAGTGGGAGATCGTGTTTTACTGACACGCTTCTACCATCAGACTAGAAAGTGGCCAAGTGTAACCACCTACTAATGCATAGTATAGCGGGTTCCGTTCTAATTGTCAACCCGGATCCTAGGTGTGATGACTACTCCGTGAAAGTCTTGTTATCTAGCGTTTCAAGTGTAATGAAGGTTTAGTTAAACTAGCAAGCAAATCAGTGAAAGTTGTGTTCATATTGAGAGAGGTCACCCGGATATGGTTCCCCCTAGACTGTAGTTAAGCCATGTTGTAATTTACCAAGTTCAAGTTCAATTATAGTTATACTGCGGGAGGTTCTTAAACACTCTGCAGTCTCGACTAAAGGTCTCCAGACCCTCTCAATCTAAGTCCCCAATGGGCAACTAACCTCCACCAGAGTAAACAGATTGAGGCCCTAACTAACCAAACGTCCTCTACCGAAGTAAATTCGGTATAGAATAGTGAATTGACTCCTCAACTAAAGTCGTCAATTCACTACCTTCAATCAAGGGTGCTCTATCAACCTAGGCAGATATTCTCTTTCTAGGTCAAAACAGAAATAACAGGAATTTGATCAGGATGCATGCCATTCAAGAAATCAAACCTTAATTGAATATAATCATATAACTGAATTCGTACTTGGGTTCATACAATCAGACCTAACATACAAATCTAGGGTTCTTCATACCCAGGTGAATGAGAAAGTTACTCCATAGAGAGAGACGGGAAATCTAGCTTAGACACGGAAACCACATTGTGAAGGATGGGATTCTGCTTCTGGCAATCAATTAGTACTCCTCCAAGCTCAAGCCGAGCTCCAATGGTGACGAAGATCGATCTAGGCGCTTGAAGAATCAGGTTCGTCACTTTCTCTCTCTAGGTATACTTTTTGTCTCTCTAAAACTCGGAACCCTTGCAAAATTGGCTTTCACTTAAAACCCAGTCGTTCGCGATCCCCAACCATAATACCCGGTCGAGTATTTCATGTGCCCAGCCGGGGATTTTGAAACGCAGCGCTGCGATAAAGGGTTAATACCTTATCGAGGTCCAGAATATCCGATCGGGTATTTAAGCTGTCAGGCCGGGACCCCTCCTATTTCTCGACGTCCAAAATCGATTTTCCCTGGCCTCTCTTAGCGATTTACCCGGCTGGGTATTTTACTCATGGCCGGGTATTTTGCTCCTCAAGCATCCTTCAACTCAAACGTCGTCCTTTTGACCCGAAACTCGTTTCCTCACCTTCACGTCAACGCCAAGCCTTGAAATATGACATAAACACACAACCTAGCGTGAAATCGGCTTAAAACACGAGAATCGACTCTCAAACGGCTCAAGAAAGGAGGTAAAAACATGTGCAATCAACGGTCTATCAAATTCCCCCACACTTAACCGTTTGCTTGTCCCCAAACAAACCTAACTCAAACAAATGCAGCTCTCCAGACCTCTATAGCAACAAACAACCCCGATCGTCGGTAGAGGATTTCCTAGATCATATAGCAGCTTACGAGGTCAACTAGTCTTCTAAGACGTCCCCTATCTCTCTCAATGTGAGTGCTAGACTCAAGCCAGGATCATGAGAAGAAATGGAAGTAAGACAGCCAGTTCATGGGTAAAGGGACTCACACCATTCACAACCAAGGACTCATTGTACCAGGGTGCTCTTTCACTTCATTTCACTGTTGGAACCCCTCTTTCACTTTCATTTTACATTTCTTTTTTTTTTCTTCACTTGGCGGGGGTTCCAACTGCAGTCTTTTGTACGATCGACCCTCATTAGTCGAGCAAGAGCAATTTCTGTACCTATGGCACTCGCCAGAGTACTTCTTTTAACTCATTTTCCTCAACTTGTGTGGAGGGTCAATGAAATTAAGGGGGGTCGGAAGCTCTATCTGTGCCCTTAAAAACACATCCTCGAGTAGGCAAACCGTTCAACGAGTGAAAATTTTACTCGTACTAGAGACAGCTTAGCTTCACCTTGTAGGAGTATCCCACTAAGGATCACTAAAATCTCTTCCGAAACCTGATTTTGTGCAATGAACGGTGCCACACACATTGGGCTTACCCCATGTTTAAGATTTCAATGATTTCGACATGGAGGACCAACTGCTTTTCATTTTTCACATGAGCACCCTGTTCGATACATGAGTCCATAACACAATCCAAAAGGAGTCACCATTACCACATGAATTCAAAGGTCTTAACTCCACTAATTACAAAATCAACCGGCACAACAAAGAGTTAGATAGGAAAAATCTTATACTTCAACATCCTCCTTAGTGTTACACTACCTCCCTAGGTTGCACATTACTATAAAGACTGTCAATTCAAAGCATACTGAGCAGGCAATTTGCAAGGAACATGTGCTTGGAGCTCTCAAATCGAAATTTGGACAGTGGACTAGGCTCCAAGCACACAAACAGATCTAGGCAGTCAAAATAGAAACATCCCCTCCCCCACACTTAAGTTCGACATTGCCCTCAATGGAGAAGAGGGAAGGATAAGAGGTCTTCAACCCCATCTGTCGGTGGTGGTGGGGGTGGTGAGTGGTCCCACCGGGTAGTCCAGTGATGCTCTTATGGCGGGTGGCAGGACTGGAGCAGGTGCTCCTGGTACTCCATCATACGGCGGCCACGATCCCGCTCCCGCTTGATCCGAGCACTAGTGACTCCCATCTGAGCCTCCATCCGGTCGAGGCGCTCCTCCAGAACCGTCATCCGTGACTGGTACTCGGCCTGGTGGGACGAATACTGATGGTAAAACTGGAATGATGGTCCATGAGCTGCTGGTTCTGGAGCTCGAGATGCTAAAACTGGAGCCCCATCTGCTGGAACTGCTCCATGAAGAAATCCATCGACGGGCTAGAAGCAATCGACGGACCAAAAGGACTGGAGGAGGGCTCGCCTCGCTCGGACCTTCGTCGTGGCTGAAGATCCCCTGGTGGAGAGAGCGGGGGCTCCGGCTCATCAGCATCCATGGCCCCGCCATCATCATCATCATCATCATCGGCCTCACCCGCGCCGGTGTAGTCCTCATCCTCATCCTCCTCGTCCTCATCATCATCTTCCTCATCCTCGTCGGGAGGCATGGACAACCCATCCACCCAGGATCGCCTGCCATCAGAGGCCAAAAGCATGACGTTATGAAGCACGTCGCGGCTGAGAGGTGCGGGACCACCCTGTGCTGTGGCATCAGTCAACCCATCGAAAGGGATCTCAAAATGGCGCGCCAGCCTCGTGATCAGGGGACCACAGAAGAAGTAGATGGGTTTGCTGTGGCACCGAGCAAAGGTGGTGGCCACAACACCCCCCAGGTGCAGTAGGTGGTCAGGGCGCCCCATCGAGTACATGGCATACAACACTCTCTTCCATATCTTGTGAGATCCAATGGCGTTGGGCGTGATCGAGCGGGTGAGCAGAAGGTTGAGGATGTGCAACTCCGGCTGAAGAGTGGAGACATAGGTCTGGCTGGCGTCGAAGGGGTCGAACTAGTAGGCAGGACGGGCAATGCTCTGGTAGAACACGTCCAGCTCTGGCGGCTCCTCCAAGAAGGTAGTGATGCGAGGTGAGGATGAGATTGGTTTGAACAGCCTATCACCCTCCAATAATGCACCACTCTCCAGCGCGGCCAACTGCTCCTCCAGCTGCGGCTCTTGCGATGCCTGCTCACCTAGCAAAATACAACGCTCAAGAGCATTCTCAGTACCCGCACTTGTTATGGCGTGTGCGGTCTCAAAATCTGCAAGCATATCACAGTAATCTAAGTCATCATGCAAATGGGAGTGCTTCCCATTCTCAGGCACAGAAAAAGTAGCCTATTCATCCCTAGCACGCAAGATCAATTTACCACTATGCACATCAATAAGTGCCCTGGCGGTGGCGAGAAATGGTCTACCCAAAATCAAAGGCACATCCACATCCTCATTTATATCCAGAATAAAAAAATCAACAGGATATGTGAATGCGCCTACATTAACAAGCAGATCCTCTATGATACCCTTAGGATGCACAATAGAGCGATCAGCTAACTGAATGCTCATCCTAATAGCTCTAGGTTCACCTAGGTCTAGCTTTTTGAACAATTTGTAGGGCATGACGTTAATGCTAGCGCCTAGATCCGCCAAGGACTTTCCTACATGCATGCTGCCAATAGCTAGAGGGATAGTAAAACTCTCTAGGTCCTTGCGCTTCTAGGGCAGCTTGTTCTGCAGAATGGCAGAACACTCCTCGCTCAGCATCACTGTCGAGAGATCCCCAAGTTTCTTCTTGTTGGTGAGGAGATCTTTCAAGAATTTGGTGTACTTGGTCATCTTCGACAGTGCCTCCACGAACAACATGCTGATGTTAACTTGCTTCAACATTGCCATGAACTTGGCAAACTCAGTCTCCAGCTTGTCTTTGTGTAGGCGAGTGGGGAAGGGAAACTGGGGTACATGCTCCTTAACCACTGGCTGTGGCTTGGGAGCAGGTGTTTCTTTCTCCATCCCCACTTCTGCATCGTCATCTGGAAGTGTTGAAGCAGGTAGTGGCTCTTCTTGCCTGGCCGGGGCAGGGGCAGCAGATGTGGTCCTTCCACTCCTGGTAGTGATGGCATCCAGTTGCTGGTGATGCTCGCGAGGATTTGGAATGGCCGTGACAGGCAAAGTCCCCAGTGCTCTGGTGTTATTTTGGCGAGCAATGCCACCAATTTGATTTTGGAGATCCTGCAGTATAGCACTCTGGTTCCTTTGGCCTGCCTCCAGAGAAGTTATGTTCTGGTCCATCCTGGCGAAATTCCCCTGACTAGTAGTCATGAATGCCTGCAAAATATTTTTAAGCTCCATCATCTAGGTATCTGGAGCTGGAGCTGCTGGCAGCTGGGAAAATTTGCGCTGCGACTGCAAGAATGGCTGCCCCTGTCTGGGGTGGTAAGGTTGCTGGTGTAGAGCTGGACCCTGCATGGTCTGGAAGGGCTGCCTCTGCTGAAAACCACCTGCTGGTACTGGGAAACTAGGTGGTTTAGTGGTGTTGCTGTTATTCCATGAGAAGTTGGGATGCTGGCGCCAACCTTCATTATATGTACCACTGTAAGCATCAAGGTGCCGAGCATTGGCGATGAAATCCAACTGCTCCTGGGGTGTAGAAGACTCCTGCATAGCCTGGCAGTCCTCCACCAGATTGTTCGAGCTCTCACACCACTGACATTGAGCAACTGAGGCTCGCCCAGTCCTCTGCCTAGAATAAGACTGTTGGGCTGCTTCAATGTCTGGACCAACTCAGCCACCTCCCGCTCTAGCCCAGACCTGGCCTCCATGGCCTGCACTCCTCGATCCCGGGAACTCCTACTTCTGGTGCTCTGCCTCTGTTGATGTGACTTGAATCGGACTATCAGCCGCTACGACTGGTAATCCGGGGTCTCACTGTAATCTGTAATCTCCTTGATATAGTGAAACTGGCTCTCTCTCGCCCGTGGACGTAGCTAACACACATCGTGTTAGTGAACCACGTAAATCGTGTGTCTGTGTTTTTCGATTCTTGCTTTCGTATTCTTGCTTTATCGATTCCGGCGATTTCCCGATCCGTAGCAGCGTGTTTATAACAGCCCCCAAGAGTGATCCCTGGAAGCCAGAGTGTTGATCATCTGATTCAACTCGGGTGGAGTCTTGGTGAGAATATCCCCTCCTGGGCATAGAGACTCGATTACCCTCTGGCTTTCTGGGGTCAGAGCGCTGTAGAAATTCCCCATTGTGAATGCATTACTGAAGCCGTGATGGGGACACTGCCAGAAGAATCCCGAGCATCGCTCCCAGGCATCACGTAGGGACTCATCTGGCTCCTGGAGGAAATGAGTGATCTCCTACTGAATCTCCATGGTCTTCGAGGCCGGATAATACCTGTGCACAAATTTGTCGGCCAAGTCATCCCACGATGTGATGGATAGCGGGGGCTGGGTCTCTAACCACCTCTTCGCATGCCCCGCCAGAGAATGGGGGAAAAGGTGATCGCATCATCGGGTACACCATTCATCTTGAATCCATTTGTAAGCTGCACGAACCAGGAAAGGTGCATCCTTGCCTACTCATCTTTCAAGCCATGGAACCGGATAGAAGATGTAATCAGTTGAATCCAGCATGGCCTGATCTCGAAGTTGTTCGCTGGAATGGGCGGATAGGGGATGACGGGGCGGATGTCGGCGACCCGTGGAGTGTAGTAATACTCCATGGTAGGACCCGGCGGCGGCGGTTGATGCTGAAACCCATCTTCCTGGGGAACTATGTTGTTCCCCAGGATCTGATTCACTAGGGGAACCTTGAGAGGCATCCTGTGGGGCGGGTTTTACACACCGTCCATCTTGTACTCCTTCTCAGAATCGCTGCTCAAGTGGTCGTCGATGCGCACTTCCTCTGTAGCCAGTCTCGCTCGTTGTTGTCTCCTTAGTTGGCGACATGTGCGTTCTAGCTCCGGATCTAACGGTAGTAAACCTCCCGACTGGCTACGGGTCATGCACTACCTGCACACAACAAAGCAAGCAAATCCGTGAAGGCAGAAGCGGTAAAAAGCAAATAGTCAATGCGGAAATGGAAATGCTAAAGTAATAGAAATCATGTTTCTTCAACAACCTAGCCGTCCCCCGGCAACGGCGCCAAAAACTTGACACGCTTCTACCATCACACTAGAAAGTGGCCAAGTGTAACCACCTACTAATGCATAGTATCGGGTTCAGTTCTAATTGTCAACCCGGGTACTAGGTGTGATGACTACTCCGAGAAAGTCTTGTTATCTAGCAGTTCAAGTGTAGTGAAGGTTTAGTTAAACTAGCAAGCAAAACAGTGAAAGTTGTGTTCAAGTTGAGAGAGGTCACCCGGATATGGTTCCCCCTAGACTGCAGTTAAGCAGGGTTGTAATTTACCAAGTTCAAGTTCAATGATAGTTATACCGCGGGAGGTTCTTAAACAGTCTGCAGTCTCGACTAAAGGTCTCCGGACCCTCTCAATCTGAGTCCCCAGTGGGCAACTAACGTCCACCGGAGTAAACAGATTAAGGCCCTAACGAACCAAACGTCCTCTACCAAAGTAAATCCGGTACATAATATTGAATTGACTCCTCGACTAAAATCGTCAATTCACTACCTTCAATCAAGGGTGCTCTATCAACCTAGGCAGATATTCTCTTTCTAGGTCAAAGCAGAAATAATAGGAATTTGATCAGGATTCATACCATTCAAGAAATCAAACCTCAATTGAATATAATCATATCCCTGAATTCGTACTGGGGTTCATACAATCAGACCTAACATACAAATCTAGGGTTCTTCATACCCAGGTGAATTAGAAAGTTACTCCATAGAGAGAGACGGTATATCTAGCTTAGACGCGAAAACCATACTGTGAAGGATGGGATTATGCTTCTGGCAATCAATCAGCACTCCTCCAAGCTCAAGCCGGGCTTCAATGGTGATGTAAATCGATCTAGGCGCTTGAAGAATCACGTTCTTCACTTTCTCTCTCTAGGTATACGTTTTGTCTCTCTAAAACTCGGAACCCTTGCAAAATTGGCCTTCTTTTCCTTAAAACCCAGTTGTTCGCGATCCCCGACCATAATACCCGGTCGGGTATTTCAGGTGCCCGGCCGGGGATTATGAAACACAGCGTCGCGGTAAAGGGTTAATACCCGATCGATGTCCAGAATACCCGATCGGGTATTTAAGCTGTCCGGCCAGGACCCCTCCTGTTTCTCGACGTCCAAAATCGATTTTCCCCGGTCTCTCTTAGCGATTTACCCGGCCGGGTATTATTACTCATGGTCGGATATTTTTCTCCTCCAACACCCTTCAACTCAAACGTCCTCCTTTTGACCCGAAACTCGTTTCCTCGCCTTCACGTGAACGCCAAGCCTTGAAATATGGCATAACACACAATCTAGCGTGAAATCGGCTTAAAACACGAGAACCGACTCTCAAACGGCTCAAGAAAGGAGGTAAAAACATGTGCAATCAATGGTCTATCATCTACTGTGGCTGCATCCTTATCGACGGGCTTTTGTATTCAAGCAAGATCTTTAGAAGTTGGCTGCATGGTATTTTGGACCGTATGAGATTATCAAGAAGATCAATCTGGTAGCCTACTGGTTGCGGTTGCCGGACGGATCTTGGATCCATCAGCCGTTCCATATTTCATTGGTGAAACACTACAGAGGAGGCGGATAAGGTGTAGGTGACGCCATCTCCGATCTTGGTGGATGGAGAGTTGGTGTTAGAACCATTGGAGGTGTTGCAGTGCGTTGGTCGAGGAAGGGAGGTAGATTGGTGAAAGAGGCATTGGTTAGCTGGAAGCACTTGGCCACAGAGGATGCCACATGACAGTTGACATCCGATTTACAGATGATGTATCCGAAGTTTGACCTTGAGGGTAAGGTCGTGTCTTAAGGGAAGGGGGATTATGGAAGCCCGATGTAAGGGTCCAGGTAGAGTAGAGTGGTATTTTTGTTATTTTCGTATTATTATTAAACTCCTATTTAAGGGGTCAACCCTTATTTTCCAAAATTAATTCAGAAAAGCTAAAACCCAAATCCCTAATCTTTTTTCTCTCAATTCTTCCCCAATTCCTCTAAATCTCTAAATTCTTCTTCTCGAATCTCTACTTCCCAATTGGGAACTTCTTGAATCTATCACATTCCAACTTTACTAATATTCAAATAAGGTTTCCAGAACAGCCATACCCAACCAGATCGAGAATATTTATAGTTATCTAACTGCTTCCGGCTACTAAACTGCTTATTCCTTATATCATCAGCATTATTTTTTAGTACTTTAGTTTTCAAAATGGCACAAAAATCTACGTTGAACTTGGCTACTTGTTTATTTACGTATTTATGTTTCTCAGGGGCATTGAAACCCCTATGATTCTAGCATAGGAACTTCATTTACCTCTCTTCTTGTTCTTCCCACCTTTCTTGGGAAAAGCAGGAATTACAAGCTAAATACTCTTTTGATTCAGTGGCAGACAAGAACTAACAGCTGTAGTCGGTATCCTTATATTGCTGCTTTGATCCCGACCTGCAGAAACATTTTTACCCTTACGAACCACCAATTGAAAACCATCTGCATCCACTAGATCATTCCTCAAAGGCGTAGAAGAGCTAGTAGCATCCACAACCTTGTCTCCCACCACTGAGCTACCCAAGACCTCCTGAGAACCTGATGCCAGAGCTTCAGGACCCCCTATACCACCCGATGCGGAAGGAACAACCACTGTGTTCACTACCTCCTTTCCTTTATCAACTGTATCCATACTAACCACACGTTCCTCCCCAATCCCAAGCAACAGAGCAGTTTGTGTCTTGCCACACTCCAACCCCTCACCCATAACATGACCAAACTCAGCACACTGTTCACATTTAGGTGGAATATTGAAATAGTGGACAAACAAATTCAGCCTCTCCTCGCCTTCCGGACGAATCCGAAGTTCAGTTGGGAAAAAGTTAGTCTGCAGCCATTTCAATACATAACTTCGATGTACTCATCTGAGCTCCAAGTTTAGTTGCTTAATCCATCCATAAGGGAGTACCCAGCAAACTTACAACTCTGCTCAAACCCTCCACTATCATATACTCCAGCGGTAAACAAATTGAATAATCAAATTTGTTCGATGCAATTAAGTAGTTAAAATATAAAATCGGATGTACCTGTAGATTATGCTTCTGAATATATCGTGTGAACCAACATTTTGGATGATGTAGTGTAGTCACGAACTCAATGGGAAACTCAACTAAGATCATGATTAAGGATACATTTCCTAATCTAGCAGTGAAGTTATAGCACATTGATGTTGAACGTAAGAAAAAACCAATTCTGCTTAGACAAGCGCTGATAATTTGATAAAACTACAACAAAAAAATGATTTAGTGACAGTCATACGGACTTTGTATTAACTTAAAGTTTCAACTGTCTGGAATCTGTGGGATGAATGCTTAACAAAATTTGGGCTTCATTTGATGGAACTGATACAAAACTTTGTAGTGAAAATTTTGGATAACATATTAATTATTGAATATTTAGAAACACGAATAATGAATTAATTCATGCAATCAATAACAATACATGCATACCATGAAAAGGCCAGATCTTTGTGTTGTGTTTAGTAAGCACAACCCAGAAAAATATAAATCAGTTTCAGTATATCAACATTCCTCTTATTGTTAATTTATTTCATCACTATTATAAATAAATAAAAAACTACTGTGGGTTAGCTAGGTGAGGAATTGAAAAATGCTTTTGATTAGATAGGTGAAGTCGGTGAAGTTGAAAAGTAAATAGGAATTGAGAAACTGAAAAACAAACAATTTGAGGGTCTATATTTAGTGCAGTTTGTCTATGTAAAGGTTTTAATAATCAAAGACAAATAATGCATCTCACAATTAGTGTGATACAATTCATCTATCTAAAAGTTAGAATAAGTCAAAGACAATCAGTCAAATACAAATCATCTTAAAATTTGTATGATTCAGTTTTTGTGTGATTGAATTATTACAGAATACAACACTTAAATCTCATGCTAAATGTATATTTGTGTAGAACTTTTTAGAGGGACTTCTAAATTCAAGGTGGGTACCGGTAGCCACACAATTACGTACTCTTGGCTAATTTTACTCAAATTCAAGTAGACCCTTAATATGGGTGAATAGTGAAGTATATATGAGTTTGGGGTTTGTAGATGGATTTGGGTAGTGTATGGATATTGCTTTCATAATCTAAATGAGTATGGATGTCCATTTACTTGAAGATGTTTTAACTACACATGATAAAGTTGGACCTATTTGTAAAACTAAAAAATTTAAGGTACCAAGATGTACCAAACAAAAATTTTAGGTACTAAAATATAAATTTTCATCAATATTTTGAGGAATTATATGCAAAAATTATAATTTTAGGTACTAAATCTAATTATCTAAAGATCTATTAAGTTTAGGTATCAAACTGTAATTTACAATTGGAAACCCAAATCAATGGATTTAAACCCAACCCTATCCAAATAAATCGGTATTTGTATAAACCTATCAAACTCTACCAATTTATCATATATTTAGATATCATATCCAACCCAATTAGGTTAGATAGTAAAATACCCATGGTATGAGTAAAATTGTCATTCCTAGTTACCTACCCACCATGTTGATGAATATTTCTATAATACAATGTACAACGACATTGTAATTGACTACAATCGCGAGAGAGAAAAAACATTATGATATGGTTAGGGGTTGCAATAATACGGTTCATAGTGAATTAAGTCATAGGGAATTGATATTTAGATCGAATCGAATTAGATCGAATATATTTCAATTTAATTTTGGTCCTATAAATTATTTTAAGTATGAAGAAAAAATGGACTGAAATTGAATTTAGACGGTACAAAATGAAATCAAATGAACTAGTCCTATCTCAATTTGATGATTCTGGACTGAATCAACTTATGCCTACCCCTAAATATGATTGAAGTTGACAGTTAATTTATAGAAGTAATCATCAAATATCACGACTAATTAATCCAACACGTGAATCTTGATGATGTGAGACATATTCTGTTGATCTCAGCAGATATGATTTTATCTTATTTTATATTTTCTCGTTTAATGATGAAATATAATCCTCCTATTTTATTTTCAGGAATGATAGTGTGAAATGTGATTTTTATTGATCGGTTTCGGTGATCTATTAAAGGTAGGTATTACTTTATTCCTAGTATAATTATCAGTAAGTATAAGATTCTAATTTGTCAATTAATTTCAATCCCTTAATAATATCACAATCTCTATTCTTAATACAGCAAGTGCTTTTCTCGATTTTCGTATAAAATCCATACCCAAACTATTCTTCCTCTTAAGTCATACCTTATTTCAAAATACCCAACTTGACATATATGAAATGGATATGATCAGTATCAACTATCAAGGTTGTGGAACGTGCAACTAATTAAATTACCTTAAATCGGCCGCAAACACAATATCCACACTTCCTCTATAAAAATGCATGCATTTGCATCACCATCCCACAAAAGCCACCCTTCTAATCATTACATCAAAAAGCTCCCATAGTTACAAGAGAAGGAAAGCATGGCCGCAGTCGAAAATTGGCCTCCACCCACGGCCGCCACCAAATCATCGTCGACATCAAACCACGTTGATGAAAAGCTGAGCCAGGAGTGCCAAGATTTGCTTCTTTCCCTTCCAAGGGAGAAAGGTTGGAGAACTTCTTACCTCTATAAGTTCAAAGGGTTTTGGTGCCAACCCAAGCAGATTGAAGCCATCCTAGCTTTCCAAAACCACTTCCAAGTCAAGGACACCGATGCCATCGTAGCCTCAATCCCTAAATCAGGCACCACATGGCTCAAAGCCTTGGTATTCTCCATCTCAAACCGAGACAAACACCCCATTTTAACCAAATGCCAAATCCTCCACTCCAAGCTGTCTCATCCTTTGCTCGTCTCAAACCCTCATGACCTTGTTCCTTTCTTCGAGTACAAGCTCTACGCAAACACTGATGGCGATCACGACCGTCTCCTCGACCTCTCAGGGCTCCCTGACCCGAGACTCTTTGCAACCCACATACCCTTCGTAGCTCTACAAGAGCCCATCAAGAAGTCGGGTTGCAAGATTGTGTACATATGTAGGAACCCTTTGGACACGTTCATCTCCTCGTGGATTTATACCAACAAGCTGATGAAAGAGCGTGGCCTTCCACCTTTGCCCTTGGAGGAGGCATTTGAGATGTATTGCAAAGGGGTGGTTGGGTTTGGTCCATTTTGGGAGCATATGTTGGGGTACTGGAACGAGAGCAGGGAGAGGCCAAAGAAAGTGTTGTTCTTGAAATATGAGGAGATGAGAGAGGACCATGAAGGGTTTCATTTAAGGAAACTGGCCAACTTTCTTGGCTGTCCATTTTCGTTGGAGGAAGAGAAGAGTGGTGTGGTGGAGGGGATTGCAAAGCTGTGTAGCTTCGAGAAGCTCAAGGATTTGGAGGTGAACAAGAGTGGGAGTGGGGCGATTATGACCTTTGAGAACAAGCACTTGTTCAGGAAAGGGCAGGTTGGGGATTGGGTCAATTACCTGTCCCCTTCCATGGTGGAGAAATTGGTTACAGTCATGGATGACAAGCTTGGTGGCTCTGGCCTTGAATTCAAACTCTCCTTTTCATACTAATATATTAGTATGAAATAATTAAGCTTAAAGTTCAGCAAGCTAAGTTTGTTATCATTATTATTAAATGTTTTATTTTTAATTTGGGAAGATGGATGCTTTGAGAAATGTTTGTAATGCTGCTAAATGATTTGTGTGAAGTATAAAATTTTCAGTTTGCTAATTATTTACATCATGTAAATCATGAACATTTAAATGCTTATCTCCTAACTACTCTTTCAATTCATAAATGTGACTAACACATGTTTCAATGGTTGGGATAACATTGTTGAATATAAAAGATCACAAATTAATGAACTCTAAATTAACATCATAGTTTTATTAATATTCAAGTTAATCAACCCCTAAAATTGAGTGTATTGAATATTTTATACGCGTTCAGTTTACTTGCAACATCAAACAAATGGGGGGAAAACGTCTAGCATGAGAAATGAAGTTTCACATATTTCATACACATATAGGCATTGGTAGATCCACGCTCTATTCAAGAGGAGTTGTAGCCCCTCCCAACTTTCAAATGTAGGTAAAACCATTTGAGCAGTTTTTGAACTCATTTCCGGGGGCCTGCCGCATATCGGACATGCATCCGGTTGAGCTAAGTGTCACTTGCATCTCTCAACATTAGTAAGTAACTTGTAATGGAGCACCAGCTAGAAAATGATCTTGTTCTTTGTGGCTCCTCGATCCTCCATGCTCTCTTCCGAATAGGGTGCGAATGCGCAGCTTCCCCCTCTTATCTAAGGAGGTCAAAGGCCGACTTAATCGTGAAACACCCTATCGGGGATAGTCGCCAAATTGGGATATCAAGATCTCTCTCCATAGGGACCGGATGTTGTGCTAGCTGCAACACCAGAGCTTCAGGAAGAAACACCTGAATATATGGTTGTTTCCATTCTCCATTTAGCACTAATTCGGCCACTGTGAGCTCACGCATTACATCTGGAAGGTCAATGGCGAAGTCTGCTAGTGGTGGCCCATCCTGGAATCAAACATACGTAAAAAATCGAGTTTGAGCCCTACTTTGGATATTACACACCGTACCCTGCAGAATGTAGTTATGGATCCTTAAGACTTCTCTCCATATTTGACAATCGACCCTTCTCCCTCGGCTGACACCCTCCATCCATTCACCTCAAATATTTACCCCTGACAACTCTAGCCCATAATTGGTCCGGTTCAGTCATCAACCTCCACGCAATATTCATCATAAAGACCTCATTCATCCGCGTGGCACTGCGGATACCTAGTGCCCCTCCTCCTTTTACTTACATAGTGTATCCCAGTCCACACGATGAACCTTCCTTCCCTAGATAGAGCTGCCCCAAATAAATTCGCAGATCTTTTTATCAATATACTCCCTTACAGATGCCGGGAGGACAGAAGTCTTCATAGTATAAGTTGGGAGCAACGATAAGACTGCTGAGCTAGTTTTATTCTCGACGCCAAGAACAATGATTTAATCTTCCATCCAGCCAACCTCGCGTCAATCCGATCAATGAGCTCAGTGTATGTAGCCTTGGACACACGATCATGAATCACGGGTACCCCCAAGTATCAGCCAAGATTTTTTGCCTCTCGAATACCAAGTGCGCCGCTTAGAGCTCCTCCCTCGGCTGCAGTGACATTCCTCGAGAAGAAGACATGAGACTTGGGCCTGCTAACTTGTTGCGCGGATGCCGCCCAGAACTCCTCTAGGCACAACAAGATCACCTGTACCTGGTTCATGGAATAGCACTAGTTTTCATTCGCCCTGTGCCACTGCCTTCGAGATGAGATGCTCGAGTCTCTCCATACATAATGTGAAAATGTAAGGTGAAAGCGGGCAGCCCTGGAGTAGTCCCCGAGAAGGTGAAAAAGACTCTGTTAGCCCAACATTCCAGTGAATATGCATGATGGAAGAGTAAATACAACTCATGGTTATATCGATAAATTGATGGAGGGCGCCCACCTCCTATAGAATATCACGGACAATAATCCATTTAATCCTATTATACGCATGCGCAAAATCAATTTTGAGGACCATCCAGCCAACCTTACCTTATTTATCCCGTATTAAATGAACTACCTCCTGCCAAATACAGATATTGTAAGTAATAAGGCAGTCTGGAACAAAACTCATCTGCATTTCATCCACCAAGCTAGGCATAATCGGCTTGATTCTCTCCGCCAGACACTTGGTTATCATCTTGTAGTTGACATTGCAGAGAGTGATCGTACGAAATTCGCCAATATTAATGGGCTTTGCCACCTTGGGATCAGGACCACAATCGTCTCCTTCGGTTCCTTCACCTTCATCGGTTCACTCCATCAAACTTGTAGAAATTCCACCACGGCAGGGCCCACAAGTTCCCAGTTCTGCTGGTAAAATAATGGGTTCAAGCCGTCCTTTCTCGATGCCTTAAGTCCTCTCATCTCCTTAATCTCATTATGGACCTCCTCAATCGAGAATTGAGCCTCGATCGAGAATTGAGCCTCGATCGAGATCCAAGACAGCATTGGGATACCCTCAAACGCTGCCTGCAAAACATGGAGAGGCTCACCATGATCAGTATATAGTGTTTCATAGAATTGTCTCGCCATATCGAGGAGAACAGCTTGTTCCTCCACCCATTCTCCTGCACTACTTTCCAAATCATAAATTTTGTTCCTTTGTCGTCTATTGATGCAATTGGAATGAAAGTAGAGCGTGTTTCTATCTGCTGAGGAGCTCTTTCTGAAGTAAAATATCCTCTAGTTATGCCCGTGCCTGCACAAGTCGCTGGTCATCATCATCGCCACCAAACCATAGCTCCAGCCTCTCTATCCTCTTGAGCAGATTACTCTTCCTTCTCAAGATATTTCCAAATTCATCCTGATTCCAACCTGTAGCATCCTCAGTAAATTGTGCAATAGCCGAAACCAAATCGGTACCCCGCACCATGCCGCCATATCGGTAAACCCTTCTTGCGTCAGCCATGCCGCCAAAAACTTAAAGGGTTTGAGGCCGACTAGTTGGAAGAGAGGGTCCACCGTTATGATAATGGTTCGATGATCACTCATGACCCGTGGAAGATGGCTAACCACCGTGTCTGGGAATTTGCTAGTCCACGCCCAGTTAGCTATACTTCTACCGAGACGTTCCTTTACACCCGTTCTAAACCACGTATAAGAAGGACCTGTGAATCCTAGGTCAAGTAGCCCCGTATCGTACATGCAATTTTGGAATTCCCGGCCACGAGCAGTATCAAATGGGGCGCCACCTAGTTTGTCGAATGGTTGGAGGATCTAGTTAAAGCCACTAGCTAATATACATGGTTCTGTTATTTCTTCGACCATTTCACGTAGAAAACTCCACAATTCATGTCGTTGCACTAACGCGAGACTGGCATAAGCTATCATCAGATACCATTTCTCTTGGTCGCTCGGGACTAGGACATGTAGAAATTGGGCGGCTCTGTCAGACTCTGTGATCGTAACCATGCTAGAATTCCATATCACCCATATTCCTCCCGAGTACCCTACCGCAACCACCACCAAATGTTCATCAAATCCCAGGTCTTGTACCACCTCTTCTTCTTTGATACCACTAATTTTAGGTTCTACTAAAATAACAATACTCGGACGATATTTCCTCCAATATTCCTTAAAAACTCACAGGATATGTTTGCTCACAGCACCCCTACAATTCCATGCAAAGATCTTAACCATCGATAACAAGAAAAGTAGGCCACTTCTGTCATCTCGAGGTAAGTTAGGTGGGAGATGCCTCATAGTTTAGGTCATCCACCATCTACACATCATTTCCACATGGAGCTGGGTCCATTCTCGCGTCTTTCACATGTATGCAACTGAGAGTAGCACACAACTCAGACAGGATATCAGATGGTTTCTCCTAACTCCATCACTCTAGCTGCACTACCACGCTATCTCCTTCTGTTACTTTAAAAATGGTGGAAGTGTCAGGATCGAAGGTGGAGTGAGGTTTCTCGGTCATCTTCGGGGACACCGGAATAGTATTCCTCATTTCCTGTCGCTTTGCGGGAACGCTCAACTCCAAGATAATAGGAGCTCCATGACTCTTTGTTGATGGCAGTCCTTTCTCCTATGAAACAACCACCTTCTCCTTCCTCTTCCCATCATCCTTCACCCTCTCGTGTTGGTTCTGCGACTCACCACCTGACCAATTTCTTCAGTGTGACCTAATCCGGTAGTAGCTTCCGTTAACTTCTGTCAACTCCTCAACTTCCTAAAATATCAAACCCTGAGCTACCTTGTGCTTTGTTGCCTTGCCCCTAATCACTTCACTTATCTAGGCTCACTTTCCCAGGATTTGAGACTACCTTGTGAGAAAGTGGCTTCTTCTTGGAGATCATCCACTCCCCATAGAATGCTTTGGGCTGAGGATTGGTTACCCTTGGCGGGGCTCGACCCCGATTATCATCGCCCATGCCCACCAGCGTTTCTTTCACTCCATCGGGGAAGCATGGGCTCAGTACCGTTTGTTTTGCTCTTTTCTTTGTTTGGTGTGTCTTGCGCTCGCCCTTAGGGTTTGGCGAGGAAGACCAGTAGGGAGTCGACGCTGACCGACGTCCGTCTCTGTTTGTATCTCAACATCATGATCCTCCCCGGCCAGCAGCGTGTAGAACTCTGGCATGGGACGCGGTAGGAGGTAGCCCTAGATCGCCGTCAATAGGATACCCTCGCAGCTCCTAAGAAATCAGAGCTATTTTCACCTATTAAAACTCATTGATCAAATACTTGTGATTTATTGTAGAAATATCATTGAAATGACTAAAGGTAGTGCACTAAAGATTTTTGGGTTCAAACTTCAAACATCCAATACTCACCCCCTAAAGTGCACTAGAACCCCTACGAATCCCCATCAATGCACTCCCTACAACCTGTAAGATAGTGCATTATGAACGATTGTAAAAATGGCTAGATCTTAAAATTGAGCTTGAGTTATGAAATAGTGAATAAACATGGGTTATTCATCCCAACCTACCGCCGGTCATCATGTAGACTATGACTATGTTTGGCCCGACTTTTAGAAGTGTTTTTCGGTTTCTAAAGTTGAAGCAGAGCCAAACACCTCTAAAAGCTCGACTTCGGAGTTTCTACGAAAAGCTGCTTTGAAAATACAAGATTATTCTTATCATATTTTAATTTTATTTCAGAAAACATAATTTTATTTAATATATATCATTTTAAAAATATAATAAATTATAAAATTATATTATTGAGTATAAAAAACCTAACAAGATCCATATTCACTACTTTTAATTATTTATAATTTTTATTTATATTTTATATTATTAATTCTTTATAGTTATGTTATATACCCTATTATATTAAAAATCACTTCTTATGGTATTCCAGCCTAAAACTTTTTTTTAATACTTTTCTAAAAGTCCGTCCCATGATATTTGGAGGCCCTGTTCGAAAATTTAAAATGTGGCCCTAATTTTTTCCCCATAAATTTATCAAAATTAAAAATTAGTAAATAATTGTAAAAAAATACTTAAGTTCAGAAAAAGATTACATCAGGAATAAACGATCTCGTTTCCAGTTTGACCAAGAAACCAAGACCGAATTCCCAGCCCTAGTAGGGAGGAAAGTAAATCTGGAAGGAAGAGAAAATGGATATAGCGCAAAAATTGAATGGAGAAATGAAAATGGTCTAAATTGATCGAGAGGTGGGTGAAGGGTTGTCTACTAGATCATGGAGGCCCTATTTCAAAATCTAGACGTGGTCCAAATCGACCTTTAACTATAATAAAACTAAAATGATTATAATAACATTATTCAAAATGTAATATCTTTCTATATTTTTAAAATTAAAATTATCTATGATTTTTCAGATTTTCGTATTCTCCATGAGATCATTTTCAATTGTTATTATAGCTAAAATTATCTATTAAACACATCATCATACTCATAATCAATCAATCATACACTAAAAATACAACCTACAATATACGATCGGTAACTAACGAATCTAAGTAGAGGCCCCTAATATTCTGAGGCCCTGTGCCGGAGGGCGGGCCAGCACACCCTCTTGGCCGGCCCTGAAATTTTCTACAAGAAGTTGTTTCTGAAAAATTACAATAGGGCCAAACTAGCTCAATATTAATTAGAATGAGTTAAAAAGTTACAAAACCATTATTTTTCAGGTATTAAGAAAGTCGACCTATATGTCGGCGGTAAATCAAAGCCAGATTGATTAATAAGAGCTTACTATTAGTGTAGGGGAAAGTATTTCATAGCGATGATTGCGGGCCGGAGTCGGCGGCGGCCGGAGCTTTCACTAAAATCATTCACCACCATCACCACTTGCTTGCTGCCTTGTCTTCTTCCATTTTAGCTGCCCAATTTTGTCCACTTCCATAAAAGCTCTGCCGATTCAAGCCTGTGAACGAGCTAAGCTAGGGTCCCATTCCCATACATGTGAATTGTGATGGGATGTTATGTCAAACAGTTTTGTCAGTAGATCCAAATCAATAATTTGATCACTTTTTTTTATATTTTCTTAATATGTACATAGGGCTGCAAACGAGCCAAGCTACTCGCGAGCAACTCGAGGCTCGAATCGGGAAAAACTCGTTCGAAACTCGATTCGTTTACTGACGAGCCAAGCTTGAGCCTAGCTTTGTTCAACTCGTGAAGCTCGCGAGCTAGCTCGATACGGTGACTTGTTAAGCTCAACTCGTGAGTTGGCTCATTTAGAGATCGTGATATGTCTCAAGATTGTGGTTTGAGGGTCAACTTGATCACTGACTTATGGACTAATCGATCTAATTTGGACTTTCATAATTCATAGGATTGTTAAATTATATATCTCACATCATGTTAAGTATAACATGTTGAACAAGTAAGAAAATATGCCTTATTTTTAATTCTATAAAGAAATTATGTACAAAATTGTTTCGATACTATGAAATAACATGATTTGAACTAGGTAAAATTTATTAACTAAACAATATGACACCTAAAAATTATAATATAAGATTGATTAATGTTGAACATTTGATTATTTTTTTATCGCTACATCAATCACACGTATCATACACGACATACAAAATGAATGTATTAAATACGATCTAAGAATTTAGTAAACAAGCCTAGCTCGAACTCGACTCGGCTCGTTAATAAATGGCTCGGGCTCGAGCTCAGCTCGTTTGTTAACGAGTCAAGCTCAAACTGGGGTAAAACTTGGCTCAGCTCGGCTCATTTGCAGCCCTATATGTACATGCGTATATATTTGACTAGTTTGTTCGGTAGGTTCCGGATAAGTACTTAATTAATGGCTTATAAAATATTAGAAGTGCTATTTTGTAACATTAGACGTAATATAAAAGGAATAAAAATATTTTTATACAAAGCAAAACAATAAAAAAAAAAAAGTTATAATTGATTTAGCCAGAAGAACCAAAGTCACACCAACTGTTCAAATTTCAAAACTAGTTAATCCTAAGTTGAAAGCTAAGTATAGCATGACCCCTAGCCCTATGTTGAATAAATAAATATGCTGTCCGAAGATGAAGATGAAGTACTATTTAATCACTTGGCTATGTTTCTTTAATTGATGTACTAAATAGGACATTAGGCCTGATATACATTTGCAAAAACAACCTCCTCCGCCATTGCTCGATCACTTCATGGAGATGGTGGCAAAACAAGACAGCTGCTGGCGTCATTTTTGTTCCTAGGTACACGTATACTATTGTCCTTATTTCCCTAAACAGGTAGCCCAACTTGCAGAATCTTCTGCCAATAATTTGGCACATTCCTCTCTTTGTCCCTGGCCAGGCCAGCCATACGCGCAGCTTCGTCTACTTGCACGCTTTTGGTCAGATAACAGCCCCTGGCATCATCTACAACCGCGTGCCCTCGCATAAACTGTTGTTGCATCAGTACTCCAACCTTAAATAGCTAGAATCAATTTTACGGTGGTTGTTGCTAACATCGCTGGTGCCAAACTTCTATGCAATATTTAATCAAATATATTAAGGTATATACTATACATCATGCTTGTTTCAGAACCCGATCGGAAGTTAAACCGGAAAATTTAGTGGTTTAAGGTTCGGTGGTTAACTGTTACAAAACCGTTGATAGAACCATTCATGATATTTAACATACAAGATTTGTATAATATACTAATTTATGGATGAAATTATAATAGAAAATTCTTAATTCATATCATCACCAAAATATCTAACAAATCACTCAAACCCTCTCACAAAAGAAAACCTTGATTTTCTTAATTCAAGTTAAAAATTGCAGTGCCAGTCGGTAAGAGACCACGTAAAGTCGACATAACGAAGTTGGAAAATAAGAAGAGGAAACATAAATAAATAATTCTGATTCAATGATTTTAGTTTACGTTAAAGTATATTTTTTTTTAAATGATGATTAAAATAGTTAACTAGTGGACCAGTTAAACTTTGACGGTGCATATGATTCTATGCTGAACTGTGAAAATCTATTTGGTTCATCAATAACCGTCCAAGCAATTGACAGGACCACTATCGTGATTGGTTTAACTATTCTACTAACCCATACGTTGATCCGGTTTGGTTTATATTTAAACTCTTTAAAACATCCAACATATCATGGGATTGGACGATACCTACCTTAGCAGTCAAAATATAATACGACTCTGATCATTAGTCGACATAGGATTAGTAGTGGTGCACCGACATAGATGGTAATGGGCATATCCCAAACTGGAGCGGAGACCGTGTGTAATGAATGGGGTTGGTCCCAAACCAACCTTAACTACCGTATATATCTCGTATTTGGGTGTTATAAAATTTGACTAATTAAAAATACGTATAGAAGTTAGAGTTTTCAAATTATAATCAAGAAATCAAAGTGTTCTGCATGATTAATATGTAGTTTTATTGATAAGAGTAGGAATGACAATTTTACCCAAATTAATGGGTATTTTCTTATTCAATCCGATTGGGTTGGGTACGAAATTGAAATACTAGATAAATATGTAGCGTTTGATGTGTTTATACACATATCTATTTATTTGGGTTGGATTGGTTTGAGTTTTTAATCCATGAGTGAATTCATAAAATGAATAGAAGTTCGCCCCTTGCAAGGAATAAGACGATAGGTAAGGCATGGGCAGGACACCTGGTAGAGAGACCTAATCGTCGAGTTAAATAAATACCATAGCTTCAATCTTTTTCACTAAAATCATGATGCAGTAAATCAACAAAGCTCAAAGTGATCTCTCTTTCCCCTTCGACGTTCACCTACTGCAGTACCTGAGTTTTGCAAATTATAATTTGGTACCTAAACTTAATAATAATTTAGATTAGTACCTAAAATTAATTTTTTATTGCATATAAATCCTCAAACTATGATGAATTACATTTTGGTACCTCATAATATTGTCTTACATTTTGATACTAAACTTTTTAAGTTCTTACAAATAGGTATGGCTTCTGTATGTGTAGTTAAAACAACCTCAAGTACATGGATATTCATACCCAACCCATGCCCATTTAGAGTACGGAACCGAAGCAATACTCATACCCTACCGAAACTCATATATAAAACACCAAATCCATATAACTCATACCCTACCCATATTCAATGGGTTTAGTACTTGAGTTTGGATAAAATTAGTCATGTATTGGTAATTGTCATCCCAAAATAAGTGATCTCAAGTTCAAGGTAAGTTTTTTCCTCATTTTCCATTGGTTATTGACTCCAAAGTTAGAACTCAGGAGTGTGGTAAATGTACTCCTTGTACTATTACTAGACCAACTCGTTAGGTTTAGATAAAACTTCATTTCCCTTCTTACTCCAACTTTTCTCATTTAATATTAACATAAACTTTACTATTTTACTACTTTTTTTAATATGTAATTTATTTATTTTTTGTATGTAGATCCACCTCAATTAATTTTCAGGCTATGTCGTGATCCAAGCCCAAGCCCAACCCCACTTGTGGGAAACGAAACGTGTACCTCATTGCTACCTCCAAATCGACCCTACACAATATGCACACAATGGCCTCACGCGCACCCACGTGCTTCCCTCCCTCCCTTGTCTATGTAGCAACCTCTATAAATTCATGCCATTTCCCTCTTCCCATCACCATCCCACAAAAGCCACCCTTCCAATTTGGGCACCACATACTTACTAAGAAAGGAAAGAAAAGAAAAGAAAGAAGAAGAAAAACCAGCACAACATGGCACCGGCGAAAAATGCCACTCCACCCGCAACCACCACCACCACCAAATCATCATCAAACCGGGTACAAGAAGAAGAGGACGAGAAGCTTAGCCAAGAGTGCAGGGAGTTGCTTCTTTCCCTTCCAAGGGAGAAAGGGTGGAGAACATCTTACCTCTACAAGTTCAAAGGGTTTTGGTGCCAACCCAAGCAGATTCAAGCCATCCTATCTTTCCAAACCCACTTCCAGGTCAAGGACACCGACGTCATCGTAGCCTCCATCCCTAAATCAGGCACCACCTGGCTCAAGGCCTTGGTATTCGCCATCTCGAACCGAGACAAACACCCTATTCTAACCTCAGCCAAATGCCCACATGACCAAAACCCCCAACCGCACTCGCAACTGTCTCATCCTTTGCTCGTCTCAAACCCTCATGACCTTGTTCCTTTCTTCGAGTACAAGCTCTACGCAAACTCTGATGGCGATCACGACCGTCTCCTCGACCTCTCAGGGCTCCCTGATCCGAGACTCTTTGCAACCCACATACCCTTCGGAGCTCTACAAGAGACCATCAAGAAGTCGGGTTGCAAGATTGTGTACATATGTAGGAACCCTTTGGACGCGTTCATCTCCTCGTGGATTTATACCAACAAGCTGATGAAAGAGGGTGGCCTTCCACCTTTGCCCTTGGAGGAGGCATTTGAGATGTATTGCCAAGGGGTAGTTGGGTTTGGTCCATTTTGGGAGCATTTGTTGGGGTACTGGAAGGAGAGCTTGGAGAGGCCAGAGAAAGTGTTGTTCTTGAAATATGAGGAGATGAGAGAGGACAATCAAGGGCTTCATTTGAGGAAATTGGCTAACTTTCTTGACTGTCCATTTTCCTTTGAGGAAGAAAAGGGTAGTGTGGTAGATGGGATTGCAAAGCTCTGTAGCTTCGAGAAGCTCAAGGATTTGGAGGTGAACAAGAGCGGGAGTGGGGCGATTATGACCTTTGAGAACAAACACTTGTTCAGGAAAGGGCAGGTTGGGGATTGGGTCAATTACTTGCCCCCTTCCATGGTGGAGAAGTTGGCTATGGTCATGGATGACAAGCTTGGTGGCTCTGGTCTTGAGTTCAAACTGTTCGTTTCATAATAATAATTATTATTATCGATTAAAGTTTATTAAGCTATGCTTGTTATCATTATTATTAAATGTTGCATTTTTAATTTGGGAAGATCGATGGATGCTTTGATGAGAAATGTTTGTAATGCTGCTAAATGATTTGTGTGAAGTATGAAAGTTTAATTTTGCTAATTACTTGCATCATGTAGACCCTAACATAAAAAATGCTTTCCTACGAATTAATCTTTCAATCGAACTTCCCTTATCACCAAAAAAAAATAAAATCTTCCAATCGAATTTGATAAACGTAACTCATACATTTTTCAATTGTTGTGATAACATTTTTGTCGTTGAATGTTTGGTACACGTTTAGTTTACTTGAAGCATCTAACAAATGTGGGGGAAAACCTCTACAATAGTAGCCTCTACATTAGTACGAGAAAGGAAGTTTCACACTTGGTACGCATACGAGCATAAATTACTTATTTTACTAACTATGCTTATATGTAAGGCCCGCCAGAAAAACAGTTTTCGTAGCAACTTCGACCCTTTTGTTTAAAGCCTTACAGATATCCAATCTTTGATCCAATGACTTGACTTTGTATAAAAACATACCTAATTTAACATGGTAGAGGCCCCTGGACTCGACTCGCATCCATGCTTCTCGAATTGAGCTCCAAAGTAGGCTTCACAAACACGTTTCCAGACTTAGCCATTTTCAGCTAGTTTCCCAATTTTGGCATAGCCTTATGATCAAGTTCAATAATGGTCTTCTAGACTTCCTATCGAGCTCCCAAGCACTTCAATGTGTACATGGACACTCCAGCTTCAAAACAAGCCATTAATCTCCAATTTCCATCGAGCCAATTGTAAGATATGAATCTCAAAAGTAGGCACCATGAAACTGTTTTTACACTAAAACAACCGATTAGGTCGACCTAATCCTATATGACGTCGACCTAATCCTAACTGATGTCGACCGAAAAGTGCAAGTCACCGTGATATGCAAGTCACCGTGAAATGCATGCCACCGTAGGCGCATCCTAAAATTTAAAATGTACATTACTAAAAGGAATAATTTTACTTTCGAATTAACAATTTATTCTTTAAATCGTACTCAAAATTCATCCTATATTAGAATCATTAAAGCTACTTACAATCCCATCAATGACCTTTTCTATGATATAATGGTGAAAGTACAAAGTATTTCTTAAAAACATTGTACTCATCATACATCAACAACCTTTTCTATACTAGAAAATATCCTAGCTCACATTAACTTGTGTGTTTTGGACACTACCAAACTTTTTAAAAAATATGGTAAAAAGAACATTCATATAGATCTAGAATCACTTAGTTTTCCAAAAACATTATTTTTTTAAGGTAAAACAAAGTCGACCTGTACGATGTCGGCGGTACATCAAATCCAGATTGCGGCCGTGAGTCGGCGGTGGCCGGGAGTGTATTGCATTTATCTGATACGCAACAGGAGCCGGGAGCTTTACTAAAATCCACCACCACCACTTGCTTGCTGCTTTGTCCTCCATTTTAGCTGCCCAATTTGTCCACTTCCAAAAAGAGCTCTGCCGATTCAAGGTTGTGAACTAGGGCCCATATGTCTCGTGGGATATTCTATTAAGTTATTTTAATTCGTCAGCAATCAGCAGTATGACTAATAATCGATGAGATTTTGACTTAACTTAACCGATCTCTCGGTTAACCACAGCCGATAACAGGCGAAATAGCCAACCAAAACCGTCACCGATAGCCTTGTCGGTTACCCGCAACCAATAACTGTTTATGCCAATTCGGTTAATCGGTTGGCCTTGTACCGATAATTAATAAAAATGAAATTAATAAAATAGAATGTCATTTTTTTAATTTCACCCCTCCTTAAAAAAAATAGAAAATGTCATTAAAAAAATTGACTGGCAAAAAGGTTGGAAAAAGCCCTATATTTTCAGTTGCGGACTGGATATTGAACCGAAAAAGTTAGTGGTTTAGAGTTCATTGGTTAACCGTTACAAAATCGTTGGTTAACGGTTGATAGAACCGTTCTAGATATATAACATACAAGGCTTGTATAATACTCTAATTTAAAAAGCTATCATTGACGATAAACAATTTCAATTATTTATCATCACCAAAATATCTAACAAATCATTCAAACCGTCGCACAAAAAAAATCATAACCTTTTTAATTCAAGCTAAAAATTACGGTGCAAGTCCCTAGTAGACCATGTAAAGTTGACAACGAGGTTGGAAAATGAGAAGAGGAAGCAGAAATAAAATTAATAATCATGGTTTGATGGTCTTAATTTACGTTAGGGTTTAATATCTTGAGTTGAAATTATGCAAAACTACTTGTTTGTTTAGTGCATAATATATACTTCATATGAGCAAGAGGGGGTAGACAAGAGATAACTGTTAATGAAGCTAGTGGTAGTGGTACTGGAAAACAGAAAACAATAACTACAGTTTGGAAGAAAGAACTCCGGGATAAGGCTTGCAAGACAATATCAAAATGGTGGTATGAAAATGCTATTCAATTCAATGCAACTAGATGCGATACCTATCACCAAATGTGGGAAGATGTAGCTCGGCATGATCCTGGTTTTAAGGATTCTTCATATCATGAGATTAGGGAGACTTTGCTGAAAGAGGAAAGGCAGGAAGTTGAGAATAAATTGTGGATCTTCAAATCTGAATGGAAGGTAGTGGGTTGCACGATAATGTTTGATGGATGGACGGATAAGAAACAACGAGCTCTTTGTAACTTTTTGGTTAATAGTCCTCGTGGAACTGTATTTCTTGAAGTTGTTGACACTTCTGATTTTTCGAAGACTGCTCAGAGGTGTTTAAGGTGTTAGATGGAGTTGTTGAGAAGGTTGGGGAAGAGAATGTAGTCCAAGTTGTGACAGATAATGCTTCGGTTTATAAGGCAGGAGGACAATTGTTGATGGAAAAAGGAAGCATTTGTTTTGGACACCTTGTGCTGCTCATTGCTTGGATTTGATGCTAGAGAATCTTGAAAAGCATATTAAGGTGCACGAGACCACAATTTCCAATGGTAAAGTAAATGCAACGTTTTCAATAAGCATGTATAAAAGAAAAAAAAGAAGTACATATAAATTCAATATAATATTGAAATTTCACAAAATAAAAATTAATGTATATTTTTTAATAAATATTAATGTCTGCTCCACCATTTAAAAAATGCATATGTGGCAAAAAGTTTCTTCACAACAGCCATAATATAGGTTAACAACTTAAGATAAGATAAGAATGTTAATTGTCTCCAAATTTCAAATAATTTTTAAGAAAATATTAAGATAAAGAGATAAATTATGTGTTATATCAAAACAATGTTTTTTCGAAGTTTGTGAGTTGGATATTTGTCGTAAGTTTTGAACAACTTTTTTCTCAAAATTGTAGTCTGTATATATATAAAAAATGTAACTAGAAATATTTTCCCAGAAATGATAGCAAAATAGCGATTTTTAATGCCAAATAACATACCGCTAAACTACATATAATGATTAATATAACATTTATCTCTAAAACTACGTTTTCTTGTAGTGAAGAAGGACCACAATTCATTATAATGCAAATTAAGAATGAAAAACTACTAATTAAGTAGGCAATAAATAAAATATTTGAAAGAGCTATAAAACAATCAGACTCTCATATCATTTCGGAATTTATTAGATCCATATCGTTTACAAGCCTCATATCGTTGCTCAGTAAGGCAAAGAGAAACAAGGAACTCATATTGATAATTATAATAGTAAGTGATGTTAGAAAATGCGTAAATGTTTTTACCATTTTTGTGATTATTGATAATTATAATAGTAAGTGATGTAAGAAAATGCGTAAATGTTTTTACCATTTTTGTGATAGTACATTTACCATTTTTGTGATAGTTCAGCGGCAGTATATCAAGGTTGTCAAACCGGTTTATGCCAGTGTGCCGGTTTAGCAAGTGGAATGGTTCTGCCGGTGGCACATACCGGTTTGTGCCGGTTCATGTCGGTCAATATTACAAATAAAATTATAAGTACTCATATTTAAACATGACATTTAACGCCAATACCTAAACATTTATACTTGAATCCAACAAATAACATCAATATTTAACTTTTATACTCATAAAATAAATAATAAAATAATGTTTATCAATAAATTCGCTAAAATAAGGACATTTTACTTAGAGATTCGTATATCGATCATGCCGGTCATACCGGTGATGTCACGCCGATTTTATTACCGGTATCGATTGAACCTGGTACAACCGGTGGCTCGCCGGCCAGCGTGACAACCATGGGCAGTATTCTTGTTAAATTCTCTATTTTCTGTACTACTACAGTAATATATAATTATTGTCTTGAATTTGGTCTCACTATCTTCCCTCCCACTCTTCAAACCCACCTTTTTCTTCTCCTCTCCTTTCTTACCCCTCGGCCCCGCCCCTTTATTCCTTCTCCTTCACACTCCCTTCTTTCTCCTTCCCACCCCTCGGCCCTGCACCTTTGTTTCCTCCCCTTCAACACTAATTGTGTGAAAGCAAATAAATTAATAATTTGATTTATTTTAGAAATTATTTTGAAAATTTCATTTTGTGTTTGAATGTTATATTCAAATATTTATAAATTAATAAAATTGAATTCGTATAACATTTTGGAACACATTCAACATTGAATTAAATTAAATCATTAAAATCTCTAAATAATATATAGTGCTTTCTCCATGAAAGCTTCCCTAAACTATTGGAGACTTATGTTTTTCGTTTTCACCACAATCAATTCTAGCCCTTTTATCTCAAAACATCTTAGCCTATTTTATTAACTGTACTTTTTCTGTGATATATACACATATATATTCATATGTTCTCGGTCACTCATATATATTCATATGTTCTCGGTTCTCTAAGAAGGGATACACGTATATTAGTCTTAAAAAATATCTGCAATATGTAAAATAATTTTGTTTGAATCCAACTGAGGGTAGGAGGTGAACTCGGAAAGGAGGGTGAGAAGAGTAACAACAAGAGGTCCAGAAAGGAGGTATTCTTAGAGAGAGAAAGCAGTAGTTCGTAATACTAGTTAGAGAGTGGAAAATGTGATCCCCTCACCCACCGGAGTAAATGCCATATTTATAGGCTACATGGTGATGGGTGAGTTACACGGTGACAAGACTGTCATCATTGTCAGAACTTTCAGCCGCCCTCCTACCTAGTACTAGGGGGCTTGTCCATCATTGTACCTAGTACACTAATGTGACCACTCTTCAGGGGATAGGGTGTCGTTTCCAAGGCAGACTAGGTATAGTCAACTTTCGGCTGAAACGCCGTCGTTTGGTCGTTTGGAGTCCATGCCCGCGCATGAGGCCCCCGGGCGCTTAAACTCCTCGCGTCTGCGCGGCTTTGGGTACGCCTTTGCAAGCGTGGCGTCGCGCTGCCCTCTTGGCGCGCCTGGACCCGAGCCATATGCCCAACAATTGCCCCCCACCAGGTGGTATTCTTCGGATGCCGCCTGTTCAAATTCCGCGAGGTCGGCTCGGGTCCAGGTTAAATCCGCGAGACTGTTGGGTCTGGGGTTGATTTCTAGCGCGCTTCTTGACGCGGATGCGCGTGGTGTGGTGTAGGTGCGGCTCTTTTTTTTCTTTTCGTGGGTACGCCATGCCCCCCAGTCGGTGCGTGTATACGCGTGAGCAACATGATTTGGTTCAGATGTGATTTTTTTTCCTTCATGCGTACGCCATGCCCCCCAGTCGGTGTTTGCATGCGCGCGAGCGGCGTGGTTGGATTCTAATATGATTTTTCTCTTCGCGGGTGCGCCCTGCCCCCCAGGCGGTGTGCGGAACTTGTGACGTCAGTGGCTATAGGCTGGCTAGGGTAGGTGTTCACGTGTCGTTGTCTGATTGGTCTATTGAGGCGGCGCTTATGAAATTTGAAAAACCCTGACAGTAATGATTTGACGGTTGCGATTCCCGATGTAACTTTAACTCTTCGGTTTCCTTCCATTGATTATAAGTAGCCGTCGATAATTGAGGGGAAGGTCACTATGCTGTTTTTCTGGCTTTGCTCTGTCTTCCTTTGCCCTCTCCTTTCGTATCGTTCCTCTTCGAGATTCCTCTCCTTCTTCTACCACCTTATTTCTCTCGTGTTGTTGCTATTACTCTGGGGAGTGCCATTGCGAACATCAATGTCGACGAGATTCAGGTCGTGCAAGACGAAGAAGGTAATCTTTCGCCCCTTTCGCATATTTCTTCCGATCCTTCACTGGATCTGGCTGATTCCGGCAACGGTGGTGGCGGCGAAGCTGGTGGTGATGGAGTTCCGGCGACGCCGTCCTATGACGCCGATTCAGGGCCCGATTTTGTGCCCGAGCATGATTTGGAGATGAGGGAGGCTGAAGGTCATGGAGAGAGCTCACGCACTCGCGGGGTTTTGATCATACGCCGCGACCGCGCGGGTAGACCTGAGGAGGCGGAGGGTTCGGCGCGCGGAGGGTCTGCTAGAGAAGTCAGATCCACTGTCGGATCTCGCGCAGATCCATTTCGCGGTGAGTAATGAGCTCAACTCGTGTGTGTTGTAATGTTTGTTTTAACATTTTGACTAAGTGTACTAGCGTTGTGGGTGCAGGGTTTGCTGTCTACCTTCCGCGCCCAGCAGGAGAGGGCTAGGGCAGGCGCGCGTCTGCAGACTGACGAGTCGAAGATTGTGCAGCTGGAGGGTAGGCTCGCTGGAGCGGAGAGTCGTGCGGAGGTGGCGACGAAGAAGGCTAACGAAGCCATGGTGGAGCTGGGTGTCTTGCAAAGCAAGCTGGCGGAAGATGTAGAGGCGGTGAGGGCGCGGGCTCGGGACGAGCTCCGGGTTGAGTTCCAAGGGGAGAAGGAGAAGATGGAAGCAGATCATGCCGAGGAGCTGCGGCGTGTTCGCGAACAGTTCCAAACGGAACGAGAGGAGTTCCAGAAGGAGAAGGCGGATCTGGTCCGCCTTCATGACGTGGCCAAGGCGGAGGCTGTGCGTGAAGGGCAGGTTGCCGCGGTCCGTCAGTATAGATCTTCTCCTTCCTTCGAGAAGGTTCTGGCGGACGCGATGACAAAAACTGTGATCGCTATCCGCAAGAAGGTTCGCCCGGAGAATCCCGGTGTTCGTTGGAACACTCGCGCTATGGTCGAACACGTTCAAATGTGGTTGCGTGAGAAGAGGTCACTAGAGCCCGATACCGAGTCTGAGGACGAGGAAGATGAAGAGGGGGAGGATGAATCGTCCGAAGCTAAGGATTGGAAAACTGGCGCGGCAGCTGACAAGGTGGCTGTGGACGCGGTAGCAGAAGAGGGGGGGAATGCAACTGTTACTGACAACGTTGTAGATTCAGTATAGGTTCTTTTTCCCTTTGTTTTCTGTGATGTGTTATCTGCTATCTCCCAGTGGGAAAATCCAAAGACATGAATGTTCTTTAAGTTATGTCGCGTTGCCTTTTCCTATTTCACTTGTTGCATTGGTCACATCGCGTTGCATTTGTGTCGTGTCGCAACGTCGCGCATCATATGCGTGATTATTCGTGGCGCGGTTCATGACCGCGCGGTTACGTGGCTACTTGGTAGCTTTATGTGTTTTGTATTGCAACTCGTGGTTGCGCTATACGTCGCGCATCATATGCGTGATTATTCGTAGCGCGGTTCATGACCGCGCGGTTACATGGCTACTTGGTAGCTTTATGTGTTTTGTATTGCAACTCGTGGTTGCGGGACACATCACGCATCATATGCGTGATTATTTCGTAGCGCGGTTCATGACCACGCGATTACATGGCTACTTGGTAGCTCTATTTATCGCGCAACATGTGCGCGAACATTTCGTAGCGTGGTTCATGACCGCACGGTTACATGGCTACTTGGTAGCTCTATTTGTTTTGCTTTGCAACTCGTGGTTGCGGGGCATGTCGCACATAATATGCGTGATTGTTTCGTAGCGTGATTCGCGACCGGTCACATACTGTGTTATTGCATGGGGGAGGAAAGTCTCATTTAATTAAACCGGTCGTGGGAGTACATGGGCGGTGATTACAATCTCTTGTGGTACTTTCTTAAATTCTGGGCATTCCAAGTTCGTGGGATTGGCTCGCCGCCAATCGTGCTGATTTTGAAGGTATTGGCGCCTACGACCTCGCGGACGAGGTATGGCCCCTCCCATGTTGACGCTAGCTTTCCATGTTTCGCGTCGGGGCGAAAGTTACGCCGCAGCACTTGGTCTCCAATTTGGATGTTGTGTGGGACCAGTTTGGCGTTGTAGTACTTTGCGACTTGGGCCTTCGTTGCCGCCAGCTTGATAGCCGCTGTTTCTCGCCTCTCCGTAGTTAGCTCGAGGTCCGTGAGTCGAGCTTCGTTGTTGTCGTCCTCGTTGAACATGGTGATGCGGTATGTGGGTATAACTGTTTCTATTGGGATGATCGCGTCACTGCCGTAGGTTACCGCAAACGGGGTTTCGCCTGTTGCTGCCTTGAATGTTGTTCGATGCGCCCATAGGACTGTGTGTAGCTCCTCTGCCCAGTTACCTTTCGCTTCCCCGAGGCGAGTGTGGAGGCCGTGTAAGATTGACTTGTTCGCCGCCTCTGCTTGGCCATTAGCTTGAGAATACGCTACCGACACGAATCGAGCTATGACGCCTACTTCATCACAAAAGTCTATGACTTCTGCGCAGTCGAATTGTTTACCGTGGTCGAATACGAATGAGTTTAGGACGCCAAACCTGGTGAGTACGTTATTTTTCAAAAAGCGCACCACCTGTTGGGCCGTGATTGACGCAAGCGTTTCTGCCTCTATCCACTTGGTGAAGTAGTCCACGGCGACAATGATGTACTTGCGCTTGCCTTTTGCGGTGGGGAATGGTCCTAGTAGGTCGACCCCCCATTGCGCAAAAGGCCATGGGCTTACATTTTCTTGGAGCTCTGTGGATGGTATGTGATGCTGCCGCGCGTTGAGCTGGCATTTGTGGCATTGATCAACAAAATTTTTCGCGTCTTTTTTAATGTGTGGCCAGTAATACCCTTGCAGGAGGATGTTGCGTGCCATGCTGCGCGCGCCACAATGCATTGCGCAAATGCCTTCGTGTATGTCTTGTACGATTGCTCGCACCTCATCTGGTCCTACACACTTTAGGTATACACCTGAGTGTGAGCGTCTGTGGAGTTTGTCATCAATGATGGTGCAACGGGTGGCCTTCTGCCTGAGCGCCCATGCTTCTTTTGCGTCCTCTGGTACCGCGCCGCTTGTCATGAACTCGATGATTGGTGTTCGCCAGTCACTTTCTTCTATCTGTGTTGCGTTCACGCACCGTGATGGATCTTGATCCTCTTTCTGCACGAAGACCAATCTTGTTGTGTCGAAGTCTGTCGACGTTGCTAATTTGGAGAGTGCATCCGCATGCATGTTCTCCTCTCTCGGTATCTGGACATACGTGACAGCTTCGAATTGGGATTCCCGTGCCTTCACCCGCTCGATGTACTGGGACAGTGTGTCCTCTTTGGCGTCGAAGACTCCATTCAACTTGTTGACAGCGATAGAGGAGTCGGAAAGGATC